CAGATGCTCTTAGACCCTGCAGACCCCAGCCGATTCTACTTTGGTTTCACAGGTGTATGTATTCTCCACTACATGGTAGGTAGTGTGCATGTGTTCTCTACTGACTGAAGAATACATGCACACTACCATTTGGGTTATGCAGCTCTGTCTAGAGAGTAAAAGCTCTAATCTTGTTCACAAAATCAATAGAAAGTCAAAATTTATTTTCTTTCTTTTATTTATTTGTTATTTTTTTTTTTTTACCAAAATTTGGTTTTCAAAGCTTTTGGGTACAGTTCTACGTCTTCTAATGCAAACCCAAAATATGAAAAGAAACAGTGAATTTTACATTTATTTTCTTGCTTTTATTTACTAATTCAATGCTTAATTAATTTAACAAATTAATTAAGTGGTTCCTTATGCAAAATTAGATACATTTTGCATAAATTCTACTGCGTACCTTCTGATTTTAGTTGGCAATGAGTTGTTAGATGGAAAAGTTTGCCGATATATTATATCATTAATCTGATGTTGAATACATTGCCTGATAAAATTTTCCACCAAAATTTTCTAATCAAAATTTTCTATTTTGATTAGAAAATATTTTATCCTAATCCCCATCAAATTTTATCTCCACAGTTTTTCTTGTCAGGAGCAACTTGATAAATTTGCCTGGCAGTCAATCAGAAAGATGAACATGGCAAATAGCATTTTCCTGAATTTCTCCTCTGTGGACAGTAAAGGCTATTTCTATCTTCTATCTCCATATTCAATAACTTATATTTTACACTAATGACAGAAAAACATATTGCATTTATAAAAAATAAAAAAGTGTTTATTTCATATTTTAACTTTCCTGCGGTCTGATTTGTGTGCACTTTTCCAAGGTTTTGTTATTTGTGTTTTGGAAACTGATAAAACAGCCCTCTCCCCACTAACCCTTCACACAAAAACTGCACAAGTGTTTATTTTATTAAAAATGTCATTTTTTTCCTAATTTTCCTTCTATCTTTCTGAGGCCCCTGATTGGTCCCCAGGGGCCTCAGAAAGATACATCTTTGTAAAACCCTGTTCTAAAGATCTCTTGTGTTCAGCCCTCTCCACCGCAAGCAACATAATCTTCTCCAATGGGGATCTGGACCCATGGGCCAATGGAGGGGTGAGTGTGACTCAGGCAGGAAACCTTCAGTGAAGTCTGACGTTGAAGTTAATCAACTCTCTGATGTTCAGGTGCGCAAGTCGCTGAGTTCATCGCTGGTAGCGCTAAACATTTCTGGAGGGGCTCATCACCTGGACCTGAGGTTCCACAAGCTGCTGGCTCCTCTGTTTGTTCTGCTTTGTTGAAATGTTCAGCATGAAAACAAATATTTTTGTTCTCTTGCAGAGGATCTAATGATTCTGATCCAGCCTCAGTCATCAGAGTCAGAAAGGCTGAAGCAGAGCTCATTGCACAGTGGGTGAAGATGGAAAGGGCTAGACTAACATCAGCATACACACAGCTGTCGGGTTCATCTGATCTATTGTTTTAAAAGAATCCAACAAAATACAAAAGAGCACATTTAAAGCATCCCGTCTTGTATTTTTCCCCCAGCATTCGAATCAAATAAATGGTAAATTGAAGTTAACTTGTCTGATTCTATAGATTTTCAGCTTTTTCCATCCACTGATACTTAAACATTTATTGTACCAAGAAGGTACAATAAAAAGGTACAGTAAAAAACAGTGAGCACAGTCATGGCATCAGAGTAACTGTAACTGTCATACGGACAGATGGAAATTATCTGATATTTCTACTCGCCTTTTGCTGATTTATTAAAATACTTCCCTCCAGTCAATTCTTGAAGTGAAATCTTGCTAATAAAGATAAGGCTGAAATTAGAGATTGTCCATAAACCTTTTGTTGAATACATAACTTTTTCCCCCATCTACTGTTTTTATTCAACTTTAACATACATGCATGCTGATAGTAGATGTGGTGATATAACCTCAAGTCTTCTGACTGGGATTGTGAACAATGAATTCACTTCCAGTTAATTAATGGTTTACTGGATTAAATTTAGTTCCAATCGATCCACTTCGATCTTTCTTTAGTGTTTGGCCGCCATCCAGAAGAGGGTGCTGATAGTCATCCTGAAACAGAGCCATTTGATATCGGAATAAAGATGGAAGGGCAATTCCAGAATGGTAAAGTCATGGAAAATATACTTTACGTGGTTGTGTTTCAAAGTATAATCACTCAACATCCTGCTTTTGGTTTGCCTTACTAGCGCTGAGCTGCATGCTACAAAGGCCAGGATATGACAGAAAAGCAGAGGGGATAACGCAGAAAAATTGTAACATGACAAAGAGGGGGAAACATTGTGCCAATAAGTATGATTGATTATGAGAGCAGTTGTGACTTAAAGTAACTTCCATCCATCCATTTTCTTTACACCCTTCTCCCTAGTGGGGTCAGGAGTGGTGCTGGTGCCTATCTCCAGCAAATGTTTCAGGCAAGAGGTGGGGTAACCCTGGTCCACATCAGGGCAACACAGAGACAAGACAAATAACCATTCACACACACTCACACGTCGGGAGAATTTACAGAGACCAATTAACCTGTCGTGTTTTGGACTGTGGGAGGAAGCCGGAGAACCCATTCATGCACAGGGAGAACATGCAAACTCCATGCAGAACAACAAAAAGAAATTGGGAGAGGAGTGATGGGCCAATACATGTGAACCCAATCTTATTTACCTCAGCAAAACTGAACCTCTGTCTAAATTCTTAGCTGTGAATGTGTGAGTGTGCATGGTTGTCCTGTAGATATTAGGGATGCAATCACTTGCCTCCTTCACACGTGTCTCTGCTTCATCACCTGAGTCATTAGCAGGACTCTGGAGAAGCTGACTGCACTGAGGCAAGCAGCTATTTGGTCCAGGGATACTGGCCCTCGAGTTCTGGAGTTGTTGTCCCTGTTCTAAAGCTTTGCAATGGATTTTATTTTGGGGTATCAGTGTAAAAGGTTGAACACAAATGAATACAAACCAGTCTCAAAACTCATTTTTTTATTCAAGAATAAAGAAGAAAATCCAGCATGTATGACAATACAAAAACAGCTTATGCTTGGAAATATTGAAAGGAAAGATAATTTAAACAGTGAACTTTCAAAAATATTTTTTTTCCATGAACCTTCAAAACAAATAAGAATCCAGACATTTATGAATTGTGCATGAGGGAAATAAATTCATAGAACTAATTGAACAGTCTCTGGTTTAACCACTTTAAAGCCCTCACACCCAATTGCATTTAGATGCTGCATTAAATTTCTTAACAGGACCTTCAAGATCTTGAACATTTCTCCTTCTGTTCTATTTGAAATTCCTTAATTTCTCCTTTCCTGTTTTCAACCAATGTCTAATCAACATTAAACAGCTACATTAACAGTCAAATCTTTAGCCACTTCTCATTTTCTTCAAGTGCCTTGCCTTGAAGGCAAGGCAAGGCCGATGTGCCCATTTGGTAGAGAAGAATCTGGAATCAAGCCAACAACAAAATCATAGCCGCCTCAGAGCCCTTTGCTGGCCTCCATTGGTCAACTGGTGGCAGAAGGAAATCTTGTCAAGAACTGGAGCCAAAGTCAGCATGTACACAAAGTTTTTCCATCAGGATGTTTGTCTGGGAAAGTTCAGGCAGGATTCAGAAAGAAATGTATATTTATTTCTCAGGAAACATGGAGAAAATTTCCAGCTTTTTGTATTCTTCACCAGCATAAGGTAGGAGGCAAATTAGGAGAAGTCCTACTAATATTCTTCACTCCTACCACTGTGCTGCCCTATCGGGGCTGTAAAAACTGACAACCATCCCTACTTTATTGTGCTCTACTTAAGATTTCACATTTGAACTTTGTATTGCAAACATATTTGATTTCTGATTTTCCTTCTAAATATGGAAAAAGATCAAGACATGGGTAAGGTGTGGCTGCTGGCATTTGTACTGTGAGACAACTTTGCCTCAGACATGCGCAGACAGAAACCCAGGTGAAATATTTCTACAGCAGAGCCATCTCTGTGTGTCACTTTATACTGTTTCATGCAATGAGAGTCAGCTGGAATACAAAACCTTTATTTGATGAAATCTTCATCGAAAATGCTAAAAATAGACTTTTCTCGAATGGCACCTTTTTGAAGAATGGCTTTTCATCATTTAAATCTCAAACAATTGAAGAGAAAATCTAAAAGATTTCAAAACATTTTCAGCATATCTCTGGCTTAAGAGTTCTGCTGAAACACGACTGAGGGAAAAATCCGAGTTCTTGTAGGCAGGATTAACATCATGTAAATCTTAGAACTGATTGGAGGAAAATTGTCACTACTCTGACGGAAAAAAAATCTAGATGTGTGACAACAACCACAGCAACGTGAAAAGCTACATAAGCACATGGGAAAACAGCTGAATGGACTGAAAGTTGTCTGAGGCAAGATTAAAGGCACATGTGAGAATGACGAAGATATGGAGTCCAGAAGAGTTTAGTCTCAGTCACAATCAGGAGCACGTCAACGAGTGCTCTTCACTGCACATGGTTATCTACCCTCAAATTACAGGAAATCCACTTAGATAACTAAGAAAACTCAGTACTCAGAAGAAATTCAGGTTTTAAATATTCACAAGATATTCAATATATTATTTTAAATTCATAGATCACATTTGCTCTCATATTAAAAATGACATGTACTTTTACCCTGCAACATATACAAAAAAAAACTAATCCCAATAACCACCTCCCTCCATGTTGACCTCAGTCTTTTAGCTTAGGTTTGTTGTTACCCACATTGGCTTCAATTAAAAAAAACACAAAATATTAACAGGTATTTTATTTAGTTTCTAGAGAAGTAGGATAAAACTAACTAAGACATACCTTTTCTGCAAGAAATAGGAGTTTAGAATCAATAATTCTTCAATCTTGATTAAAACATTAAAAATGACATGTATCACTGGCAGTTTTTCACTTCTAACTAAACATTTTCCCATGATGTAAAAAAAAAAAAAAAAAAAAAAAAAAAAAAAAAAAAAATCTGCCAGAGAGGTTAGTTTTATAAATATTCAAAGATTATGGACTTCAAACAAGCTCCTGAAAAGTTATTTTTTAAGTTTTATCTTATTTCACTAGAAACTAGATGACATACTTTGGAGATTTAATGTTCTTGAAGTTTTGTTAAAACAAGCATCAACCACAGATGCTGCATTCATGACAGTGGGAGTGAAAAAGTCAGTAGGTAAATGTGTTTGTTGTGTCCCCACAGTGGAAAGTGGAGCCAGAACTACTCACTCTGGGTCCTACAAAGAGTGTGACTTCACTTTTATTAGCTCAACCACTTCATGCTGTTTAAATGCATCTTAATGGAGGTATCAGAGCAACCAAAGATAGGCAGAAGTGTCAGGAGAAGCTGGCTACTCAGATCTACAACACTTCATCCTTCTGGTGCAGCACAGCTTTTTAAAACGGTTTATGAACAAAATTGGGCTTATTGTTTGGCATATCCACAGACCACTGAAGCCAACTGGTGCTGTTGATCTGAACTAGTAAACTTTGCAACAACTTATGGAAGAGGTCAAACATTCCCATGGCTAATTTAGCTCTTTAACAGAAGTAAAGATGAGTTACAGAAAACCCTGTAGGTAATCAACACATTTCTTAAATGTTGGTCATTTTGCACATTTGCAGCTAAACTTTTCTCCATGACTTTCAAATCAAAGAAGCAGTAATACAGGATGTTCTGCTATGACCTCTCCAGATTCACCATATATGGTCAGTTTCTCCACTTGTCCTGTGTGTTGTGAGGTCATGTGGTTCTGGGACCATAAGCTCTATTTCTCAGCAGGGTGGCACTCATAGCTAAAGTGGTCTGATCAAGGAGTCATAACCTCTGACATTTTAAGTCAATTGGAGTATTCAGGGGTCAGAACCATAATCAATGGAAAGACTGAAATGTAAAGATTACCAAGATAACTACACTACATGGATGTGAAACAGAAACAGTAGTGCGTGATGTAATGGACCACTGTGGAGAGAAAATGGAGGAGCAAACTAGCGTAGGGTGACTTGACCCAAACTAACCACCTTACTAATTTGGTGCTTTGTAATGGAGCATTTTGATTTCTCATTTATAAGGCATCTGGACCTTTCTGTAACAAATTCTGTTCATAAATGTCCTCAGTATTAATGTTGTATAATTTGCATTAGTAGAAAAACAGTCAAGTAAAAGGTGGTGGCTCAAATACAGAGAGAAATTCATTATTTTTTATTAGCTCTTCAACAATCAGGACACGTGTTAAAGGTGTTGCAGCTGAATGACATGAATGCAGCAGAGCTGTGTGCCTGTCAGGAAGCTCTAGGGACGGCTAAAAACAGCTCAGTCTCACCAAACAGGAAGCAGTTCATGATGAGAACTGCTTCCTGTTCCTGGGAGAGAAACTGTTCCGCCTAATTGGAATGTGGAGACGACGAGCCTGCAGTTGTTCACAGCTGCAAGGCAGATACTTTGTTTTTAATAACGGTAGAAAAAACAGTCGAGAAACCATTCCTGAAAATAAAAAAAAAATGCCAGGTAGTTCCAAAGTGGATGTTGTAGAACTTGGCCCACCAGCTCCAGCTGTGATGGAGCCACCCTTCACAGTTCCTCCTGATCAGGGTCAGGATTCGATCATCAAAACCAAGCACTCCAACAAATAAACAAAGGTTTAGCCATGAATATGACTTGACTTTTCAATACTTGCGATGTCTGGAGAGCATAAAAGAGCCAGTTTTCATGGTTCACGCTTCTGATGTCATTATGTTACACAGGTTCTGGTGTCACATCAACCCTGAGGAATGTTCTGGTTCACAGTGGCTGTGGCTCAGCTGGAGGCCATATGGGCAGTGGGTGAGCCTCAGTGTTGAAGACATACTTGTCAAGACTGATGAGGTCAGCATCCTCGGAGAAGAGCAGGTAGAAATATTTTAGAGTCTCTCCCAGGAAGAAGCTCTCCATCTTGTCTCTGGGACTGGGATAATCTGGATCACACACGTTGTTGATGGATGTGTAGCCACCAGAGGAAACCTGAGGACCCACAGACAGACTTACAACGCTGCAGACAGAAGCTTTCAGCTACTGGATGGAAAGCTTCTGAGAAGATAATATGTATAATGAGCAGTGATATGACTGCAATTAATACATTTAAACAAATCATATTTTAATTAAAAACTTTGCATTGACGAAAATATTTTCAATTTAAAAACCATTTTTGCTGCTAAATCATTAAATAAATAGATATAAAATATTCACTGTTTTCATGTTCCTCAACCATCAGCCTGGTGCAAGCGTTACTGTAGTCATTCAGCTTTCCAAAGTTTCAGGAACTTCTTTAGAAATGTGGACTGTGGACACTGATGTCTGTGCTGCTGCTATATGTTCAGCATTGAGATGCTGTTTTAATGAGTTAAACTCACAGCTCTAAAATGAAATTGTTGGATTGGAACAATAAAGAGCAATCAGAAAGTAGAAATATGAAAGAATTTGCTAATGTTCTACCAGCACTCCAGTCATACATTCTAACAAGACAATCAAGCCTTGTGTTTTTCCTGATTTGTTTTGTCATTGTTGTAGCAGTGAGTGTGAATGTCTAACAGCACACGGTCAGATCTGACTTTAACCCACCTGGATGATCACGATTCCTGTTTGATGTTTATTTTTTCAGACTAACCTTGGTGTATTTGTTAAAGTTTTGTAGAATCTTCCAGCCCCAGTCCTGATATTTGCGATCTTTAGTGTACCTGTACAAATAGAAGAGACTCTCTGCAGTCTCTGGTCGAAGAAGGTTATGTCTGTCTGCAGGCTGTCAGACAGAAAGACAGACAGGACAAAAAAAAAACAAAAAACAGATGACTTGAGGCAGTTCTTGTATTTCTCTCACCTGAAACTTCTGCAGAATTATTTTATTTGTACTCTGGTTTAATGACATTTACTCCTTTTTCCAATTGTCTCTCAGGTTTATATGATGAAATCTGATCTCAGCTGAAATGGCTGGTAGAAAAAAGTAATTGCAAAAAGAACCACCCAAAGACTATTTTATTTCAGTAATTCATTTCATGAATTAAGATAATAACTTAAGGTAATAACTTAGTAATAAGGTAATAACTTAGATCATTCAGTGATTAATAGTACACAATGAAGTCAAAATCATGTTTCATTCACTTTTCATTTTTCTCAGGTTTGAACTGAGAGCAGATCTTAAATATTCACATTTTCTAAAATTAACCTAAAAACAATCTCACAAAATCTGTTCATATTTGTGTTTTTTAATTTGAATTTGTTTTCCCTTGTTTTTGTAAAAAAGAAAAAAAAAAAACTAAAAAGTTACTCCATTATAAATGCTAAAATAGTTCATAATTGTGACGGTTATGGCCTGAACAACCGTAGGAAGGAAAACACAAAAGGCCTTTGTTAATGAAGCTAGCTGTCAACAGTGGAAAGTTGAAAAGAAACAAGTGTGCTTCAAAAAGCAGCAGAGATCCTGTAACTGTTTTTGGTAGCAGTAGACAGTCAAACTCTCTACACCTCAAAAGGTGTAGACTGAAGTCGGATCTTCCAGAGCCACCACACAAATGAAGCTGATATACTTATTTTAGGACACATTTTGTCCTGCTACTCAGTATATGAAAAGAGGAGGTGGAGTGTACTGATACACCACTGACCTTCACATCAATGTCTCTGATACTGCCCTGGTGCATGTTGAAGTGAACAATCTCAGGACTGAGACCAGTCTCCATCTGGACGTACATCTGGTAGCAGGTGTGCATCAGCTCCTTGGCCAGGTCCATGTGATCAGCAGGGAGGCCATTATGAGCACCGAGGGCCAAAGTGCCAGGGAGGAAACATACCAGATGATCCTACAACAACAAATCACACAGGGCCAGTCAATGAGCTAAACGCAACAAGAAACCTTCATGCTATTTTAACTTTAAAGGTAAAACAAACAAAAATAAAAAGCATCTGTAATAACTGACTGAAGAGACTGGTGCCTCATCCTTTCAAACATCAGAAGATCTTTGAAGTCTTTAAAATTAAACTAAGGCCACAGATGCACAGTACCTCCCACCTGGAGAAGTAGTATCAGTCACTGAAACTTGAGACACTGGTCTAACTTCTTCCCCCTTGTGGTCAATGTTAATAAACCTTTACTTTTATAACTCTTTAACCCTTAAATCCTTTTTTAATTTGACTTCTATTAAATGGACACTAAAAAAAGAACTTAAAGGAGTAGTATTAGGTAAAAATCAATGTTTCTGAGCTATACATAATAATATGTTTACATCATAATGTTATTCCGTGAGTAAAAACATAGTCTAAGTGCTGCTTTGATTGTTTCATGCAAGTTTTAGAAATTCTTTAATCTCCCGTGGCAACCATTCAGCTGTGCAAAATGCCTAGTTGTACCAGCACCACTTCAGAGCTTCCACCCACAGAACAGCTTTCCCTCACCGCTGCCCCGTTCAGCACTCCAACAGCAATTAGCAAACACCTGATGAGCTCATCAACAAGCCACTTTTCAGTGTAAAAACATTGTCAAAGGGCTAATTTAGAAGAGTAGTTAAAACTTTCTGAACGCAGAGTCTCAGAAACACCAGGAGTTTTTAAAATGACAAAAAGGCGTTTTGTCAATTTCAAGGCGTTAAATTACAAAGTAACATTTCTTTCAAGTCATATTTGAAATATATAGCAATTTTATAACAACTGAGTGTAACACAGTTTCTTGTTATGCTATAAAATAACCTATCAAGCATAAAAAATACATAATACTGCTACTTAAAAAAAATAATTCTGCCCATTTTATTTAGCGTGCAATGGGTTTGTTGCTTCCTTCTAAGGCAGCATCTGAATCTTGAAATGTGCTGTAGGGTTTCCAAATTTGAAGGTTCCTCCAAAAGCGTTCTCCTTTTCCTTAGATATGAAGGACGTGTCTGGTGTATTCTTGGCAGCCGAAGCTATCCCAAGATTTATTGTAGGCTGGATTAGAAATTATTCTTCTAACAACAGAGGAAGAAGTGAGAGATGGAGGACTACAACGTTATATAAAAGTACATTAAATTCTGTCTGTACAAAACATAAAAGCTTAAAACCCATGTTTTGTTAGGCTTTTGTTATTTGTTATATATGTTTTTATATAATTTTGTAAAAAAAATCAAATAAATAAAAATAAATTGATTTAATCAGTCAACTTATTTAACCTAAATGATCAAATAAGTAATTTAAAAAAACTCAGCAACATTACTAGGTCTATTTTTACCAGCTTGTGCTTAGCACTATCACAGTTGCTAGACTACAGGACATACATTGAAGTAAAGGCAGTAATTAATTTAATTCAATTCAATTCAAAAATATTTTATTATTTCCAAAGGAATGCTTACTTCTGGTGTTCACAGCACTTGAAGGACCTGGCCTGCATCAAGCAGGCAGGATGGAGCCAAACCCAATATGTTGTCCTCAACAGCAGCATACTGCAGTGTCAGATTCTTCTTAGTAATAATAAATGCAAGTTTAACTGTTACTAACCATTTTTGGACTGAACTGTCCATGGGAGAGTTCTCCAAGAAAGACAAGACCGTTTGGTGAAGATTTCTGTAGCAAGTTCTTCTTTATACCCTCAATGGCCTGCAGGTAGTCTTCCAAAAACCTAAAGGATCAAAAAAGTATTCAGAAACAGCAATGTTCTGTATAATTAGCATAGCACCGACTGCAAGCTGATCGCTGATCTTTAAAGAATCTGACCAGCCAATTCTGATTTCTTTGTGTGAAATGTCATTAAATATAGTAAGAAAGTCACTTTGTTGGTAAAAGTGGGGTGACTATTGTTAACTGCAACTTGCAGACATGACATGGTGGGCCTCTCTATCAGTCAAATCTCTCTCACTGGAGAGCTGATTTGTGGACCTTTGCTGAGGTAGAGAAGATTGAGGGATAAGATTGGCTTCACATGTAAGCATTGGCTAATCAGAGGTCTCCCAAAATTAAGAAAATCAGCGCTGATAAATAAGCTGGATGGTAAATCAGTGCACCCCTAGTTACTAGACCAGGTTTTAATAGTCAACCAGACAAAATCCAACTTAAAATTATGATGCACAGACAAGCAACCTCATAACAGATAAGCACATACAGTCATGTTCAATACATAAGATTATTCATGACAAGTTGATGTCTTTCAGTAACTCCATTCACAAAGAATGTTTTCAAATCTTTTCTTCTGTTGATGACTTTCTGCTTAAGATAACATTTAAGTTTCAGATATTACACCACTCTCACTGTTTTTTGCAATTCCTTTATCATGCAAATGTATGCAAAACCTACAGATCCCCACATTTTTATGGGCCAATTCCCACCTTTAGGAGGCAGTATTTCTTACTTCTATTACACTGCTGCTTCAGTCTTAGTTCATGTCACAGTCTGATCGATGTGGCGAGTTACAAGATTGAGGTATTTAAGTTGTTTGAAAAATAAAAATGTTTGTGTTCAATCCGGCTGGTCTTTTTTGTCTTTTTCCTTCTGCACGTAGATTTTACATGACAAATGAGCCTCATTAGAACACATTTATTGAATATGACTGTATATAAATGCATGTGCTGATGTTAAATTTAACTTACTGCTTCTCCTTCTTGCCACCTTGGATCCACTGCTTCAGCAGATATTCATAGTAGCTGTCTGCTCTGGCTCCCAGTGTATAGATGCCTTGATGAGTGAACTGTCCACTATTAGTGTTGATGAACATGGGAACAAGACCATCCAGCTTGCCTTCTTGCTTGTGGACCTGATTCATGACTTCAGCTACTGCAGCCTGTACAGACATCAAGAGAGTTCAACTGTAGACACTGCTGAAGTGTCTACAGTGTCTACAGTGTCTACAGTGGAGAGTAGTAGTACACTTTCAGGTTTTGGAATTGGAAGTTATCTTGATGAGCTACTAATTCACATGAGCATGAGCTGCAATTGTGATATCCTTTGCAATATCACAATCGCAAAGGATGCTCTGACACAATATAAGATGGACAGTTACAGTTCATGTCTTTTAAATTAAAGCTGATAATCCATGTCAATCTTCAATAATGCTATCATAATGTCCTGTTTCTCTGGTAAAAGACACTGATCCAAAAACACTCAGTTAGGCAGAAGAATCTCCTAAAACTTTAAGGATCTGAATACTAATTTTCTGTTTTATTCAGTTTATTTCAGGAAATATGGTTGTAACAAAGCTAATGAAATGAAACTAACACTAGATGATACTCAGATCATCCACAAATGGGAATGTATCAAATCAGAGCATAATAAATATGCCACAAGTTTGTATGTGTAATTTATGCAGATAATATGCAAATCTGGTCCCCACCTGACATGTTTTTTAGAATATGGGTTAATGAAGCATTTTCCAGACAGGTTGATGACCCTACTTTTGAAGTTGAGCAATTTGAAGTTGTGTATAGGATAATACAACTGTAAATATTGTACAATATTTTTATGAGTTCATAGAACCACTTGAAAGTGTGGTCCCCACAAAAGATAATTAGAAAATTTGTCCCCACTCCCCATGGAAACCAGTGGGCGTGTGTGTTGACGGCAGGCAGAGCATAGTGATGGGCTACCTGGTACTGAGGTTCCTGGGTGAGCCGGCTGAGCTCCCTGAACTCCAGCTGAATACTTGTAACTTCAGCCACAGTGCTGTCAGAGGTCCAGCGGGGCGGGTGGGCAGAGCCTTTCCCGATGTTTACATCAGAGTAGGGAATCTTGGACTGTGTGTTGAAGGCTGGCATCAGCCTAGAGCCAACGTCTTTCTGTGGAAGTACAGTGGCTTTGAAAAACAGCTGTCAACATCGCAGCAAGTTAACATTAAAGCAACACTGATGACTGATTGGTAAATTTAGTTTTTTGTCTGGCAGAATAGATCAATGTGATGTAACTAGTGGAAAGTTAATAGGCACATGATGCCTAAGGATCATTATGACTGCTTTTCACTCTGAAGTTGGTGATGCCACCCTATATGCCAAGTACATTTGATTTTCTACAGGACTTTCAGACGTTAATTTTAATTGGAGACCTACAGTTTAATATGTTAATTGCATTTTCTTTTAAATATACCAAACATATTAACTGAATGCATGTAACAGCACTTTATGCCCACAGATTACAAACTAATATTTTGGTTGTTGAACTGAGATATCCATTTAGTCAATAATTTAGCAGGAAAAATGGTTTTTGAATTCAAAAATGTTAATCTACAGTTAGATTAAAATGCGATTTATTTTGATTAATTAATTATAGACACTACAAATAACTTCATAAAGCAATTTTAAATTGAGTCCTACTGCTAATTTAATTATGGTTCTGAATTTTTTTTTTCAGTAAAAGAATTCACTAAAATCCTCAAAATTAATGTGGCAGAATGCATTATTAGCAGGTACTGTTTGATAGGACCAGATGGACAATTTAATGGAACCGGTGACTAAAGCACTCTGTCTGATAAAGAGTAAGCATTCTTTAAGAGCCATTTGTACAGTAGCAACTATAGACTCAATATAATGACAGATTAATAGCCATAAAGACCGTTACATACTTTTCAATGCAACTTTTTAACATTGCAATACATACCACAAAATATTGTGATTAAGTTTCCAAAAAGCCTATCCAGAGTACTGGTAAATATATTGTGGATAAATGTATTTTCCAATGAAGAAGTGTTTCCACTCTTTTGTCTATGTAGGCATCAACCAACTTTATTTTGAAAAACAATCAGATAATCCACTAGTTTCAGGTAGATGACATGCTCAGTGAGTAAAAGACACTGAACATGTCAAAAGTGATCTGAAAGTGAAAGAAATGGACAGATTACTGCATCTGAATCAGTGTGGATTCCAGATCCGGAGACTCACAGCTTTGTCCAGGAAGAGGCTGTCTCCGGTCAGGTGGTAAGTGCTCAGGAGGCCTCCCAGGATGCGGATGGTAGTTTCAAACAGATTAACATCAACATTTTTGTTGAAGGTGAGCTCTGAGGCAACCCATTCCCTGGCTTCTTTAAACTCTGAAAGTTTATGAAAGTAGTTTGAAAGGTTTCCATGAAAGTCATTCCTCCTTACATGTAACTACAAAGTTTCTGATCTGCAGTTTCTTACAGTTAAAAAGCAGTTTTCAAAGACCAGAAGCTAAAAACCAATAGAGCAAGGGTGCTCAATACGTAGCTCGGTATCGACTAATCGATCTTAGGAAGGTTTTGAGTCGATCTCAGCAGCAAATGGCAAACTGAAGGCCGCCAGGACGCTGAGACCAGCACTTCCTCTTCTGACAAGCTTATCAAAATATTCACCGAGATCTAAAACGTTTGTAGCTCCATTAAAGAATAATCATTTTTTTAAAAAATCAACAAAACGTATTAAAATTAAAAATCAGTAATTATTGTTTCAACAAGGTGTTGCACAATTTGGTGTGTTTCAGTTCCATCAACAAAAATAAAAAGGCGACTCAAAGACCGACTGACTAGCGGAGTAGGTATTTAAATTAGCTCATCAACCACTGCTGTGTTCATTAGAGGCTTATTAATTATCAAGAACTAAATATCAGTCCTTGAAACCTGACATCGTAACCGCCTGAATGTTTTTAATGTAATCTCTGCTCGGCTTGCGGGGCGCAGGCGGTTGCCACGGCAACGGGTGTGCTTACACCAATGTTTTTCAACCACTGTGCCACTAGTGTGCCGCGGGTGATCATCAGGTGTGCCGTGGACCTAATTGGTCTAAAAAGATTTTTTGAAAACAAATTAATTAACTGCAAATAATATGCCATTTCCGAGTGTCTGTAGTAGTGACTAGTAATTTCTTTATGACAGGATGGCAGTAGGTACATAGCATTGTATGTTAAAACAAGAGAATTAATGATGAATGAATGTGACAGGTAGCGGTGAGAGCATTGCACCTAGCAAGACTGTGATGACAGTGATGGAAAAGTTTTTGAAAAAAAAAATGCTAACTTCGGACCCAGATGAAGGCTAGGGCCTTCATCTGGGTTAGGGATCTGGGCCTTCATCTGGGTCCGAAGTTAGCATTTTTTATCAAAGGAAGGCAAATACCGTGAGCTTTTTCTTTTCCAAATATTAGTGCTTATCTCAGAAAGGGAATTATTTTCTGTATTCTGGCTAAGAGAGTGCTTGTGGACAGAATTAGTCATCTTTGATTCCTATTCAAGGCACTTTGATAAGAACTACTATATATTAATTTTTTTTTAAATTTTCATTTGTTTAGATTTTTGGTTGGTGGTGTGCCTCGTGATTCTTTCAATGAAATCAATGTACCTTAGCTCAAAAAAGGTTGAAAAACACTGGCTTACACGATAAAGAGAGTAAAAAGGTGTGAGTGGTTTTGAGTTGATCACCTGTTTGGGTTGTTTCACCTTTGTTTACCTTTGCTGTGGTTCATCACAGCCACTATAGTTTCTGAACGTTCAATAAATGACAAACTTGGACTAATTACCTCGTTCGTTTGGAGTAAACATCACAATAAACATCAAATAAGACAAATATATTTGATTAAGTTTTAACAAACAAATGGCTTCTACCATGATAATTATGTGAAATTAAATTAATTATATCCCAACTTCAGAAGATTTGTCTTTACCTTCACAGAGCTCTTTGGTTACTCCTATCAGTCTGTAGTTTCTCATATCGATGTCATCAAACCAAATTTCAGATCTACAACAACTGACTGACACCTACTGGCCTCAGGTTTGCAACCAGCTTCTGACTGAGAAACCAGTAACCCACTCCCAGTGTGAGAATCTCACTGAGGAAGAAACTGCATTAGGTTTTCTATCACTTTATTATTTCTGATATAACTGATGTATATTCGTATAGAAAATGAGTCAATAGGGTTAAATTTACAATTTTTATGTCTTTGTGTCATGAGGTAGATCTCAGCCGGCTGGTGAGAGAAAAAGTAGATCTTGGCCTCAAAAAGTTTGAGCACCCCTGCAATAGAGTGATTTCTGTTGCAGAGCAAAGGTAAACTTGATTATACCCTGCTTGAGCTCCAGAATCCACATAGTGTCCAGGGCATCAATCAGCGTGAGACCGAGCCCGAACCACTCGCTGTAGGACCTGGAGACAGGCCGGAGCTCGTCGTGGCCCCAGGCATATTCTTTGTAACCCTTCCAGGCATGTCTGAAAGCTTCCCGCACTGCCTCCATCCGCTCTGTCTCTGGAACACACAACTCACTGTTCACTGGTGCATAAATATCACAAAGCAGAAACATGCTTTCATTACTTTGTAAGGTATTTTTTTAAATGTCTAGGAAAAGACATAAATAGAAAAAAATGTAAAACATGCATGTATATGAGGGCAGCACGACATTAGAAAATCCTGCACTGGTGATAACATTGGTACATATTGTAAAGATGATGTTAGGTACGATATATGCCTGTTTTTTTCTTCCTTCTCAGCAGTGCTTCTATCCCTCTGTAATGTGATGGAATGTTTTATTATGAGGTAATATATTATTTACATTTCATTGATCCGATGGTCATGTTATGACTGTATTCTAAACCTTTATGAACTAAATGAACCACTGGTTGATACCCAAGCTTAGATGTTTTCTGCATTTGAATGGCAGTCAGACTGACTTTTCCGTGTTTTGGATTCTTATTCCTGGTATAATAGGATAATTTTCTTGGAATTTTTCAGCCAACAATTATTGCTTTCCAATACTGATATTTAAAATATCAATATTGTGCTCAATAATATTGAGAAAATTACATTTCCATTAACATCTATTTGTTAAAAATGCTTAAAAATTAATATTCTACATTGCAGGGGTTTATAAAACCAAAAACTACCTAAAACTTTTGACTGGTTGACATTCCGGTTGCCAGGAGAGTCCTCCTTGTTTTCTCCATCTTTGGAACCTTCTGTGGCCTGGACAGTGTCGATCACTGCCCCATGCCAGCTAAAAGTACCAGAAATTTAGAAAAAACAAAACATGCATTTCTACTTCTAAATTAACAGTTGTATTTCAACATGGTAAACACAATATAATGCTCTCTGAATGACATCAAAGGACAATGCAGTTTAGGGTTGCCACCTGTCAGAAATAAAAATAAGGGATGCTCACCACTTTGGGGTCACCATGGTGGAGGTGCCCACAGAAGCAGTACATTTTATTTGTAAACACAAAAACAAACAATAGTACAAACATTAGAGGTGTGTTAAGAGTACCTAAAAATTGTACTCCAATCAGATTAGTATAACTTCAACATGTTGAGTAGAAGTAGATTGAACTTTAAACGTGTAAAAGAGTGTAAAAAGTATTTGCTAAGAAGTCTACTCAAGTACTGAGTAACTGATTGTAACATATGATTTAATGTTTTAAATTCATGTCAGCCAAAAGTAAGCAACATTTTTTCTACCTATTTAGTTTCTGCCGTGACAATTTAGCTGACCTTAATATTTCCTGTGTTTTATTTTGGTCATTGTATGATAGGAGTGTCAATCAGACATTTATAAAAATGTACAACAAATTGCATCCCATAACGGTTTCAATAGGAGACGCTACATTTAACAGCAAATAATATGGGACGATTAAGTATCATACAGGAGGGGTGGCAACCCTAACGTGCTACGAACCTGAAACCTGTAGAATGACATAGCAGCTATTGTAACCACACTGGTAATTCTTACCTGATGACTCTCTCCTCCTCTTCCTCCTTCTTGCTGTCAGCTGCCTTGACTTCAGAAAGGATATTAGATGTGTTTCCTTTCTTCTGAAGACGGTTTGGAAGCACAGGCGGTCCTCTCTTATTGGATAATTTTCTCTGTCAAATGACATCACAAGCAACAAGAATCAGCAAATTATATCTAAACCTTGTTATAGCTTAAAGAAATGCATGTTCATGAAACATAAACTGGAAATATGTGCGGTTACAGAGCAAAAATTTGACAAACACATTAGTCTGTAATTATGCTTTGTCATTTTAATTCATTTCTTAACACTTGAAGGGGATTAAATATGTCAAAACATAACCAGTAATCTAACTGTGGTTGCCATGATCAACCAAATGACCCCTGAACACATGATGTCAAATGTTATTTATTTATGTTGACATTTTTATGCATTTTTAAAATTATTTACAAAACATGGAGTCTCACATAATTCCCTTATATCATTGAGTAAGAAAAGATATGGAGCAGTTTTTGAAGAATTTTGGCCGTTGCTTCCTGCGACCTGATCAGGTGGGGTCAGCTAGGCTCTCATCGCCACACAGACAGAAAACAAGGTCAGCTGTGGCAGAAAGGCTCACTAAACCACTGAAGTCATCCATGAAAGTAAAAACAAATACAAGCTAATAGAAAAGTTTAAGACAGAGAAACACCTCAGCAGTTTCAACCATTTGTGGTAAAGCTGGGGAATCATTGGCTAAGAAGACTAGCTGCCATATATTGAAGATGCCTGTCAAAGATGAAAGAAATAAAAATGAAGATAGGTCCTATTCATTATGCACAAGGTTTAATTGTTACAGATTTACTTTTCAGACATATTTTGATGCCAAGTTAAACTCTAAACATCTTTATTTTGCTCCTAATTGTTTTTTTCATTCTACAAAAACATGACAAGGACATATTTTTGAAAACCCTCAGGGATCTGTTGAACTCTCAGCATCCTCTTATATTTAGTAAAAGTTGAATAACAGTATTATTTTTCCCAAACTTCAGAATTTCACATTTTGGATTAATAAATATGGTTGAACTGGAAAAAGTGGAATTTGGGACAAAATAAAATCAAACTTAGAAAATAATGAGACAGATTTTGCAGGGCTGTAGAAGTCTTTAGGTATGCTGTGATACACCATATATGCCAGTGGTGATTCTAAGCCAAATCTGTAACCTGAGAGAGCTGTTCAGGCAGGGGGTCTTGGCCCTTTTTGACAGGCTCCAGCAGCACATGAGGTTTGAATGGTTTCAGAAGAATGTTGCTCTCCATCTCCTCCTCTCTTACCGTAAAACCTTGAAACAAGCAAAACAACAATCAGTTTTTACTGTACAGAATACAAAAAAACCCCCAATTTATTGTTTAGTAAACATTCAAGAATGACAGCTCATCAAAAGCACCAATAACAAGCTAAAAAGCAAAAGGTTATCCTGTCAACGTACAAGAAAACTTACCTCGGAGCTGCTTGGTAACAGAAGAATATGAAGCTAAGCCACAAATGAAAAGCAGTACAACCATGAAGAGGAAAAGACTCCGCTGTAGCCTGGACAGCTGCTTCCATTTCTAAAGACACACAGAAAGGGAATCTCACTGCGACAGAGTATGGGCACTAACTCATAATGTTCTGTCTCCTTATAGAATCTGGCATGCTGAACAGTTTCACACTGTGAAAATAAGCAAATATATCCATCTACTACTTTACAATGATTAAAGTGTCACTATCATGATAAAATTACTCACAAGATTTAAAAAGATGAACTTCTGTGCTTTCATTCTGAGGACACAAAAGTTTTTAATAATAAATACTTGTCTCAGGCAGCTATAAATCCCAAAGCATTTCAGAGCACCACTGTTTTTGTCTGTGGTAAATGAAACACCAGTGCAAACTTGCGACGTAATCCGAGTAAGTCAAACCATAAATAACTGAGGATGAGAAGCAGAGGAAGATGTGAGCCAATGCAGTAAATACTTTGTGCAATTTATCTGGAGTTTTGGAAGAAGAAGCTGGATGGAGTGATGAAGAAGAGAGAGAGCTAGTACTACTGAAGAACTGCATCATGACTAATGATGACTAATGTTTCTGGGGAGGAAATGTCCTAGTTTGAAGGGTTGCAGCTGGGAATCTGAACCAATTCATTGATTGGCAATGAGCAGCTCTTTGTATATAATATTCAGCTTTCATTCAAAAATAGTTCAGCATGTATTCCAACATATTAATGTTCAGGAACCAGCTTTCCCTATGCCTTCTATTTACAAGTCTAGAGTCAGAGGGCTCTTTAGACCTATGGTAAATTAAATTAATCCTTCACCATCCAGGACTCTGAAGATCCTTGGATCATATGAGTTAGAACAACATTTGATTTGACCAGACAAAGAACAGAACGGATGGCTTTCCCATCAGAAGGAAGCGACTTACCCTCCAGTACGACTGTCTCCGCCACTGCTTGCCATTTTTGTAGTTCCCAGTCTGTTGTCCAGTGAAGTGGATAGACACGTAATCCGGTCGGCTGGGCGCGTGCATATCTGTAACTAAGCATTGACACAAGAGGCGTGGCGGTAATATTCATCCAAACAGGGCAACAAAATTCATATCAAGAATCAGGCATGGGACGCATGAGCGGCTGCGACAACGTCAAATGTCATGAACAAAAAATACAAATATTTGAGCCAAGTCTAGTAATTTTTATGACTCCAATATATGACGCTTCGTACTCTTAGCTTAAATGTATTGGTAGTTAGCATAGCAGAGCTAGCTCAGTATAAACAGCTATATATCAGAAGTCTAGTTTCTCGGGGTTACCTCTGTGTGAAAGGAACACTGTAAGAATGACTAACATTGACACGAGGTGGCCACTAGACACTAGAAAGGGCCACACCTTTAAGTTTCTCAATTAAAGTTTTTTCGACTTTACTTACTAACTGTGGTCCGAGCATAACCCGAGGCCTACACACACCAAAGGTAAACAAAGGAGCCCTTTGTAAGTATAGCACTGTGACCATTCCTACATCATTACTCCGTTCAAGACTTTAGAGGTTAACAACACAGAAACAGGTGTACAACTATTGTTCACTTACTTTTAAAACCGTACAGCCCTCACAAATCCACCACAAACAGAGTCACATCAGTCGGTGTTTCAGTGGCAAACATCCCGTTGTTAACAAAGTAAGTTCGGAGGTCTTTTCATATCCAAGGCTGTTTAGAAAATACACAAGCTAAATAGCTGTGCAAAAACAAGTTTAATTTCAAACCAAGATGCTGGCTGCATGTCACCCACTTCCAGCTGTAAATGAGCTGCAGCTCACGTAGATTGTTACCATGCTGCGTTCAAAGACCCATAAGTAAAACGGAACATTCAATGACTAGGACAAGTTGCTTACCTAACTGCACTGAAAGAGACACATTTCTTTAAAGTTAGCATCGCAATGTTAATAACAGCTTGAAAAACGCTTCTTTTTACAGGCTGTATGGCAAGGTTCCTGTTCCCTTCTGTTGCTGTTTCATTTCAGCAAGGAAGAGGAATCCAGGACGGCTGTGTGATGTACCTACTGAATCCAAGCTGACATGCAATCTTCTGCATGGAGTTTGCATGTCCTTTCAATGCATGTGGGTTCTGCAGGTATGAGTGTGTATTAATATCTGTTTGTCCCATATGACAGCGAGAGAGACAGGAACAGGACATTTGTACCTACAAAATTGATGAGAATACTGAAACTAGTGAAGGAGGCTACTAAGAAGCCAACAGTGCAAAAACTATGAGTTACCATTTTGGTGCTGGATTGTCAAAAATCTCATGTATTCTATTATGTCAGAGTAGTATGGGGGAGTTCTTATCCTTCAAAGAAAACAGACATGTTTTCTTTGAAAATCTCTCAAAACCTTGAGGGAGAATACTTTATTGTTTGATAGAAATTGTAACTTTTGGGCCATAATCACAAGTAGTTTACTTTTGGCACAAAATCAAACATCACCAAAACAACTCTATACCAGCAGTGAAAGCTAGTGATGAAATCATAATGCTCTAGAATAACCTTTACTCTTCTTTAGCAGGGGTGGAGGAGGCTTGAGCCCCAGCCCCTTTCTTGATGCCCCAGGTGTCCTTTTTGAGGATAAAGAAATGGTACTCATAATAGTGCCTGCAGTGCTTACCTCCAGATTTTCCTTTAAGTAAAAATAAATAAATATATATATATATATATATTTTTTTTTGTATTTATGTTTCTTGCGCCTATTAGAAGTCATACCTTCACAATAGTGCAGAGTAGTAATGGGTAGATGAGGCGTCATGAAGTGTTTCGATTAATAGCAAAACTGTATTGATACTGTGTTGATACTGTGTTACTGAATACTGACACCTGCTGGACATGTGTTCCTTCTATTCTTGTACTCTACCTGGTAATGGGAATGTGAAAGTGATGCTTTCAGGAGAGTGCATCTCTCATGCTTCACAACTGTAATTTATATGTGAGTCAAACATTTTTTTTTTTTTTTTTTTACAGATAAAACAATGAAAAGTGTGCTGTGTTAAAGTATTCACCCTCGCCCCATGGAAGTCAAATACTTTGCGGAACTATTTTTTGCTGCAATTTCAGCAGATAGTCTTTAGGGTTTGTCTCTACCAGCTTTGCACATCCAGTGAAAATAAAAAGAATGTTTGTTCATTCTTCTTTGTAAAGCAGTTCAAGCTAATGTTCAAGTCAGATTAGATGTAAAGAGTTTGTGAACAGCAGTTTTCAAATGTTGCCAGAAATTCTCAATCGGGTTGTAGTTTGGATTTTGACTGGGCCGTTCTAACACATGGGTATCTTTTTATTAAACCATTCTGTTGTAACCTTGGCTTTATGTTTAGGGTTGCTGTCCTGCTGGAACCTTTGCCCCAGGCTCAAGTCTTTTGCAGACTCCAACAGGTTTTCTCTGACTTTGCCTTTTATTCCATCCCTCTTCCCTTGACTTCTGTCAAACAGCCAACCGGACTTCTTATAATTTTCTTTTGACAATGGCTTTTTTCTTGCCACTCTTCCATAAAGACAACATTTTTGCTGTGGACAGACTCCCCCTCACATTACATTACACACAGCTGGACTCTATTTAGTCATTAGCAGAAATCAGGCAACTTCTGAAGGCAATTGGTTGCACTCAGAGAAAAGAGTATATTTTCCACACCACACTTTTTAGATTTTTATTTGTAAACACTTTTTGGAATCGTCTACCTTTTTTTCTACTTTACAATTGTATACCACTTTGTGTTGGGCTTTCACATTAAATTCTAAAGAAATATATTTCTGTTTGTGGTTGTAATGTGACAAACCATGGAAGGGCTGTAAATAATTCAAGGACTATTAATGCTCTTATTTCTCATCTCTGCTTGTGAGCATGTATCCATCAGAAAAATCTGTGAAGCTACTGTAACAGGAAAAATGTATCAAATTGGGACCAAGTGTATTTTATATATGCCTGTATTTGCCTGTGTTAACACTTATCACTTTAACATGACTGAGACTTCATATAGGCATCCAGTGGATTAAATGTAATTGAAAGTTTATTTCAAGAAGAATGGCTTCATACAAAATGCAGAAACAACTTAAGAATTGAAGTTTTGTCAGTATACATAAAATTTGGAAAAACAAATTTTACACTAAATTTCCACACCCAAAGGATGAAAGGATGAAGGGATGAAGTGCTAAAATGTTAAAAAGGGGGTCATATATTGTTTTCATTCAAATAATTGTTTTTTCAGTGGGAGAGCAGGATTTTGTGTTTTCACATTCAATAGGTGTTTCAGTGCCATAAGGATAATAGCAAGACTTTAATGACATTGGAAAAAGCAGCATTCAATTATAATAGCAGATATTATTTTCATCCAAAGCAAAGTTTGATGCGAGAAAGGTTTTGAAATGTGACAGCAAGGTTCAAAGGCACAAAATCAAAGCATGAAAACAATGAATTCTGCTCCGTGACTGAAAATGTCTATTTAAATAGACATTAGATTACACCCATAGAATTAGTGACTTAAATATTAATAAGCATTGTTAAACCCCATCATACAAAATCTACAAATGATAAAAACAAGCACAGTGTTTCTAAAAAACACCAGATTTCCTCCATGCACATACAGTACACTGTTAGAACATGCAAACATTTGGTGTTTTTTATTTTTATTTTATTTATTTTTGTAAAAAAAAATAATGTACACCCCAAAAGATATGCACAACCCAGGAGTTTGGATCTAATGGGTATAAGTCAGGTGATCATCTTAGACAGATGTACATATCCTTTGATGCAATACAGACCTCAGCAAATAATTGTTTCAGCAGAACAATATGAAAATAGCTGAGACATGTTGGTTTTAAAAAACATTGTTATATTTTCCAAAGAGAATGACACATCTCCCATAAGCGATTTTCCATTTGACATTAACATGGGTAAATATTATGCATGCAAATACATGTATAAAGTTGCTATAGTCCCAAATAATTGTTGTCTTGTTTACACTTTGTTCCTCAATACATTTCAAGTCTTCTTGTTTGCATGTTTTTTTGTTTTTTAAAACATTTGGTCACAATCATGCTGAATCCTGAATCAGTAGCTACAGAATGGACTGGGTGGAGAACTAGGGAGGTTTTGTTGCATAGCTCTACTTTTCTTGGCCTTCTTCTCCCTTCTTTTCCTTGTAGGCCACCAAAGACACAGGCTTTCAGAGAACCCGCAATCCATTCAGTCTGTTGTTTCAGATTCCTTCCATCTTGCACAGCCACAATGGGAAGCAAATAAACCTGCCAAGAATTTTCAAGATCCTTTTTCAATGAGTTGAACAAAACAATTATTGTTCAAGTGCAGAGTAGCCTTCGTATAATGTCCTGGTCAATACAAAGTACAGCTCTTAACTTCAGTTCACAGGCCTCACATGAACACTTGAAGACAACACTTGAAACACGAATCCACTAGTCGACTCTCTGTGACATCTATATGTTCTACATGTCCTTTCACATTTATTATGACCCTTCATGGATCACAACTTATCTGCTACTTCTACAGTGGGTTGCATCACTTCACAATGGATTTTCCACATTAGCACAGCATATCTTTCTGACAAGTTCCATCAAAGCTGTTGGCCGCTTTATTTTTGTTCACATATTAGCTGTGTCCAAATTTTAGAATCCATATTGATAAGATAGAGCAGCTTTGCTAAAAAGGATCGCCACAGATTTATCAGTATCTATTTATATGTCGACAAATTCCAACAGAGACTCCAAAAAGATGTTTTGATATTTGTAACATTTCGTTCAACCAGTTGTTCCTAAAACTTTGCTTGCTGCAGCCTTAAAAACATTCCATCATTTTATTAAGTATATGATTACATTTTTGATTTTACTTTTTAAATAACTTTGCATCTTAGGATTCAAAGATTGTTTTAAAGAAAAATCTAATAAAGATTCTAGATGGTTAACTCAACTCATTTTAGGCCAAAATGTTTGTGCCAATGACAATCAAAAGGTCATAGTTATTTTCAACTATGACCTTGGAAATAAAAAAAAAACAGGATATTAAAAATAATGGCAATAATAATGATTATCTGCTGCATTTAATTGACAAGACCAACGTAAAACAATATCAAACTCCTTGATGACACTTCCTCATGTTTTGATAAAACCACGTCAGATGATTTACACTTTTCCATTGATTAAAACACCATGACTAATGGAAAAATCTGTTATTTGCATATGATCAACTTTTTCCACTTCCTTGTCCTGCTGGTGTAAGTGTGAAATGGGATGTCACCTTACACCACATAGGTAGCTAAGCAGCCTGATCCACATTTAAAGAAAATATGTTATATGGACTTATATCATATTTGATCTTTGATGTAGCTAAAAGTGATTAAATGTTTTACTTTGTTCTTCTTTTGTGGGTCACTTTTATACAATCCAACATGAAAATAACATGCTTTTGTTGATAGTATAGGCAATAATCTTGTTTTACTATTTATAATGGTGAAAGTCAAACTGAAATAAAAGCCCAATTATATTCATTTTAATGTACATTATTCAGAAAAATTCTCCTGCAGAGAATGAAGAGCATTCATCCTCTTCATCTTTATTATTATTTTTCTTTTTAGCTTTCTCTGTAGCTAAATTATTCAACTACAAGACTCAACTGTAACTGGCATCACACATAAGCATGCATCATATTGAGTGGTAATTTGAACACAGCTAATAGTGCCATCGTATTGTACTGTAATAAATCAGCAATGAAAGCAGTGGCCGCAAGTACCTCTGCATGATATTATCACATTCATTTATTTATTTATTTTTTTGCTAGTTGCCTCCAAGGGGAACAAGGTAAATGAGTGAAGTTCCACTTACAAAAAAAGATATGCAAGAACCTGTGCTTAGCAGTTTATGCACTTCAACACACACACTAACAGAGCAAGCCACGTTCATTCTCTATGTTCGGAGCCTTCGCTCAGACATGCTTTCTGCTTTCCAGTCAGACATTAGCTGACCCCGCATGGGTTTACATTGAGAATAAGACAGGAGCTTCCTGACATCTTTATCAAAAATACAGGTGTTTGACCAGAGTTACACTCTAAACATGCACACTATTTTACTCTCCTCAGAGTCCATGGTTTTACAAGGAATTAAATGCTCACAATATTGTTAATGTAAATAAAAAAACAAACAAAAGAAAATTATTTTTAAGGTCATTTGTCAAATCATGATTTTCAAGCCTACTGTAGGTATAAATGTTGCTTGCAGATAAGGCGTTCTGTGCAACATGTTTTCCTGCAGAGCTCCATACAAAATAAATCAACTGTCTATTCTGGTGTGGATGCATTACAAAAAAGTTAATGTTGCATTATTTTCTATGTTATATAAATCTAAAAGGATAGGCACTTTGTCTTAAAACATTCCAAACTAAAGAAAATCTGTAAGAAATAGACCTGTAAACAGTTCACTTAAAACACACCAGTGTTATTACATATTATTCAACAAATGGATACAACAGAAGAAAATCATTCACAATGAACTTTTTATAGAAAACACATTGGTCAGCTAACCATGCATTGTTTTGTAAAGGCTGTAAGAAAGAAGTATTTGAAAAAAAAAACAGAAGTGCCGACTGTCAGCCAGCATTCATCTGTTCAACACAGGGAATGTTGCAAATGATCAGATGTCATTGTGGAATGGTGGAGTTGTAAACTAAAGAGCAATCGTTTCTTTTTACAGTGTTGTATAGTCAGAGGTTCTCTACAATGATCCTCCAATCTGCTATTCTGTCTTCTTCCCTGACTTACAGCACTAGTTATTCTGTTGAAACCACCATACTTCCGCTGCAGCTAACTCAAACAAAGTGGGTAGTGATGATTGTGCTGTTGGTTGAGAAAGAAACCTAGAGTAGAAATGTTGACCAATGACTCATTTTAAACACAATTGTCAAGCTCGCATTACTGGTCCAAAGCTGCTTTAAGCACTGTATGTCTTCTGTTGTTGGGAAAATAACTGTGTTCTCCTGCTGAAATATTATGTTATCATCTGTAGACCAGCATGCAATGCTAATCTTCAAACTAAAGAAAATCTGTAAGAAATAGACCTGAAACAATGGCAAACTGTAAACAGTTCACTTAAAACACACCTGAAACAACACTTTCTAGTAATTACAATTATCTACAATATTTCATCAAAGAAATGTTGATGAAATATTTTATCAATATGCAGTTCTCCCAAATTTTGTAAACAATATTTGTTGCCAGATTGAATAGATTTATGAATAAACACCAACTATTTGCTGAGAGTCAGTATGAATTTAGGTCACACAGATCCACAGTGATGGAAATTCTTCAGTTAACAGGAGAGGCTACAAGTTCATTCGATAAAAAGAAACCTCTTGTTGGAATATTTATTGACTTCAAAAAAGTATCTGATGTAATTAATGATAAAATTCTCATCAAGAAACTTGAGCGCTATGGTCTGACACGAGTAGTTTTGCACTGAATGAAAAGTTGTCTCACCAACAGGCAACAATTTGTGCAAATTCAGGGATTTCTTGTCCTAATGCTTGGACATTGTTTGTGGTGTTCCCCAGAGCTCAGTTTTGGGACCAACGTTGTTTATTTTATATTGTTTAGAGATGTAAGTTTTCCAAGATACTAATTTAGTTTTATTTGCCGACGATACAAACATTTTTTGTACAATTGAAAATTTATGACAGCTCTTGATAGAAATCAATTTAGAGCTATGTAAATTGAAAAAGTGGTTTGATATTAATAAATTAGCATTAATTTAGATAAAGCTAATTTTTTATGTTATTCGGAAATTATGAAGGGGATAACCACTATTGATTCATAATAAGATCTGTTGGAAACCTCATGTTAAATATCTGCAATCTAAAATAGCTAGAACTCCCAGATTTGGAAGAGTTTCAAACTGCACAATTTCCATACAAAGCTCGAGACAAACTATTACCAGAAAATATTCAAAAATTGTTTACTGATAGAGTTGGGGGATATGACTATAGAGAACACCTCAAACTTCAGAACTTTAACTGTTCGAACAATGAAAAGAATGAGCATCTCAGTCATTGGTGTGAGGATTTGGAATTATCTTACCAAAGAGTTGAAGCAAAGTCCAAGCATGAGGTATTTTAAGAAAAGCCTCAAAGTGGTTATTATAAATGGATGAACAGGGGTGATGAATTTGGCTGGGAATTACAATACTGTGGATGACTTGGGCAATCGGGTGTAGGTGTGTGGATAAATGTGTGTGTTTGTATATATAGTTATACATTACATATGTATGTATACAAGTAGATGTTTTTGTGTATATATGCATATATGAATGTGTGTATTATTTTAATCTGGTTCAGAAATGGGAAGATTATTCATGTCATGAATTACTGAATGGAAACGGAGTATGATTATGTGAGTTAAATTTCATCATGCTCCTTTTCAGGCTCATAGTCACCGAATAAGTGGAGTATTTACATGTATTTGAGCATGTATATTTGGTAATAGCGTGTTGTATTTACCCTTATAAATATGAAAGTCTTTCTTTGTTATGTCTTCTTGGTGAAATGTCTGTCTGAAAAAAAAAAATAAATAAACAAATTATCAAAATAACACACTGGTATTTTGTGGTTTTTGTACTAAAAATGTTCAAAGACATCCTTCATAGAATTTCAAGAGTTCACTTTGCATGTATACTTGGGAACAGAATTAAACAGAACCAAGAGGACTTTCACTAACATGGAGAATTGTTGTTTGTTATTTGAACGTGTTAAATCATCATTGAAAAGGGATAATCTGTCATAACTGTCTTATTGAAGGACAAGCCAGTGCAGCTTGTCCTGACTTTTATTAAGTTTTAATAAAATAACTATTGGTCAAAATGTTAGCTGCACACACACACCACAACTCATTTCCTCCACAATGGCAAAAGGCATTATGTGTAGCACAACGGCCATCATGAGAAAAAAATCAATGTCCCGTACTGAATGCTACATTTAAACAAGACAAAATAAAGGTTGAATTTGAATATACAGCTGGTCTGCATAAGTCTTATCTAAAACCTTAAGACTCTTATCTGTTCAGGTTATAGGGTATGATTACTAGAACATTGAAGATTATTCTCCCATTTAAATTATTCTTTCAAACTCAATATGGTGGTTTCGACAAAACACTGAAGTAAAAAACACCTAACAACTGCCAGACAAACGTGTCTTATATTGGAAAGAAAATGTCTTTTCTCCTTCATTTTAGAATGCCATGTGAAACATCACCTTAACTTTCTGAGCTAGAATACAGTATTAAACACAAAATTATCATGTAAACTAAAGCTTTCAGAAAAGCTGATAAAACCCATCATAATGCCTCAAAAATGCATTAAAAAAGTAGCACCATTCATTCCCATCTACCTTCTGTACCACAGTGCCCTGTATCTAGTGCCTGGGCTGGTCCTGCCCCCTAAACTTAAGTGGTACCCATTGGGCACACTTGGGTCTACACCAAAAGTTGGATGTAGGGCTCCCATCCTTCGAGGCAGTGTGGTCCGGGGTGACTGTTCAGCACTAGGGGTAGGGGACAGTGATGCCTCATCCTGGAAGACATCCAGCTGGTTCTGGAAGCTGCTGTAAGGACTGCGCAGGGCCTCACCATGGCCCTGGCCCAGAAAGGGCTCTGAGCTGATACGAGTGACAGGGCAGGGGAAGTAGTAGGAACTACTATGACGGAAGGTGTTGTGTTCCGACAGGCCGCGGCTTAGTCGGCCAGGACTCTGAGAAGCCTGACTAGACACAAAGTGCACTTGAGAAGGGTATGCAGTCTTATATCCCACCCCAGGCCGTAAGGTGTGTGGGACCTGTGGGAGCTGCCGGCGTCCACGGCTTGGTGTGCTAGAACCGGATCTTGATACATCTTGGCTGCCTTTAACCAAACCACTGCCCTAGGTGAAAATTGAACAAGCAATTTGAAATGACAGAACAATGACCAAAATATGTAAGAAAAGAAAAAGAATTGACAAGAAGACAAGGACAGGGTCAGAAAGAAACATACATTAAGAAGTGAGAGATACAAACAATGATAAGAAACAAAGTTGAACAGAAAATACAAAGAAGATACAAAAAAAGAACAAACACCAATGATATGGGAACGAGACAAAAATTTATAAAGGGATGAAAAGAGAAAGTGGGAAAAAAGTGAAAGCGAATGAGAGACTGTACTAAAGAAGGACAGAGTAGAAAATGTCTTCAGACAATAAAACCTTTCAGATCAGATATCCTTTCTAAATTCTACACATGTTCTGTCATAAACAGAATGTTCCATCTCTCACCAGAATTTTTTCTGTTCTGAACATTCAGAAATTATTTTCATAAAAACTGAAATATTTAAAATAAGTGAAAAATTTTTCTTGTAAAGAAAATTTATTCCTTACAAGCAGCTGAAGATCAAACATTCCATGCTGGGACCTTTTCACTCACTGTGGAGCAGAAAAAGCCACAGGCCAATCTTCCAATTATGTGCCACACATCTTTGATTCTTTGATCCCAGTTGCAAACTCAGGAAGCACGCATGGCCTGCTACTGTATCTTAAACAACATATTTGTAGGTGCATGCTTAAAAGAAAATCTGATCTGAAAGTTGCTAATGTTTGTAGTTAAAAGAATCCATGATTAGTTGTAACAATAGACTTTATTTGATAACTATTTGTTTTTTGATGTAAAAACAATACCTTTAAACATTAGAAATGATAGAGGTAGTGTTTATTAGGTGAATATATGACCAATATTTAGAATTATTAATGAAACTACAATTCATAATCTCCGACAAGCAGTTAGTACATTCTAGAAAGATAATCAATCAATTTCAATGTTTATGTTACAAATGGCTATATAAAATAAAATAGGAAAGTGCTTCTCCATCATCTGTTCTTGTCAGCTGCAGCCTCGTACCTGCTTTTTGCTGGTTTCCTGCTCCTCTCGGTAGGAGCAGGCGGCAGTAGCAGATTTGAGACAGCAGCGTTCCCGGCTGCAGTAGCGGTCACAGGAGTAGTACCGTTGCTTGTCTGTTGAGGAGTGATGATGTTTCCTTTCATGGGAGCGCCCACGTTTATGGGCTTGCTCTCTGGAGGCAGCAGGTTCAGATGCCGGTTCTTCTGGTCCACCCCAAATGAGAAGAATATTTTTATGTATTAGTGATTTATTTGATTACGACAGTGCATATTAACCAATAATACAACAATTTATAGCAGTGTAAATATGAAGGATTAGCACAATAGCTAAATTTCATCCTTTGTCCTCAGACAAAGGAAGCAAAAAGCAGGTACGAGGCTGCAGCTGACAAGAACGGATGATGGAGAAGCACTTTCCTCAGACTAGAGTTAGTGGCTTAAGGTATCCTGAGCTATCTCTGTAGTTGTGCTGTCATAGGTTTAGGCTACTCTCACTCTGTTTTTTTCTCCCTTCACGCATTATTGGGGCCTGTCATAACAATGCATAATGGGCAGTGACTGACTTGCGAAGCAGGATTATTACCGCTGCGTGCACCCGCACAAAAATTATATCAAAACCTGCGGCTCAATCTTGATAAGGGAGTTATTACTTTTATTGCAATTCGAAGTTACCATGGTGACAAATTGCGAAGAATGACACCCCAAAATCCCATGTTAAGTCAAAGGAGAGAGAAAAAAAAAATTCTAAAAATACACTATTTTTGAGGAATTTCTGCCGTTATGAATTCACGTAGAAATGCCATTCAAATTTCACTTTGTAGATACATCCAAGCTCTGTTTAGAAGTGAAGACAGCATGTCAAGCATGTGAATTACGGTTTGTCCACAACTTGTCTCTTAGGACACCAAAGTTTTAAATTTTTTTGTAAAATTAAAATATAACTGCTGCTCTGCAAGAATGAGAAATGGAGTGAATTTTTGACCCCAAAACATTTTTTAACTCGCCCTCACACCCACAAATATTGCCCTATTGCTATCTAAGTCGGTCATGACATCGCAACGCATGCCTACTCCAGCAAAATGTTTTCGAAATTATGTTTTTCTGTCAAGGTACTTCAGAGCGATATCATGCAACACGGTAAACTCACGCTCTCAGCCATTCATTGTCATACTTTTCAGAAAAATTTCAGAGCTCAGTGCACACCATTTTTCTGTCATTGCTGTTATTACATTGAGGGAGCTACAAATCACAGTATCACAGTACTAGCAGAGACGACAAACGGCCCTCTCATTCATTTCAAACGGTTTTCAAATACGTATCACGGTTCCTGAACGGGAAGGAATTATTTGGACTGCTTTTTTTAGTGAAACTGGCTGGCACAAACAGATGGAATTCTGTCTCTCTCTATGAGTCTCACTTACAGCTGACAGTTGGCAGAGAGGATTAATTAGCGTAGCAACAGAACACAGAAAAGGGCAGAGCTGCTGCTTAGGACTACAAACATGCCATCTCTGTAGCTCTAACTATGACAGAACACTCAGTTAAAAGAGAGGGCTGAGCTGCCATTTAGAACTACAATGATGGTGGATCTCTGAGTTACTTCAAGGTTGAGCAGAATGTTAGAAATTCAGACAGCGGAATGTTTTGGGCATTATATAACTGATTTAACCTAACCACTGTTACTCATAGGATTAGTATAGAAGGGCAGCATTTTTATGGCATTATTTTTGTTGAAGTATTTTTCTGATAGAAAAATAAAATATCAAAGAAAAGTCTAAAAGTAGGAGGACACTGTTTTGTATTTGACACATTGGGTAAATCCACTATTTTACAAAGTGATCTTTAGAAACACAACTTTCTGTAGTGTTTGCTGACTGACCAGCTGAGTTGGGAGGTTGGCCCCCAAGAGGAGTATCCAAAGACCCTTGTCTCTTGTCTTTGTCCCGGTCTCTGCGGTGGTGGCAGTGATGGTGGTGGTGATGGTGATGTGTTCTCTCCTGACGAGGTTTCTCCAAGGTGTAGTCTCTAAGGTTAACCTCTTGGGGCCGCTGTGGATCCACAGTGGTAACAGAGCGTCTCATAGAGCTGGCATCACGACCAGACTGAAGGAGCAAAGAAAGAAAAGGATGAGAATCACATCCTACACAAATTATTTCTGTGGTAATATACATTTCACTACATCATTACATTTCCATCCCTTGCTCCAAGGACTTTGCATTTTCTGATGATCAGCATATATTCTGCATATTTATGTTGGTAGACAGTAAATATATTGAGCCTGCTAAGCATGCTATAAAGTTTGCACCAGTTTTCATACATGCAAACCTTTTTAAGGATCAGAGATGTATTCAAAGTATTAACTTGATGGTTATGGCTTACAGCTAATACCATCCTAAAAAATAGTTAAAGAGAAAATTAAATACGATTAAGAAAATGAAAGGTTTTTATAATACAAAACAGAAAAGAAAAAATAAGTAAAGATCATGTCAACATACAACATGGATGTCACCTGTAGAAGGATATTTCTGGAATAAAAGAACTTGTATTATTTTCATGTAGTATTGAAGTTATCACAGAAACTTTGTTTTGTAAAATGTTGGGCTTTTAGTAACTGGAACCCATAATTATTGACATTAAACTACTTAGAATATTTCTCTTTGTACCTAATTTATTCATATAACAAATTTACTAACACTCTGTGAACACATTTATTACAGCTGTGTAAATTGAAACATGTAACTCACCATAACAGACAATAACTGAGATGTATAAAACTGATATTTGATCTGCAGCTCTAAGATGACCTTCAGAAAACAAAGGAATTTGTTTGTGCAGGATGCCCTACAATGGGCATCCTGCACATTTCCTGCTAAATGAAATGGACCTTAGCATGTGCTGGTAGCAAAAGGTGATAAAACTCCACAATAAGCACATTTTATGAGAAAAGGACAGACTAACACTGTCACTGCTAAACAAAATGTTAGATAACAGTAGAGGTCATAGCAGAGGTCATAACAGGATTTGAAAAAGTTGAGTATAAATAAAAAAAGAAAAAGTGAAGATGGGACATTGTAAATAATTGCTGTGTGGAGCCATGACTCTGGCTGCACTCTAGAGTTCCCATCAAACTCTAGCAGGCTGGTTCCAAAAGGCCAACTTTAATTGTATTGGCTGAAGGATTTCCTGGTCTCCATTCCAAAAGGTGAGAAAACAAAGACAGTAGGTCAGCATGCTCTGATATCTTCTATCCTTTCATTAATCCTTCACTGCAGATTCCCCTCTCTCCGCAACCCAATTACCATTCAGTGAATGTTGAGTCCAGACCCATTTAGAGCAACTTCTCATTAGGCTGAAGGAGAGGAAAGGATCACTGAACCAATGGCTGGCAGTTGGCCAGGGTTTAATCACGTTATTGTAAACTACTCTGCTGTGAAAGCAGGACAAACAACATCACTCCATACTTGAACTGCAGATAGCACTTTAAACGCACAAATCAATCAACTTTGCTCAGGAATAAGCTGCTTCTTATATATCAGTGGATGTTTCAGCCTGAGTTTGATGAACAGGGAGTTCTCTATGCAGGCCAACTCAAACATTGAGAGGCTTCAAGGACAGGTTAGTAAAATATTCAGTTTGTCATCCAAATAAGGGTTCAGTGGCCTGCCTGTTCATTGAGATCAGGTTTCATGACAAATAAAGCCCAAAAAAAATTGAGATAAAAAAAGGAGAGAAAAAAGAAAAATATTTCTAAAACAAACACAAACATGACACAAATGTCTGTGCATTGAACAAACCCCAATTTGGCAGTTTATAAGGAGCAAACACTTCCATTCATATGACAGAGGCATATAAATGCCTCTGTCATATGAATGCTGGATTTCAGCAGTCTGATTGAGGTCAGCCCGCAATCGGACTACTGTGAGTGTTCCCCTCAACATGATAATGCAAATGCTTCAGTTTGAGGGAGTTGAAACAAGATATGACTGCAGGAATAAAGAGGAAGTCCAAATGTGGCTTCATGCAAGTTGAATGATGTTAATAATTATCTTGTACCACGAACACCATGACATTTTCTTTTGACCATGACTAACTTCTTACATATAAAAACATAGATATAAAGACCAGTCCTGCTGGAATAAAAGACTAAAGGATAAGAACGGGAGATCTGGGGTTGTTTTAAAGATTTTGCTATATTTTTGGACTAAATATGAGTCCTTGTGTGTTTCAGCTAGATGTTTTGGCTTCAGAAGGATTCTGTTCACCAGTTTGAATGATAGAACAGAAGGCATGAAAGACTGAGTTGATACTCCTGAACAGTGCTGAAATACTGTATTGTATCTTCTATAGATGCTCTTTTTCTGCACTGCTTTGGTAACTCTTCTGAGGTTTTGTAAGATGGCTAATGTTGTGAACTTGTTTGAAAGCACATTTTACAATTAGAAATAAATTTACTTTAGTGCAATAACGTAATTTTTTATGGGGCTGTCCCATCTTCTTAAATGAACAGATCAGGATCAGTTCATAATTAGAACATTTCTGAACCCAGGTGCCCGTTGGTTGTAACCCACCATCCTGATGCTAAAAATTAGCAACAATGCTACAGTAAGCAACAATGTAGTCAATAGCGTGTGGAGAATCAAAAGCATGTTGACTAACATGGACTTATTCCATTCAGTATGTAAACATTATATAATGTGACATTATATAATTATATGCAGAATTATATAAAGCTAATTCTCGCCCTTTTGGTTAACATTAGCATTCCTATGCCTATGAATTGCGGTGGTAGGCCCCAATAAGTTTATGATGTTAACATGAACGATTGCGGTCAACATAATAATTTGACTCCTATGTATGCGGTTATCCAATCATCAGTACCAATGGGTGTTAAAAAACCCCCCATAATGCATCTTTTCAGTCCACAAGAAAAAAAGATCACCTCTCTGCTCCACTGCTGCTGAGGTATAGTGTTCAGTTTTCTGTTCTTTTCATTCTGTATAATAGACTTATAAGTGGTCTTTTGTTCATATTTGCTATGAATAAAGCCTGTAAGCTGTGAAGGATTTTCTCTTGTATTTCTATGATGTAACAGTGACTAGTCAACTTGACTCTTATCATGTTGAAGTCGTCTAACCCCTATTCCACATCCAGTGTCAGACCCTACGCTTAATGTTGTTCTCCTAATGCCCAGAAAAGCTGACTGCACCAAGAATCCCATATATTTCCAAAGATAAGAGTTAACCTGGTTTGCAGTGAGGATAAACAAAAGCTGAATAACTAAATAATCAGCTCCTAAATATGCTCCTAAAGATTCTGTCTCAAAGATGAGACAGAATACTGTAAGCTCAAATCATAATACCACTGGAGTAATTATATACATTCACTGCAGTTGAAAACATGAGGAAGAGCTGTTACCTGGAGCTCCACGTTGAGGCGAGGCATTGAAGCAGCCCTGCCCTGGCTCTCCAGGCCTGGACCAGGGAGTGGGACTGGGACTGTGCTGCTGACACTGTTCAGCCCTACTGACTCCTGGATATAAAATAAGTTCCACGTTACTTCCTGCATCAACACTTCTTTTTGGCAAGCTGAAAAGCTTTAGGGATATAATCATTAGAGTGTAGGAAAACTCTATCATTTTACAAATGATATCAATGTAGGACAATCTGCTAGAATGTAAATAAAATAACAGGAGTGCATCGCAACTTCATAAATTACCATTTTTAATAAAAATGACATTTCTATATGGCAATTTATTCATGTAATTCACCAATAAATTAATTACAATGATAGAAAACCAACAGATCCAAATATCATGGTTTGCATGCTGCTGATCTTGTGTAATAGAATCATTAATTGAAAAATTGCTATTATTGTGTCAAATCAAGATGTCCATATTGAGGTGAAAGGAGCAAATGTTGCACATGTCGGTTTTGGTGCATTCTTCTCTGAGACTACAAAAAAAAAAAGACTAATTTCAGACATTGTTTGGAAGAACAGTGTACTTTGATTGAACAGTTAAACGTAGAGGTAAGAACATATAAGCGCAGAAAGGATTTGCTACAATGATTTTAAAATCAAAATAAAAACCAGAAAGAAGTGAGAGAATGAGTCAAAGACATACCAAAATGGGACAGGCTCAGTCATTAATCAGCTCCAGGGTGAGATAAGAAGTTTTAGTGTGAACTCTGAGAAGTCAAGTTATTGACAAGGAGCCCCAGCAAAATTGCTTTGTTGGAAAACAATGTTTGAAGCAGGTGACATTGTGATTAAGAGTAAATTATCTGGTCTATTGAGATATGGATCGTTTTGTGGACAAGCCAGTGTACACCTTGCTTGTACTCATGCTTTCTATGATTTTGGGCGTGGGTATATTTATCCCATACCAACAATCATAGATCCTTTTGAACTGATCAAACTACTTTAGGAGGTGTTGTCTTTTGCTCAAGAGGAAAGATGTTTCAACAAGAAAATATGCCAATGAAACCAGTAAGCATGCAGTGTTTTGGTTAAGATCAACAGAAGTGATGTTATAAAGTGACCAGCACAAACAGCAGGCGTTGGACCAACAGAAACATGTGAGGTGGTGTCAACATGCAGTTCCTGGACCAAAAACTACAGATGAACAGTGGACTGAGCTCCAATCATCCTGGGAATCTTTTTTCACAGGTGTCAGAGGTCGGTTGTTTCTAACCATAAAACTAGTTTCCACGCAGATCTTTATATAACTACATTAGTTCAGTAATCCCCAATGATGTCAGAAAGTAATGAAGTCATGCAGAAAGCAACTGCAAGGGATCACTGGTGGTTCTATAAACTTTTATTCAACAAATAAAATGTAGTGTGTGTTTTGGTAGGTCATTCTAGAACTTGCTAAAAATGAAATATATTTTTTATTATAGTCTGATACATTAAGCCTAAAATTGAAAAAATCTGTGCCTTGTATTTACTGAATGTAGCTATGTGTAAGGGAACCAGACTTTTCATGATTTATAGTTTTTATGGACTCTTTAGGACATACATGTTTTTATATCTTTCATAATGGGATTAGCCTGATGGCTGCACGTGTTTGTCTCTTCATTACCTGATTGACAGCGTTTGATGTGTCCACTGATGGGCCTTTGGATATGGTTTTCTTTGGTCTGGGATAGACCCCCTCGGTGGGCCTCTCCATCCCAGTGGAAGGGACTGATTTATTTCTGGGGTCATAACCTGGCCTGAACGATACAACGGCCACAGCTTCAAATTACATTATATTTTAGAAATTTTTAGCAAAAGAATATTCCAAAATAATTTTAGGTTCCCATCATATCTAGACAAAAAAATCACATTGATTGTTTTAACAGGTATTTATTTAATCAACTGATGCAAGCTTTCAGAAGGAATCTGTGAGGTGTGGAACTTACAGCATCCCTCCATTGTTGATGGAGTTAGAGCTGACCACTTGATGGAATGACTCCTGGCTTTGCTGAGATTGAGGAGCACTGTGTGAGCCCTGCATGTGAGTCAGAGGCAGCAATGGCTTAAACAGAGCTTCGACCTTGCACTGTGGAGTAGAAATGAATGGCGACATGCTGAGGACATTCAGAAGCAGCAGGCAAAATATTGTTGGACCCAGGGAAAACAATATTTCTTTGTGTCACCTAAAAATGGACACGAGGGGCAGAATATTGTCTTTAGAGTCATGCATTCAGATATTGTGTGTGATAATTTGTGAATCCAGAAACAAGCATGCATCTGTGGATGTGCAAGTTCACTGTCTGTCTTGTTTGAACCGTTCAAGCTTGATTTGTGCTTTAGAAATGTCAGCTATTCTTTTGTAAAAACCCAATGAGCAACCTGTGAAGCACAAGAACTTTCTTTTCATGTCTCCAGTCATGCAGATCTTCAGTGAATCTGTGTATTTCCTATGCAAGAACATGAGGGCACATGCACTCAGGTTTATATTGTAGCATCCGATGTGAGCGTACTGCAGTGCATTTCTCTGTGCATTTATGTGTTTGTGTGTGTATCTAATCCATGTAGAAGTTGTGCAGACATTTTACCTGGGGGTCAGAGTTGGCCATCTGCTGCAGCCTCCTTGCTCGATTCTGTTTTAAGTAGTCAAAGATCATCAGCGCTGCGTAAACCTTTCCTACCGTTAGCTCATTGGCTGAGGATGTGAGAAGACAGGAAATAATGTGAGAAGAGAAAGAAGAGGCAACTCAATATACATAGTGCTTCTCTTTTTGATCTTAGCGCAGTTAATTAGTAGTTCAAGAAAGAAAGCTTTTTGTGAGATTCATAACAAGTTATTAAAATAGACTTTTCAGTCAGAATACATATATGAAATGAATATTGCTTATAAGTATCAGGTAGCTAAAGCAACATCCAGTACAGATTTATATAAGGTCTTGAGCAAATCAGAAGTACATCTGGTGGAAGGCGACTCACCGACTGTAGTCAATGACTGGTCTATTTTTAGGGAGAAATTGACTTGATTGAACTGATTTCCTTCAGATGTTATTCAGGTCGAAAATAAAAATAAAACAAATGAATTATCTGGAACAAATCTAAAATAAAAATATAATCATATTCTTAAGTTGTTAACAGATTGACAGGAAACATGAATCTTTCAAAAGAGCTCTGGGCACCTATAAAGCAATCTGACATAAGGCTTAGACCTCCTTGAATACATTTAATGTAAAGGAAATTTTAATAATGATGTGGACTCTGATGACTCACTTCAAACCTTTCTTTGTTTAGCACAAATAGTAAATGGCTTATACTTGTATATTGCTTTATCAGGTCCAGAGTATCCTAAAATCCTTTACACTACACTCAGTCATTCATCAATTACAACACAAACATTGAAACACTGATGGTTGTGAGCTACTGGTTTGTAGCCACACCTGCGCTGGGGCAGTCTTTGTCTGACAGAGGCGAGGCTGCCATGCACTGATGCCACCGGTAGGTCACCCCTTTCAGGCAAGGCAGGTAAAACATCTTGCCCATCTGTCTTTGTCGACAAAACGACAGATGGAGCAGGAACTGAATCATCACCCACTGCTTGACAAACTCATATTACCATTACCACTACGAGCAGTTCATATGAAAAACAGATTTCTTAGGGAAAAATCTACAAAAAAAAAAAAAAAGTTACAGTATGCATGTTGCATAAATGTGCTCACTCTTAACCTAATACTTGAAGAAAATTTTGATTCCCACTTTCCATCATCCATCCAGTTATCAATTGTCTATACCCACTGATCTTTGCAGTGTTGCTGGGAGGGGGCTGGTGTCCATCTACAGCAGTCATTTGGTGAGAAGGTGGCTCACATTGGTATTTAATACACAGGCACACATACTCACACCCACGCACACACGCAAACCCAAGAACAATTTTGAGTTATCACTTAACCAAAAAGGCATGTTTTTGCTTTGTGGGAGGAAGCTGGAGTAATCAGAGAGAATCTATGCATGCACAGGACATACAGAAAGTCACCAGGCCACATTAGAATAATGCTGCTAACTACTCCACTATGCAGTCCCACCTTCCATCAATTATGGTGAATCTGATGAACTACAAATCAGGTTCTGCTATTCTTGAACTATGAACTGAAGCTGTAGTGTGAAAAGATTGTGCAGAGTATGAAAAATAACTCATTGGACAGTCAGGAGAATGGCTTAAGGACTGTTTGCAGGCATTCACCTTCTTTGGGATACAACGAAGCTTATTTGACATACATGGCATTAATTTTAATCACTTATTAAGACTGGGACTCTGTACCAGCTGATGCGTATTCTTGATCTGACTTGGACAGAGGGATGAAGTACAGTGGATCATCACTGTTATAACCAGCACTCTGAAAGTAGAGTAACACTAAGCCAGATCTTTTGGTGTCTTTTTAACTACCAGATTAAACAATACCATCTTCACTTAAACTATCAACTCTATACTTGGTCCTGACCACTCAATGAGCTTCTTCTCATTGAGAACACTCCCAGGTGCCTGAAAAACTTTTACCTAAAATCTTGTTTCCAATTCAGGAGTTCTAATCATTTATACCTCTACCCAATCTGTCCTATATTTTAAAAAAAAAAAGTGTGAACAAGTATTTGAACTAGATACTGAGGAAAGCTAGTTTAAGGGTTAAAGTCAATAATCAAAGCTTGTTGCTTGACATTAACAATCACCATTGTTTCTTTGAAAGGAAGCTTTCCTATATTGCTGCAGAATATCTATGTTCCCTCTTGAAAGATGTGCAGACCATATTTAATCTTAGCTAGCAACGAAGGCAACACATTCATTATTACATACATATTTTAAGTGTTTTTATGCAGTACTGCACAAAAACAGAGTCAAAATCCAATTGCTTTGTCATTTCTGCATAATTGTGCACATGAACAAGAGTATGCATGCTCTCACATTGTGAAGCAATTCTTTAGATAAAATGGTTGTTTTCAGGTCAAAGCTGAACTTGATAGTTAAAAATGAAGCAAGAATTTACGTTTGTGTGGCGTCACCAACAAATCCATGGTCTTCTGAGAGAGGCTCGGCCAAACTGTGGACATTTCTTTCTTTAACTCAGCATCCATTAATCGCTGCAGCACCATACCTGGAAAATAAACAATAAATATATAATTCAACCTTGTAGAATAACATAGGAAAGGAGAATAAAATAACAAAAATATTATATTAACAAATGGTAGACACTATTATGGGCAGGGACTATTAAAACATCTAGTTCACCAGGCTTTATTGATATGTAATATCTGGGGCTGTTCCGATCAGGTTTTTTGCTGCTGATTCCGATTCTGATCACCCAGGAGGGCCGATCACTGCCGATCACCAATCATTGCCATTCACCTGGGTTGGCTGTTAATTTTTGTCTTTAGGTATAAATGATACTATGTGATCTGGCAAAATGGAAAAATTATCTGAAATAAACTCACCTAATTTAGACATAAATCATGCAAAATACTTGCAGGGACAATACACCAGCTACTCAGTCAAAAGGACAACTGAAAAACCTGCAATCAGTAAAACAATATTTAACAATAAGGCTCTCTGTACCCTAAATTATACATGAGTCAAATGAATCTCATAACACTGCCTTTATTAAATAATGTCAAGTAAAAAAAGGAAACATTCATTCAAAGTTAAATGCAGATTGCATCAAAATAAACAATCCTGAGTTACTGAATCAAAACTTCATGAGAGCATAACTAGCTGATTGATGCTGGCTCTGATTGGCTGTTTCTGACTGAGCGTAGAAATTCTGCAGAATGCCAGGAGGCAGAGAAGATCAATTTTTCCCCCCAGAGATCATCTGTCTTATATTAGAACATACTGAAGTTTTATGTTTTTTTGTTTGTTTGTTTTTTGTTTTTAAATAAACTAAGTCAATTTTTTTTAGCCAATAGCCTACTGATTTTTAGTACCGTATATTTGCCAATTCTTGTTTTGGCTGATTTGCACTTTTTCTTATGAATTATAACACAGAAAGGAGAAAACACTGTTTGATAAGTTTTAAGTCTAACTGAAGCAAAATAAATAAATAAAAACACAAGACTATTACCTTTTCACAGACATCAATCTGATTTTGAATAGACTGAAGAAATAACATTAAAGTACATGAAATTGCAAGTCGTTTCTACGTATTTAAAATAGCAGGGACATAATTTTGATCGATTTAATGAGTGGAGAAATAAAAAATCTGACACTTTTTTTTATCTGGCCTGTTGATCACCAATCAAAGTTGATAGATGTTCTCTGTTCTACACTGATACCTTTTAAATCATTTGTCAATACAAATGATTTAAACTGAGTTAATCTTTGGAGATTAACTCGAAATCTCCAAAGATCACATGCAGCTTTCTTTAATGAATAGTTTTTAGAAATTTGCAGTAAATGCATGATGCCAGTCAGAAGGCATTAGCTTTCTCCACCATTTAAACATTACCAATTAGATTTTATTTTTGAAAATGTCATCTTATAGGTTTTAAGGCAGTGCTTCAGTGCCTTTTACAGCTCATTTTATATAATACCTTTTTGTTTGTGCCACTTTTTATATGTATGTTTGAGTTTATCTGACCTGAGGCCAACTTTATCTCCAGCGCAGTGCGAATCAGGCCCATCAATGTGGAGGTAAAGTGAACTGTGTTGTCATCAGCGATGGGCATGTTCATTTTGACAAGACGCTGTGCAGAGAATCAGGTGACACAAGTAACATTATGACGTGCTGTAACTTCCACATCAAAATACCCAATCCACTCAGAGAAATCAATCTGTGTGCTACTGTATTTATTATTTATTGACCGATTTTGTTACTATTGCTTTCTCTTTTTTTTTTTAATTATACAATTTTACCTAGACTCAATTTAGCACACAAAAAGTCTTCTCCATGTAAATGTAAAGACAAACAAGACATTCACATTCATTGCTATTGGCTACATTATGCACTATTTTGCAAGTCGAAGTGCACTGGTGCAAGACCGACATTGACCAAAAAAAAGGTGAGAGAAGGCATGTAACGCATAACCATGAAGGTGCCTGGACAGTTGCAGGAGCTCGACTCTGTGCTTACCACCCTAGCAATCGACAACTTAGGAGTTGAAGAGACTGAACATGCTGCAGATGTAAAGTGGCAGCTACCACTAAACACTGTCCATTCCACCAAGCTGGGTCAACCTTAGCAGAGAGATTCAGAGGTAGTTTTGTACGACACTACTGGCATCACTAGATGCAGAAAACAAACGTTGTAAGAGTTGTTTGCCACTGAACACAAAAAGCATTTATCTACATGTTCTAACAGTGGCAGAGAGAAGAAGACCAGAGAATGAGGCAGGAATGAGGAGCTGAGGGACCGATACGCACACATACACACACAAGTGCACGCACGCATAGACATGATCAGAAGATCACCAAGCACAGAGAAGATTTCAAAGAATAGGAGTTACAGAATGCAAATATGACACATTTGAATACAAATTTGCTGTGAAGGGTGTCAGGTACCTCAGTTCTGCTCTTGTAATGTCCATAAAGATGTTAGCAGATTATTTATTTAAACTCAACGCCACACAATATAGCCAATATTTTTTTTGATTTAGAATAGAGCTAAAAATATTAACCATGTTTATGCCCATTATACAGGCACACTAAACGACTAATGGGAAAATAATGAAATGTAAGTTTAGAAAACAAAGCAGCATTAAATCTTTTTAATAAAACATAGATCAGGAAGAGCTTATTTTTTTAGGTAGATGGAGGAGAAAACATGTACAAATGAGCAAAGGCTTTACCTTCTTGATTTTTACAGTCAGAAGTCAAAATATTATTAATAATAAGCAGATTGTAGCAAGTACTAATGACAAACTTTAACAAAAGTTAAAATGTGGAGTCAGCACTATTTCAACCTAGATTTTTTCATTGTTCAAAAATAATAATACTGAGAAACAATATGTGAGATGAAGATCAAACAACAGAGACCACTGTCACACTAGTTACCTCTATCCCAACAGAAAGAATAACATAGCTTACTTAAATTGGTGGCTGCACTGTTGCTGCAGTGAGGAGGGGGAAAAAAGCAAAACAGAATCAATAAATTATAAGTTGGCACACTGAGGGACAGCGACATCTGACTCCTTAAACTTTTAGACTACTGTACAACATCCATTTCAAACTTTTTCATGGTTTGGATTTCTTAATCTAGTTGCCAGCTCTGTATTAAAGACAGTGTGTTCCTTGTATACTAAAGAAAAAGATTCAGGGAGAAGAGACTGCTTCTTTATCCCATCTATGCTGAGGCAAAATGTAGGACTACTTCTCAATAAATTAGACAAGGAGGAAGCACTCACCCAGTAATACATAAAAAACAGGACTATATAATTTGTCCAACTGTGAAAATTCAAGGAAAAAATGTGCCTCACATTGAAATCTGGATTTACTATTCCCTGAGAATATTCATGTAAATAAAGACCTTTACCCTGCCTTAGCGTATGTATATTGGGTTCAAATCCAGATTTCACCATTACAACAAACCATGTGAAGGAAAACCATTTGCTCAACAATATGCTGACATCACCATCCTCCTTCACTGAGAGATTACAGTTCTTCGAGCCATAATGGGATGTTTCAAAGCCAGTCTCATTCCTGCTGGCCAGGTAGCACACATCTTCCAGAGTCCAGATATTACAAAGGACCTTAGAGCACCAGCTCACCAAATCAATATTTCCAGACATTTTACATCAACATTAGTACAATACACAGAATGAGACACTTTAGATCAGGTGTGTCAAACTCATTTTCGTTTTGGGCCAAATCAAGATCATGAAGGCTCTTAAAGGGCCGGTTGTGCCAGAATGTGTTGATAAAACCTGTTCACAAACTGTCAATATGTCAATAAATTCTTAAAATTAAATAATATTATTGAAGCTCTTTTCAGTCCCTTCAGGAACTAACAATAAATGCGACTGTTTATTTACTCATTGTATAAGTTGATGTATGGATTATAATCATACATCAACTAAATTCTCAAGAAATTGGAAGGACTGATTGATGTAAATTGGCAGTAAACAGATAAAAACCGCATTGATATGATTGATAATATAATATTTAATCACACTTAGTGTTTAGTCTAGTCTGTGGAGGGCCACATAAAAAGCTACGCGGGCCGGATTTGGCCCCCAGGCCTTGAGTTTGACACATGTGCTTTAGATCATCAGTCTTTGTTTGGGAAAATATCAAAACTATCTACAATATGTGACCAAACTCCCTGGCATGTAGATACATAATATTATTTGGTTTTACTCTTGTAAACAGCTGTTAAAAAGGATCTAGGACTACTTGAACATGTTGACCTAAATACGTTGCAATTTTCCTATTACCTAAAAAATTGCTGTTTGAGATATGACAAACTCACAATTACTTTAAAAATGTACATCTTTTGTTATATTTTTCACCCATAGAGGTCGCCATTTTTTCACCTATGGGTTGATGACACTAATGATCCATATTGTACTGCAACCTACTGAGAAAACACCGAAGGCTAACTTTATCATATTGCATTTGACTGGTGTAATTTTAGATAATGCCACACTCTGTCACTATTGGCTCTAATTTAAAAAAATATAAATAAAAATTGAGGCGAATCTGGACAATTTTTCACATGAAAGAAAGAAGAGCGCACTGTGAGAGCCGGAGCGAAAAACAACAAAGGACTTAATCTGTACCCTGGACATTTCTTGGGGTTCCTTTGACTAAATGTAATATTCATATAGGAACCTAATTTAATTTAGCAGTGTATTATCATAAGAAATAAATAAAAAACAAAAGGAGCAAAAAAAAAATAAATGGAAGAGAATGAGTAGAAAGACAGAACTACAAAGAGTGTAGAAGAGCCCAGACAAACAGGATAACTGCACACACACAGGCATACACACCCAAACAGCCTATCTGAACATACACATATGGACACACACACAAACAAACCTACAGTAGTCCATCAATATACAATATTCAGATATTGGAGCAAATTTTTACCAGAAACATTAAAAATAACTGAAATTTACTTAGTTAAACCACTACAGAACAACATCAGCTCACACAGACAGCTGGCTGAACAAAACAGTAAAGACAGGGAACATAAGACTGGGGCTTACACCAAAAAGGTATTAGTGCAGTAGCAAAACAAAGAACAAACAAGGAACACTGCAGAACACGTCACTAGGAGAAACGTTGTTTTTGCACAGGGAAGAAAGTGGAAAGAGGAGTAGGGTCTACCTTATAGGCGACTCTTGGTGGACATTTCTTTCCCAAACCTAAGGGCGGGGGCATGTGTAGCAGCATCTGATACATATCGGAGTACTTGATACGGCCACTTCACAGGGTTGGGAAAAAAAATAACAGAATGCAACCAGAGAAGGATCGGGAAGAAAAATCAACAGGAGAACAATGGAGAGGAGAAACAGAAATCTGTTGTCAATAGATTTCCTCAAGTGAGATGTAGGATGGATGCCATCCTTGGCCAATGTGTTGGGGCACAAGGATGCATCACTGTAGAACTCAGGGATCCTGAGAGGAAACATGGAATGGTAAAGAGTGAGTCTGGTCAGAGAAGGAAGGGGGAGGAGAGAAAAGGGAAGAATGGGTCAACCCACCACGCACCATGCAAAAAATGCATGGTTGGAAGAGAAATGACAGCATTGTAATGAGAATGTCTGCTCTGGCATGCTTGCAGACATTCCACTGGTTTCAATCAGGGTGCATGGAGACAAAGGTTTCAGTGCCAGCCTGACTTGTTCTGTTTCTAATGTTATTTTCATCATGAATATGGTTTCCTAAAACACCTCAATAAAGCTTCTTCAAAAGGTTTCTGATTTGAAAAAAGATGAAGACTTTCAGGATTTACCTATCTGGCATGATTGAAATGAAAAAAATTCTAATACATAAAAGTTTACAGACAAGAAAGCTGGCAGGCGGCATGTTGAGACAATGCCACAACTATGAAAGCTTTGTTTCCTCTTTGGCATCATCAATCAAAGCCAGACAGTTCGAAGAGGTGAGTGCTTGTGTAAAGGTGATTTCATCGGTGCACAGCCATTCAATTAAAAGTCTCTTGGCATAGAGGTACACAAAGCACCCTAGTGATGAAAATGTCCGGTATTTGCAAACCTTGTATGCTACCCTATTAGGGCAGTTCTTCCCTAAGCCAAGGGGGGGTGAGATAACGCGCAACAAATTGTACATATCCATATAGGAAATCCGTCCGCTGCGGAAAAGAACAAGCACATACATAACTTTCAGGATACCTTCAACTTAATCAGTCATCAGTGGGCTCATTGAATGCAATGAGGAACGAGGACTGAGAATGGAGCTTCAATAGACCCCAATGCCACCAATAGAGATGAGAAATGAGATTAGGGTGATTCTCTCCACTGGTACTTTGAAAACTATGTGCTGCATATCAGAAGAAGTCAATAACATACCAAGCAGCTGGGTCATACTCGGCCCAAACTCGAATAAATTCATCAAGATGATGAGGCCCCAGGATGGAGGAGTCTCTGGTGAGGTACTCAAAGTTATCCATTATGACAGCCACAAAGAGATTCAGCATCTGGAACACACACAGCACTGCTCAAACACTTCTGTTTTGCAGTAATTTCAAAACTACTGCCATGAATGTTGATTAGAAGGAAAGTCTTGCTAGATTTTCAGGACTTAAAACCTCACAGCAACAAATTTTGTGGTTGGAGTGATTAGTATTGAGTAGGTCACTAATGTCACATAGTGTAGATGGAGATTTTCAATCTAAACAAAAGACTTCAAACCCTGAAAACTACATGCTTATTCAAGATACATGGTCATGCTTATGACATATTTATTTGCATTTAATTTAAATTGTTTTAAATTATTTTATGCTCTTAAATGATATGTTATTTGTTGCAGAACTGAACAAGGTCAGTTTTTCATCTTTTAACTCCCTTAAACTCAAAATGTTAAACAACACAAATCTGAAAAATATATCTAAAGTAATAAACATTAAAATAAAACAAAAAACAAAAATAAAACTACTAATAGTATCATCTATAGAAGTTCAAATGACCAGTTTGATAAAGTGATGACAGTTAGACGCTGACCAGGAAGGAGCAGAGGAAGATGAAGGAGACAAAGTAGAAGTAGGCAAAATCACTGCCACAGTCTTTCCCACTAGTCCCTGAGAGCTCATCACAGGGTCGATGACTTAGGCACGACAACATGATTTCATGCCAGGCTTCTCCAGTTGCACTCCTGATATTCAGAAAAAAAAAACATGGGAAGACAAAGACTAACCAACATTCACCTCTGACTTATGATTGCTTCCTGGACGAACAGTTCAGTTGCTAAAATAAAAATATCATTACAGAGAAATTGTAATTATAATATATATATATAATATATATATATATATATAATATATATATATATATATATATATATATATATATATATATATATATATATATATATATATATATATATATATATATATATATATATATACTGTATATAGCCTATACATAATTTTTTTTTGATAATTATAATTTCTCTATAATGATATATTTTATTTTAACTAAGTGCCAAAACAAAAAATGCATATTCCAAAGACTAAAGAAAATTTGATCCTGACCTTTTTTTTTTTTTTTCAAAAGTTTAATCTCAAAGCATAATTATTCTAATCTTATATTCCACTGAAATGACATGCTAAAAAAATATGAACTCATGCTACTTTTCAATTACTCTACCTAGTCAATCACTCAGTCTGGATGGCAATAAACCATAAAATTTTTTAATAAAGTCATAAAAGTTACTCCTTAATGCACTTAGAACTTTATGCATTCCATACTCTCCATACCAATAAACATTCACTATACAACAAGAGAGTTTTAAAAAGTCAAACACTGATGTGAAAACACTTAAGGATTTATAACTACTTGAATGCAAGTCCTTTTCAAATAATTCAAATAAATAATAATTCAGATAAAGCTTGTTGTGTTCAACATAATGAGAACTGCACAACAAAGTAGGTTCTGGCTTTCCATTTGTTCCTGTTGAGGGCACATAATAGAGAAATATTCACATGTGAATGAGTTACTGTGTGGATATGAATAAAATTTGATCAGAACATTAATGATTCACATTTCTTTATATTTGGATTCTCACTAGATGTGGTTCTAATAGCCCAACATACAGGCAGATGATGAACCAGTATTTTTCATTTTCTATTAGGGAAGGGTTGATCTTTGAAAAAAGGAAGCTGACCTCAAAATGATCAACAAGATCAACCTAGTATCATTTAATAATCATAATAGTTGTTTCGAACTTTCTTTAAATCCCATGTCCGTAATCTTGTAAAATTCCTCAACTTTATTCAACATCTTTCTGTTTTCTCACATTAATCATTTAACAACAGTTAAGTTTATGATATTTCCATAAAATCTGCTATTAATTTAGGCCTAAATTACTTTTTATGTTATTGGAAACTATTTACAGTCAAAAAGTGTGAAACTAGCTTTGGTGAAGCCAGCAACAACAGTGACATGAACCCTTCATGATCAGAGCAGTGATCTCGAGAAAACTGTGATCAGCCCACAGTTCTAACATTCTTGTTTCATCCATCTGTCTGGAAGATAAGCTATTGTTCATAGATATGTAAGAGGATAACTGATAAGGCGCTTTCTACCTGAACAGCAGCATAAGAGCCTGGAGAAAAGTGCGGAAATTGTTATGGTGGTTGATAGCTGTGTCTTCGTTCAGCTCAATGTTCCCAAACACCTGCAGCAGAGACACTCAAGAATGTATTAACAATATCATGTTTGAAAAAGTCATATGTCAATATTTCACTCAGAATAACTTAAAAAAAAATAATTATCTTCATAGATCACTGCAAAGCAGCTACACAAACCTGCATTCCAATAATGGCATAAATGAAGAACAGCATTGCAATAAGCAGGCACACATATGGCAGGGCCTAAAGGCAGAACACACAGTTACTCATGTTCCCTCTGAATTATCCCTTCTTGATTTGTCTTAGCAAGAAGTAGTTGTTTATGACTTTGTGACATCAGGAAGTAGTTTGGAAGGTACAATGCAGACAAAGTCTGACCATCTTATGCTATGTGGAAGCACCTTGAAAGACTGCACAAAAGTCCAGAGCAGGATGCGGATGGTGTAGCCCTGCCTCAGCAACTTGATGAGCCGAGCTGCTCTGAAGAGCCTCAGAAAGCTTAGGTTCAATAGTCTATCCTGTAATACACAAAAGCACATCTAATGTCTTTAATTTTATAAACACTCCAAGCAAAACTGGTCAAAACAGTTAAAACTAAAATGTTATTGTGTGATTCCCAGCAGCATAATCAAATTCATTGGATTATTTTATTTTGTATGGCAATTCTGCATTCTTATTTTCCTGTCACAATTAGATATTTCTGATGTCCCTCAGCTTGTACCCTGAGAGGAGAAAAATCCTACTGTCTTCAGAATCAATCAGTTCAATAGTTCAGGCATTATGACTTCATCTGTGAGGCTTACAATAATGCATGTGGCTAGAATCCCTGGAGTGATAGCAAATTAAACAGCACATCAGAAACACTTTGTCTCATTTAACGGGGCAGAGAGTTTCATTGTAAGGAAAACAAAACATTTTCAGTCTGACATGGTGACTGTCAACAAAAATCTCTAAAATCAAGAGAAAGGATGTCGAGGATTAGCTGGACATATATCTGATCACCTTCAATTTTCTGCAATTTCTGCAATCACCTAATATTCTTTCTTTATTTAAAAAAAAGGCCATGCTAAATTAAGTTACAATAAATATTTTGAGAGAAATTGAATTGTGTGAAAGACATTTTTAATGTTTTCAGTGGCAGATTGTGTTTGATGTAATAAGCTGTTTTTGTTCAAGATGGCTCTGTTCAGTCAATAATATGAGGCTTCAGACAATGAGTTACCATAGACATTATTTTGAATTTCCAAGTGGTTTGACAAGTGTTTACTGTGTCTACAGATATGATTGTATCTTTCATTTGCATACATCATTGGAATTTCAAGAATCTTCCCAATAATGTATATATAAACATGGAAAGGGTGCAAAATAAAAACATTTAACGCATAGTGTTCTCATGTCATATTCGCAGGACATACATAAGAAAGCTAACAGGATATTAAGACAGTAGTAGTTTCCGTGCTGGGCTTCAATGCAGGACCTGGTCTGTGTCTGTCTGACTGTCAGAAATTAAACTTTAATGAAACATTTATCAGTGAGGAAAACAGGATTCAAGAGATCAGCAGCTATGAAGTCGTGTGCTCAAAATATTTTTCTGGAACTTTATCTGTATGTCTGACCCAATTTCTGCTGTAGAGAGTGGACAGAGAGTTTTGTGAAAGGTGTGTTGAGTAGAGTCATAATTAGACTTAGAAAAAACTGTTCAGTCCACACAACCTTTTGCAACATTGTTGCTGAGTCTTGTCAAGTTTCTTCTTTTTGACAAAGGGGACTTCTTCCCTCTGCTGTTAACCTGAACCTTTTCTGGAAAGGTAGCTACAGGACTCGATGCAGACTGCTTGTGTATCAGCAAAACAATGTATTACTACTAGTTAATCAGCCTTTTCTAATTAACTAACACTGACTATATAAAAAAGTACTTTAATCTCAATCTGTATTATTTTAGACTGTTTTGGAACTAATTAGGTTGTGGATTGTACACAAGTTTAGATGATAGCTGTGAATTGGTGGCTTACATATGAACTATATAACAGTTCATATGATCTGAATTAAAACCAAGTTGGGTAACATGGTTTGTGATACTATGTCTATAAGTCTAATTGTAATTCGCAAAACACAAACGCAAACTCCAGTATGATGTGTGTCTAAATAAAAGTGACAATCTGCAAGACACAAGACACACTCGAGATGGGCATGAAAGACCAGCTTCTACCTTTGGTCTAGTAGAAGTCAACATTAAACTTGAGTATTAAATTGCTGGAGAGAAAAGAGCTCATGTGTCTACCAAAACACTATGCCGGTAGAGTCAGCATCATGAAGTCACTCACCGTAGTCTGGACATGTTCGAGATCACGTCATGGCAACATCAGTGACAACAAGCAACATCAAACGTTGGAAGAAGTAGTGGCGGTGGGAAGAAATTGGTGGACAAACCAAATGACAGCAAAATAAAAAGAGAAAGAAAAAAAGATACAGAGAGAGAGAGACATTCAGAGAAACAATAAGATGCAGCAGACAGGAGCTGTCATATCATACAATCACAACAGATACTACTCAACAAATACACGTTTTAATCATCAGTATACTAATATAAAGAGTTTGGTGTCATAAGATGAACAGTTTGTAATGAGTAACTCCACTGCTGAAAGCAGGTCAGATAGAGCTCAACCAAAGGTAAAATAGCTAACATATTTTATAGTAAGTTTCCTCCTACCACCACACAAACATCCCCTTCCTCTTCTGCTTTACCAGTCAGGTTCTCTTTAGTCACAGAGCTGTCTTTGCTAATGTGCTGTCTTTGTAGAGAGCTTCATGTACAGATCTGGTTAATTTCACTGGCTGCTGTTGTAATATTCTCTGATTAAAGTGTTGTAATTTTGACATGTGGTACTAAGAATGTGGAGCGTTGTGCTCTTACTTTGATTTCAGTCACCAGGATGTCAGTGATGCTTCCCAAGACTGTCACAAAGTCAAATACATTCCAGGCATCTTTTAAGTAGCTCTGAGGAACAAAAGGTGGAAATTATAAGGCTCAAATTATTTCCCAATGATCTGAGAGCCTCCCTTTAATAAATACACACCAGGGGACCAAAGGCGATGATCTTGAGAATGCACTCCAGAGAGAAAAGAGTGGTGAACACTATGTTGAGGTACTTCAGCATCGCTTCATAAAAGTCTGGTGCTCCATAAAACTGAGAAAGCAGGACAAGGGGAGCAGCATAAATACTTTTCTCCATGAACTTATTCCAGATTGACATAGCTTGACATTGGAAAAAATATGCACCTTACCTTCATCATGAGTACCACAGTGTTGAGAGCAATCATGATCATAATGGAGTATTCAAATGGAGCTGAAACAACAAACTTCCACATCCTGTACTGAAAGGACTGTGTGTCCTCTGGCATGTAGCGTGTCAAAGGTTTCGCATTTATGGCAAAGTCAATACAAGCCCTCTGCAAAGCACAAAAACCCTCTTTATATTAATCTTTCCATAGATTTGTTCAAACTCACAGGGCATGAACAACAACAGTAAACATTCATCCCTGATTGAACTGATTTCAACTGCTAAGCTGTAGAACTTGCTAATATAGACAAAGGCCAGTTCTATGTAAAAGTATTTACCTCCTTGCATATTTCTTCTGTTTTCACCCCTTTGTCAACTGAAATTTTTTAGGTAACCCTTTTTAACAAACTAAGATAAGAGGGAAAAAAGTTTTCACTAATAATTTATTGAAACCAATAGTGTTGTTGGAGAATATCGCCCTTTATGAAAAAGTAATTCAAATTCAATTCAAATTCATCCACCCATTATTATACACCCTAACCCCTCCTGGGATTGCGAGGGGTGGTGGTCTCCGGCGGTCAACAGGCGAGAGGCGGGGTCACTCTAGACAGGTCGCCAGTCCATCACGGACCATATTCAAATTTATTAATAACCCCAAAGGGAAATTAAATGTTGATGAAGACTTTTACTAAATTAAATCCATTGTTGTATAACAGACTCATGAAGAGGACGCTCAGGGTTTCTCCCTAAAACAAATTAACAAATGTCTTGTGCCACTTGTGATAAATGGCAATGAGTTTTGTACATCACTATGAAAATATTAGAGTGATCAGTATAATGTCATGCAACAGTATCTCAATTTGATTTCCAGACTTTGACTGGGCCAATCCAAAACCTTCTTTCAAAGGTGGGCTTGTTGGTGAGCTTGAAATATTAACCTTGGACAGTGTGTGTGGTCATTGTCATTGTGTTTTTAGTCAGCTGAGGTTTTAGACTTGGACTACCTGCTCCCTGAAGGCAAGCTGAATCAGAACAATACTTTACTGCTGTTGTCAAAACAGTTAGCAAGATGTGCTTCTACAAATTACGTTTAAAAGAACATTTAGTTGCATTGTAGAGAATTGGTTTTAAATAAATCTATAAATTATGCTTGAATTGAATAGGGTTGTGTTTACTTTTTTTGGTTTTTACCTGAATTTGACTCATTTATGTTTTTAATTTTTTATTTGCAAAGTTTTCTCATATTCCTCCTTCTGCATTCCAGAACATCTCTTATATACACTTGTGCATTGGTGAAACTAACTTTGACATGATTATATAAGAGAAAATCACAATACCTCATTCTTTTCCAAACTGCACTCGGACAAGGCCTTGTCTCCCTGTTCTTGGAAGGTGATAATTATCAGAGCAACAAAGATGTTGACAAAGAAAAATGGAAAGACCACAAAGTAGACCACATAGAAGATGGACATCTCTATGCGGTAGCCAGGGCTAGGACCTTGATCTTCAAAGGTAGCATCAACAGAATGTTTCAGAACACTAGGAAAAGAAAAAAATTTAGGACACAGTAATACACCTCCTGACAGTGGCTGCCATGTAAAGAAGAGAATATTGCAACCTATTCTATTAACATAAGGCAAGTGATGTCAAGCATCTTAAAGGAAATTGAACACTTTGGACACTTTTCATAATTTTTTCTAATTTTGCATCAAGATAATATGTCACTAATTAAAATGACAGGTTTCGGAGATTGTTTATTTATTTATTTTTTTGTCAAGGATGCTTAATTGCACTTTTAAGATGTTCAGGATTATTGTGAAAAAAACTTAATCGGTTTGACATTTTTGAAATTTGACAATATTTTTCTGGCTTCATGATAGCATCAGTTACCAAAAGAGCAATTTAGGTTATTTGTAGTCATTATCAGTCAAAAATCAGTCAAAAAAAAAAATGTCTAAAGTCTAAAAAGGTTCCAGTTAGAGTAGGTAAAATTGAACCTCTTGCATTTAATTTTGCATTAAATGCAAAATGTAAAAATTAGTTTTCACTTCTGAACATGTTAGATTGGAGGTCAGTATAACTTAAAGAAGACAAATCAGTTGCACTTACGTTGGCCAGCCTTCCCCGGTTGAGACTGTGAAGAGAGTGAGGAAGGCCCAGAGGACATTGTCATAATGGAATTCATATTTTTTCCACTCTCTTGGCATTGCTGCCACTGTTTCTTTGTCGTAATCAAGAAACTGTCCTCTGGAAGATGGAAAGTGGTGACACACATTAGGCAAACATACACCAAATGTATAGGATCTGGCACAAGCTACAAGAACGTTTAGGTGTTTCAGACTGACTTGCAATCTTTCTCCAGGGCTTTGGACTCATCAGTGCAATAGAAGAATTTTCCCTTGAAGAGCTGAACCGCAATAACAGCAAAAATGAACATGAAGAGGATGTAAACAATGAGGATGTTCAGTACGTTCTTCAAAGAGTTGACCACACAGTCAAACACGGCCTGGGAACAAAGAAAACACACGTTTAAAGTCTGCATAATCCTGAAATTCTGCTTACAGTACACATGAAAGCAAACAGTGTCCTTGTGGCTGTTAATGACCTCATAAAATAGGAATACAAAATTTACAGTTAAACCAGATATTTAAAGATTCTATATTAATACACGCAACCATCTTTACTACTGTCTGAAATGAAACCAGACTAAAGCCAACAAGGATTACCAAAGTATTTTTATTTGCTAACTGATGCAGTGTCAAGAGGAAAGTCTGAGAGCTCTAACCACTGAAACTTCTCAGCAGGCAGACAGATGATTTCTGCATATAAACTAGTGTTTGAAAAATTAACATTCAACAAATCAACAAATGATGGATGGCTTGATCAGCGGTCGTGCTAGACTTTTTTGATGTCCGTTATTTTGACTGAGAGCGTCAAAAAAGAATCCATCAAGTTCCATTTTTATCTGCCAATTTTTAAATGATATTGACATAGGCTATTCAGTTGCATTTAATTTTTATGCAGTTTAGTTAATATTCAACAAAGTGAAGCAAATCCAGATCACATCACATAAAGATAAATACATCAAACCTTTTCACTGCAGTAACAGTTACTATATATATATACTTAAAGTATATGTTTTTATATTAAAAAGTATTATATAAATTATACTTGTTTATTTTGGAATAAACTGCTGAATTTCATCCACACATATTTGTTACACAAGCTGACATATTTCTGCAGGCACAGGTAATGAAACAGAAACACTTTAGAACCTTGAGTTTTGGTAGACGTTTGATGGTCTTGAGAGGCCTGAGAACCCTGAGAACCCTCAGTGACTTAATGGTGCTGATGTCTTTGCCTTTAGTCCCCCTGTAGACAGCAGACTCTGTTATACACTTATCATAAACAAATTAGATCCAGTTAATCAAATTATTTATTTATTTATTTATTATTCTTAAAAAAACACTGTACAAAAATAATCCGCTCTGAAGCATATTAAATTAAGAGCTTAGAGAGATTTGAAATGTGGAGGAGTGTGAAATGTTTGCAGATCAACTGAGAAGCAGATGGTAAAAACTTTTTAGCATACAATGCAAGACACTTTGTAAACACACAAAACACTAAATATTAGGAGATTCTCACATGGTCTGAAATGTACATTTATGACGTTTTTGACTAACATCTCTTGAAGTGTTTTTTTAATATGTGGATTGAGCTCATGATAAATATTTTTAATGAATTTCAAAAACAAACTGAATTCAAAACATTAGGTTTAAGAACATGATAAATGTGACAGATTGTGTGTTTTTGCAATGGTGAGAATCACCAACGTTTCCAAATAAGTTCCTGTTTCATCATGACAAGCAATGAAAACATGAACAATATCTCAGCTCAACATATGTCTTACTTCACTTGGTACCACTCTAGCTAATTCTGCATAGCAACAGATCAAATGACTTGATTGTTGCAATAAAGTCCAGATTCTCAGAATGCAAAACTAATAATTGTCCTGCTGATGGATTGTCTCTCCTAAGCTGTGGGTCTCTGCAGCTCCCCCAGAGGTACCATGGGTTTTAAATGTTCTTCCTGCCTGCCTGTCAGATTAGGTGAACAGCCATGTCTTTGTATTTATTTCTATTTTTAATAATGGATAGAACAGTACTCTGTGGAATGTTGTTGGATCAATCTTCCAAAGTTCTCAGGTCAGATCATAGCTGAAGCACTTCAACAAACTTCAATTTACAACCAAAACTCCAAAAAGCAGATGTAGGAGTCCTATTTCTTCTTCTCAAATGAAGCTCTCACATTGTATTGCTTTTGTGGTTTGACAAAATAACTTCTGTAATGACTTTGGTCAACAGAGGCATGTTTCAATCCAAAGCTTTGTTTCCCACGAAAACAAGCTTTACATTGATTTCATGGAGCTGATCTGAGCAATAGTATGTTCAGGGGGAACAGGGATAGGGTGGGGGTGGAGTCAGAATGAATGATGGGCTGGCATAGGGGGGGTCCCCACCTGGTCACAGCTTGCTGCGATCTACTTGGGGGAAAATAGTAGTAAAACAAGGTACAGCACATTTATGGATGCTTTACACACACAAAATAAAGCACACATTTGAATCAAATGACAACACTACATATAGTCTATTTTCTACAGAAAAGCAAATCATTTTATAGTTTGGTTTTTAACAGACTGCTGGTTGAGTACATCCAAGTAATAATATACAAAATGACAAGATCCAGATAAAAACACAATCTTTAGAAGCAGCTTATTACCAAAAATACTAATCAGAAGCAATTACTCTACTCAGGCAGTGTTTTGTAAATACATACGGCTATGAATGCTTTTACACTAAGCAAAAGGTTAACTAACAGAAGAAAAAATTAGTTCTCCAAGGCTCTAAATAAGAGTAATTAAATGTATAAATATCACAAACATCAGTAAGTTGTCAACAAACATCACCCAAAGTCAGAGACAGCTCTTCAGCCTGATGCATGCACTAAAAAGCAGAAGTGTGTGTGCTGCACCATTGGCTGCAGCAGGCAAGAGACACACTTTTTATTTACATTTGCATTTTTTAGAGGAGAAGAACTGCATGACATTTCCTGACAACATGCATTGTCAAGGAATGACAGGCCTCGGTCAAAAGATTTTTGCAGGCATGGAGATGACCAGAAAGCAAAAGACTGTATGATTTAATGTTGACTTTTCTGTTTTATGTTAGCTTTTAAACTAATCAGCTGGACATTTTATCTCAGGTCCATGTGCTTTTATGTCTGATGGAATTGTATTCCCTTCTTAGAGATTCCTCCTGCGTCTGCGCCATTTTCAGATTTTTCAAATCATAAAACAAATTTTTATAGCAGACAATAATAACCTAAGTAAATACAAAATCCTTTTTATTTGTTTAAAAAATAAAGGCTTTACTACTTAAAAGGGAAGGTAGTTGTTGCACGTTTTTAGTACATGCAACAAATCCACTTGACACACTGTGAAAAAGTAATTGCCCCCTGAACCTAACAAGAACAGGAATTGTGACACTCTTCTGAGCAGACGTTTTTTAATTAAACACAATTTCATGGGGTTTCAAGAACAAACTGATTGTTTAGTATCATACCAAAACATTTTAATCAGCTTTGAGTTGACCCTTCTAAAGTCTCTTTTGTTGAGTAATTCAGAGGTAAATTTATTGTGTTCTGGACCATTACCTACTTTGGAATCCAAATGTGTCAAGGGATAAGATCACAAACTGATGGCTGGTCAGATCTTGTGTTTTACTGCTTCTATTTATTTGCATTTTGAATATTAGAGCCAGGCTACAATTTATTTATTTTCTAGGTGATTTTCTCCTAGACAGCAGGATCTAGAATTCCATCAATCTGAAGGCCATCACACCATGCTTGACTGTCAGAACAAATGTTTTCTGAAACTTTGGCTCAAATTCAGCCTAGACACCTTCAAAAATGTTCTGCAGAACACTTCTCTGGAATCTTTGGAATCATCAAGATGTATTTTGGCAAATAGCAATTTGTCTAGTTTTCTTTAAGTCTACTTCAGTTTTATCTTGGTGATTTCTTGATTCTAGTCTGAGGCAGTAATGAGGTCACCAAAAGTGTTATCACATAGGGTCACTTAGGTTATGAAGGCTTTTGTCCTTTCATAAATGAAGCCAACATTTGAAAACTACATTTTATATTTATTGAAATTATCTTTGACATTAAAATGTGCTTGATGATCTGAAACATAAAAAAAAAGTTCATATGTAAGGGCTTGAAATATGTTTTCATGGAACTGTAATATAAATGCAGTGAGGTCAAATTAGATGAGAAAATAATTGCTATGTACTTACAAAAGATCTGTGTGAATATAGAAGTCTATTCACATTATTACAGACACACTGAAAATTAACTTATGTTTTCATTGAAGTGTAACTGCAGTGAAGGGACATGCTGATGAAAACAGTTATTTCAAGAGCAGCTGCAACATGTAACCAGCAAGCAGGTGAGGCGTCCTTCTGTAGCGTCAGGTGCAGTATGGAAAAATGCAACATGGCAGCTCAGTAAAAGGAGATATTTGATGGAGAATGTGATGAGAGTACCTCCCCAACAACACAGCACATACTGCAAAACACCCTTGCAAGAATTCACAAGTAATTTCACTTCATATGCAACGTCTTACAAAACAGGGCAGATTTTTTTTTTCTTTTTATTTATCCTCTCCTGGTGCCAGGCAGATATCTTTAGATTCTTTTTGGGGTATATTTTTCAGTTTGTTCATCTGTCTCTATTTGCTATAACATTTTCTTGTTTAAGACATCTCTACATTTGCTGTGCAAATGCTAAACAAGGTAATGATTTTTAGTTCATTAGTTTTGTCGAGCCGCCATTTTTTTCTTGCAACAAGTTTGTAGTTCATGTTCAGTCAGACTGAAGTTAGAAGTTGACAAGTCAAAATGTTCTAGCGTGTATTAACGCACAAGATTCCTTGGAGCACTTATGGAACTGCTTCAGCAACCTCCACCAGTATCAAGAGGGATTTTCTGAAAGCCTTCATCTGATTGAAGCATCAGTTCCTTCTCTGTAGTGAAACGAGGGACACTCCAAAGCAGTAAGCTACAAATAATGCTAAAATGACTGCAAGATGTTATTGAGAACTTTGTGTCTCAATAACATCTTGTTGTTTGTTTTTCTTGTTGTTGACATTATTAATAAACTATGTATGAAAAGCTTCTCTGTGGGTAGATAACTGTATCGCTGCTATCAAACTACAAAAATGTCCGTCAGGGTGGAGTGGAACAATGTGTAACCTGGATGGGAGGCATGAAATGTTTCATTTACAAAAAAAAAAAAAAAAAAAAAAAAAATAGAGACATCACTAGCAGCACAAAGACTGTATTCCAGAACTGTTCTAACAATAAAAACTATGTAAAAGACTGATGATAAAACAGTCAGTAGCACTCAGGATATATAGACATGAAAAGTCCGAATCAATCAAAAATGAAAGTTAACCTGACAGTTTTTTAAAAATATTTTCTGAGTCCTGTTTTTGTTCATCACCCGAAGCTTTATCATTCAAATCTTGGTTGAGCACTGTAAAGGCAAAGTGAATAACATGTTCTTGTTTTAAAACAAATTTTTATCACTTTAACTTAGATGTTCAACATCTATAGAGGATGATATCTTCCTTCTAAAAGACTGTTTTGTTTATGGAAGACGCAACATATGAGGAAACTTCTTGCTTTTGCAGTGTTGGTCATGTATGCTTCCTTCTCACATACATAATGACAAACAGGCAGAGTGAGAGAAGTAGAGGAGACATTACCCCATGAAACTCCTTCAAAGAGATCCCATGACAGAAACAGGACAAAGGTTCATGTCAAATTTGGTACACACGCTGACACACGCTGACACACGCTGACACACGCACACACACCCACGCACAACTCCCCCCCACACACACACATACACATCTGTCAGTTCCAATCACAATCAAGTCAGATAAAAGATACATCTTGTCTTTATTTATTTACTATAAATGTAAGTATAGGTTTATCAGAAGTTCATAAAATTTTTAGTACATAAAAGTTGAACTCAAATGTAAACATCAAATGGTTTCATGTTTACATACCCAAGCAGTTTTTAACAATATTTTCAAATTAGATTTAAAAACTCTCAGAGAGTTCCAGCTCCTCATGTCAGTAAGAGATATAAAGAAATTGATTATGGGACTTCTTAGTGGTCAGTGCCACAAACAGACACCAAAAAGGTTCATCTGTGAACACTACGGCAGGAAGATGCTTTTGTGCATTGTGACCAAACAAAACGTTAAGACCTAACTGTTTAATCATCTAAATAATGCAGTAGCAGTGTTTCATAAAAAAACAACTTTTTTTTAACACTGCACATATGCAGGTGATAATGCTGCTGCATATAGAAAGTCACTTCAGGTGAATGAGTTGCCCTTCAACGTGTGTGAGGACAGATTGCACTGATGTTAATGTCAGGTGTAACAAGGTCATAGTTCTCACCTAACAGTGTTTTCTCTGCCTTGTTCTTAGATTTTCAAGATGCTGTCCTGTGCCATTTCTAAATACATTCTATGCCAGCAGTTCATGGTGATCATACCAGGTACTATACAGTAATCTACAAACTAGAAGATCACACATCACTAGCACTTTGTCTGCACTTGAGCAATATATTATAGACAACCTTTCACTACCAACAACTCAGATATGTAGTCATGTCTGCGTTCTTATAATACAGTGATAGTGCTGTATTCCAATTAATTTCAATTCAATTACAAAGGACCTTGAGTGTCTGTGTTTATTGAAAATCCTCAGAAAACTCTTACAACTATCAGAGACTGGAAAACCCAGTGCATTCTCAACTCCCTCCTCTCCCCCCCAAAAAAAACAAAAACAAAAGCCAAGATAACACGAAGGCATTATTGGATTTTTAGTGTGAAATCACAGTAAGTGATAGTGTTTGGTTTAAAATATTTACACCTCTTAAATTCTGTATAATCTACAGGTTTAAAAAAAATAACTGTTTATGTTGTAGTGTACATGTTCATTTCCTTATTTCACGTCAAATAGGAAGAAGGTGCTGAACTTACGAAAATGCAAATGCCACCAGAGCCCCACTGACCACTATGAAGTCCAGAATGTTCCACAGGTCTCTAAAGTAAGATCCAGGATGGAGAAGCAGTCCAAGATCCACCATCTAAAGAGTTGACAAAAAATGGTGTTTAATCAGTCTGGTTCTAATAAATTCAGATGGTTTCAAATGACTTTATTACTTTTTTCAGCTTTGTAGAAATCTGTGCTTATTCTGTATTTCAACTCAATTACAAAAATACTTGATTATTCCAAAGTGAAATTAAATAGTGATGTATGTCATATGGGCAAAGTATCTTTACAGTAGTAGTGGGTGCTGGTGCTGTGAACAAGAAGCACAGCATCAGCCAATCTAAACGAACCTCTACAGATTGGCAACAAATCTAAAGGAGCCTCTGACTGAAGACTGGTACCCATGACCACCATATTATGATAACAGCTCAGTATCCAGGCAGCAGAGAAAATATTCCATATTAGCATGTCCGGGATAATCCTGTCAATTGTTCACAAGCACTGTTAATCCATCTCATTTGCTTTTGTAACTTCTTTAAATTTCTCTTTGTGTGCAAAAGTTCAGGCGTTATCTGAGCTTTTGAGATGCTAATCACTTGTTTCCATTTGTTCTCCTAGTTAGTATTATAACAACTGTCTGAAAGTAAAAAAGTAACAACCACCAAAATTCTTACAGTTTCACAGCATCCAAAACCAGAGGCACCAATTGTCCAAACAATGAAACTATCAACTACCAACAAACAAATAAAGAAAGAATGAAGGTCTACAAAAAGAACAAACCAGAACCAACATAAGAGGTATACTCCAACATGGTGCCACCACAAGATGTGGATTTCATGTTGTGATTATTGATTCTGTTTATGTGTATCTTGACATAATGGTATCAGAATAAAGAGAGTTGGATAAAACTAAGAGAACACTTTGAAAATTGTGAATCATGTTATTTCCACTTTACAGTCGTGATATTTTGCTTTGGACTCACACATAAGATCCATAAGATCTTAAATATACCACAATGCACATAAAACAGTTATGCATCCTCTTGCAAATAACTGTTGTATCTTTGAAAACAGACTAGAAAATGAGGAAGTCAGTGGTGGCATCTTACTTTGATCACCATTTCGAACGTGAAAACACCAGTAAAGGCATAGTCCAGATATTTGAGCACCTAAAAAAAACAGACCATGTTGCATAAGTGTCAACAGATGTGTCAAAATTATAGTTAGTACAGTGTGAATTAAAATACAAATTGTAGAACATTTGGATCAGAAATTAGTGTACAGCATCTCAGCCCCACTGTCCTTGAAGAACACTGTTCCTTTGGTCAGCAGTGATTTCATCAGTGACGTGCAGTGAGGTTCATTGCTGGTGAGGCACTGACATAATCATAATCATATTTACTGATATAGACCCTCTGCATGTAATTGTTTACGTAAAGACATTTTGTGCATGCTGACAACACTGGAGGGCAAATAGACTATTCTATATGTCATGCATATCAATCTTTAAATTGACGTATCCTGCAACAGCCACCAGGCATAGAGTACAGATGTGAGATCAGAAGATGCTAAAAAAGAGTTCTTCATTTTTTAACTCTTTCACTTCAGTCACAAGGTAAACCTCCCACCAACAAAACAAAATCAACTAAAAGGAGCAGTTGATTAGGTCTCTTACATTGTTGCGAGGCGCATTTGTCCAGACTGGATCCTCAGCTGCCAGTGCAATGCTGCTCATTGCGATAACAACCAGGATGGACATCTCAAAATACCTCAGGGTCACAATGTAGTGACATAACCGCCTCACCCTAAAAGGAGCGAGACAGAGAGACACAGCAAACAGCTGCAGCAACTGCTTCAAATTCTGTTTAGATCACTGTCATTCAACCAAGTTTGGTTCTGAGTCACCAAACCTGTTCCAAAGAGAATCGTGTTTATCTTCAAAGACAATAAAACAATGAAAAAAAAGAGGGGAAATTTGAACAGTTTGAGTAGAGAATGTTGTGTTTTATTAATTTGTTATTGCGCTAAGTGAATGTGTTTTTGAATATGTTACTGTGTTTGTGATCTGTTAAAATGGTTTGTGCTTGAGAGTCACTGTATGAACCTCTTCCACTTTTACAATGTTTTACTTTTTTTAAGTTTAAAATCTTTTTGACATTTGAACTCATTGAGATACAAGGTTTTACTTCCCAGACTGACCTTTATAACCAAATAGATTGAATATATTACTGAAGACATTCTGTGGGTGTTGGTGAGAGAAATGTGATAATAAATAAATAGGAAAAAATACTGATATATTTGTATTAATAATGACAGCAATTTTAATGTGAACACAAGTAAAATCATTTGCTGACAGTCATTGCTAAAATCATTCATGGCAGCTGGATGGATTTTTGACTATCTCCTTTCTTTCCGTAGATTGAACCATCGGCTTCTATGTTTGGATGTGTTTCTCTCTCACAGAGTCACTAATGGAGGGAATTGAAGGAAAGAACAGAGGAAGTGAAGAAAGAAGGGGCGATGGATGAAGAGATGGACAGAGCAGACTGAGGTGACTCACGGGTTGGTCTGTCCAAAGATAAACATTGAGCTGTAAGGTAAGATGGGTCTTGGTCCAGAGTGGCATTGATCCTTCAGGTTTTTCTCATTCATAGGCATTGATTCATTGTCAGTACTGTTCACTGTGAAGACAGATAATAATGATTGACACATAGCAGTTAGTTCAACATTAGCCAACATTTTACAAGACAAAATAAAATGTCCAAACAACCACTGTGGAATAACTAGGAGTCTTTGGAGAAATAAATCAATGAACTTGGGAAATAAATCTGCATTCTGAAGCCATAGGGTACTAACTTTGTATCATAGTGATCTCTCCAGGTGTGGTGATAGTCACAGGGGGAATGTGGATGGAGCTCTGGCCTATTCTTCTGACATTCTTCTGGTTGTCTGAGTCCTCTGGCTGGCCAGACGTTTCCAGAGAGCCTGGCTGCTGGGAAATGTCATCTGAGTCACCAAACCTGTTCCAAAGAGAATCGTGTTTATCTTCCAGGATTGTCATAACCCTGGTCACCTGAAACCTGACTAAGAGTTGATCTTTTGATGACCTCTGTTAAAGATCATTTTCAGCTCACCACTACAGCAATTAGTGACATACACAAGTTGTGGGTAAAAATAGGAGACAAAAAAGTGTCAAGGGTCAAGCTTCCATCTATATAACTTCCAACATACATTGTAGGTGCTTTGAGCTGTCATAATGCATTGTTTTTCTCATTACTGACATAAAATCATCTACAGAAAAGTCATTCACTGTTTAATAATTCTTGCATCAAGGTTTTCTAAATATACTGAGTAGAGGTCCAATTCCACAGTCAATGTTAGACTTTCTCCAATTGAATGGTAAGTAGACTAGTGATCCCCCTCTCTAACTTGTTGCTACAAGACAATGCTGTGAACTGTGAAATGACAAATGATGTCCTACTGTTAGGCTTCCAATGCATTCCAAAACAGGAAAGAAAACATTCCACTCATATCGAGCTTGCTTTACAACTAAATCTGAATGCATAATATTGATGTCTGAAAATGACATCACCTTCAATATAGGCAAAATGTCATCGTCATATAGAATAATGATTACTGCCTTGTCCCTAGGGAGTAGTTGCAAAGATTTTAGTGATATATCTGCTATGTTTGATGGATGACATTACAGATTTAATTTTAACTCCACTTCCAGATAGTTACATTCACCACTTATTTGAAATATCCTCACTTGACAAACCATGACAGTAACTTAATACATTTAGCCATTAAATTGTTATGATGGTTTGGTGAAGATGATTTTCTTATGTTCAAAACAAGCATCAGAACGAGGAGGAAAGGAGACTCATGTAATTTGATGCCATGGAGAGTTACAGTGGTTCTGATGACAAACATGGATCTGATCCTGTACTGACAAGGTGATTGGTGAGTTTGTGTTTCAGATCAAGCTGCGAGAGCCACATAACAGTTTTAACACTGCTTTGGTTAATACTTTTGATGACCTCTGTTAAGGTTTTTAACAAATTGTATATATATCATTTCTTTCTGCGGTTTAGGGAAGTTGAATGTGTCTGAATTTTAATTTTGTGTCGATCTCCTGCCACTGACAGTATACTAAATTAGTGTGTTGAGAGTACATGAAATAGAAGACAGAAGTGAAGAATACCTGTTAATGAATAGTTGTACCTGTTAGTATTTGGCTCTTCTCTCTTGTTTGACTCCTCTCCTTCAGCCCTGGACCGACTCCTCGACCCGTGTGTGTGATGCCTCCTCCTCTTGCTCTCCCTATCCCCATCCTTGTTAGATGATCGACCATCTTTATGGTGAAGCCTGCGCTCACCTCGACCCCCACCATTCACTGTCCCATTCCCCCCTCTGGACTGTCGATGTGAATGATGATGCCGATGGTCTCTCTCCCTTGTGGCCCCCCCACCTGCGCTCTCATCCAATGAACTGTGATGGTGATGCTTTCTACTCCTGTCTTTCCCGCTCTTCCCTTCTTGTCTACAGTCATGGTTTTTGGAGTGGCTGTGATGGATGTGTTGCCTCCCGTCTTTCCCACTGTCACCACCGCTGTCATTGGGCTCTTCTTGCATCTTTCCCCGCGCTCTGTCTCTGTGGCGGTGGTGACGGTGTTGAAAATGAGGCGGAGCGGATGGTGGATCAGCAGCACTCTCTGCTTCCTCCGGCGTGCCCGGCTTGTGATGGTGATGTTGATGGCCTCTCATCAACAGCCCATCGGAATGCCCAACAACCAGGGGCCGGTCAAGGTGGGTCTTCATGTCAGGCCGCATCTGAAGGCCAGAGGGAAGGTGGACACACTCCTCTGGATCATATAAGACCTCACAGCTCGCCTGATTTTGCCTCCTCAGCTGGCTGGCTTTCTGCTCCCAGACAGACATCGTCTTGACTGACCTCTGCTGCTCATTGCTGAGTAAAGAAGAAACCAAAGACCAAAAAAAAACAACAACAAAAAAAAACATGAACACTGAAACACTGATGTTATGTAGTAATGCACAATTTAATTTAAATTATGTTCTTGTTTTTTTGAATACAAGGATAAATCTTTATGGTGTATAAACTCAAAAGTACAACATTTTGTAATCCCACGATGACACAAATTGTATTTTGATGCTGAATGACTGATAATATATGCAAGTTTCCACTGTGCTTTGAGCACAGTGGAAACTGGTACCAGAGATCCCAGTCTGCTGTGGAGAGATCTGCTCGTGCTCATGACTGAAGTTCAAGCATGGCTCCATTACCATGCTTTGATACACAACCATTTGACATGTATTTTCAGATTACAATAAAGTGAGGAAGCTGTATGCATGCACCTTGTGTAGTTAGTTCCATTTTCCCCAGACTTTACAGATATAATTCCAGGTTAATATGCCAGTAATGGAGCAGATGTCAATCTGTTCACAACACAGTTTGTAATGGTAACTGAAAAAGGTTAAAATCCAGGAGATTTCAAATGGAAAACAAGATGAACAGAAAAGCCTGAAATGTGTTATGATTAAAAGGTAGTTCTGATTTAATCACATAGTCTGTGACAACATGGATATTTATGTTTTGGCCACCTTGTGTGGAGACAGCTGGGTTTTTACCTCAGGTAGTGATGGACTGGGGTGCAGACATAACTCCTACAGCACAAACACATAAAAAGGAAGCGGTACTGAAATACAGAGGGGGGAGAGGGAGACTTGAAAGGGAAAACATAGATTATACATAAAAGCACAAAAGAAGAAGACAGGGAGGGGATCTATTTCTGAAAACTAAAAATAGAATGAGCAGCATATAGCAAAAAAAAAATAAAAAAAAAATAAAATAAAACAGAAAAGATGCTTTTTTTCTTGCTCCTACTTTAACATTCATTAATGTTCTTCCTCAGATGCTTGATTATATTGTAGGCATCCAGGGAATTACCTTAATCTGGTTTAAATAGTATAAAATAGTGAACAGCTAGTTCATGGTAATAATGAACCTTCTTTATGTTTGTTATGGAGTACCTCAGGGTTTGGACCAATTCGTCTTACATATCTGTTAATTTAAAATACATTTCTGTTGTTAAGGTGATGGCCTTTGTTTTTTTTTCTTTTTTACTTTTTGATTGTGACAAGATAGAAGCTGCCATCTACGGAAGCGTATTGCAATCATGCAGGAAAAACAAAATTAGAGCGCTATGACGTGATATGTATCTTGTTAAAACATATCACATTTAAACAAGATATGTATCACGTAATCATCTGTAAAATGACACAAGGCCAAAAATCTCAAATACATGCTCACTGTGGTGTTATATGCAACCCTTTGCAGCGGACTGATCACTCCTCTGCATTGTAGAAACAAAGCATCAGCTACACAAGAGGATGGCACAACACATCCGAACCAACTCACCAAGTCAAGACTCAGCAGTTTAAATATATCTCAAAGTCTAAACACTTCTTTGAAGACAACAATGTCACAACATGCCTTGAGAGAGTAGCGAAAGAAACCATCTAAGTGAAATGTGAAAACCCAACAACAACAAAGATGTTTAAGGTGTAAAGTTCCATCTTATTGCCTGGTCTCCTCAGGCAGCTTCACAGAAACTCACACCTTGAGACGCGATTAACACACGTCACTCTGTCACTGTGACTGTTTCTGATTAAAAAGCATAAGCCTGGGACTTCCAACCTAAGTTTAAGAACTGAAGAAGCTTTTTGGAAGAACACTGAAATGTCTTCAAGATAACAGGAGAAGTCCAGCTGCCTTCAGTCATAACTTTGAAAACAATAAGCTGTCAGTAGAGGTTGTCTGGACATCTGATCAAGGTGCTTCCTTTTAGGGTTTTCTGTATCCAGTACAGGTCCGGTCATCTAAAACCATCATGCTAAGTAGAAACTTCACAAACCAATGACTAGAAATTTTGGATCAAAGTCAAATGTTATTTTAATCAAAAGCATTCAACATTCAAAGTTAATATGACAAATACAGAAGTTGAGTTTTGTGTTTCAATGAGCTGGCACTGGAATACTTAGTACAAGGTTGGTGTTACTTCACAGTTAGAATAGTTGATAGGCCAGGAGATTGTTGCTTCAACCCAGTGAGGCAGCTAAATTGTACTGGTGTCTAAAACATATATTTTTTCTTAAATTTTGTTTTCTACAAAATTGTTGAGAGATGTCCTTTTTTATATATTTTCACTAAACAAACAAAATATTCCTCTGTAAATGCTGTTCTGAGTTTTTGGGTAAATATTACAGTAAGACATTGAAATCCTGTCAAGCCCTTTAGTATGCTTGTGTTTATGCTGAAGCAACAGGGAAGCAGCAGGCCAACAAGACTTCCTTTCCTCTGAAATTAGGAATGAAAGAAGAAACTTAAAGCATTGAAAAAATAAGGAAAGGCTCACTTACGTTGTGATTGAAATGTTAGCAGCCAACATAGGGCTGACTTCCTGTACCTCTTTAGCCTTCTGAAGAGCCAGCTTTTTGCTGATGGCCTCCTCCTGCTCCTCTTCATCCTGAATAATAGGTTAAATGTAAGGAAAGAGAATGGAAGAGATTACCAATCTACCTGTGAAAACGTTGCCCTACACATGCAAACTATTCATAAAGAGCGGACTGAACCACTTTTTCCACTTTCGACATTGATACATGTATCTGAGGTTTGGTGTCGGCTGATACCAATATGATAAAGAAAGCTTGATTTCATTTATTCATTTTAAATTTCTTTTTGAAAACACAAACATAAATGTACTTAATTGCAAATTTGCTTATACCCCTTCACCGGTACATCACACTTAAACACAATAACTTCACGAGATTCATCAGGAAAGTAAAAACAACACAATTTTAATCTGTTCACTCAGCGCAACTAGGAGTAACAGTCAATTATTGAAAAATAGTTGTTTAATAAATAACAAAGAAATTGACAAAAACAACAACAAACATTCTATCAAATGTTTCAGAAAGTGCAATTAGGAATTCTAAATATAATATAAAAAAATAAGCCAGGAAAAAAATAAATAGAACATAATAGACAATGTTTTCTTTCAGCTCAAAGAAAGTCTGATGTAAATAAGTATTGTATTTTAGGTGTTACAGATAGGCTACTAGGTAAAGTTATTCTGTGAGGTGCACCGCCTCATGACCATCATTTGGAACTCAGTATGGCTGCAGCTCCAGGCTGGGCATACCACTGCGTCCCAGTGCTATGCTATGTATCATTCTAAAACAATAAGAAACATTTTATAGAAATTGGATAAGAAAAATGGGGCCTGCAACCATTTTTTTTGTGACAGATTCCTGTTCATTTGTCATTAAAATAGTATTGTTTTGTGGATATCGCTCAATGCAAAATAATGGCATCTACCAGGTTCACGTCACTAGCTGTAGCAGCTGCAAGTCAACGTCCACGCTCATTCTACACTCAAACTGTCCTCTCTTGCATCAAGTGCTGAAGTTGTTTAGCACTTGAAAATAAATTAGAGGACTAATGTTCAAACTTTTTTATATCTCTTAGTATATTCAATAGCTTCTAAAAGATTTGTATTATTTTCTAAAGGTACTGTTAATCTGACAAGCATAATCAGGATGTATATCCTAATTTACTGAATAATATTATGGCATTCATGTTTAAGTTTTGGCTGTATTGTTGGCACAAAAAAACGTCTTCCAATCTCATAACTGTGGGTACATCAGCACCCTCTTCTTCCCCACAGTGTTTACATTTTGCCACATATCCAATTTGAGTTTGTGAGCCACCTTGGAAAAGTGCAATGCTCACTTTTACATAGTTTATATAGCAAAAGGTACAGAAGTCCAAAGATGCAATCTGGGATCTCCCCTCAACATCTAATGAATACCTTTGTAAGCTCCTGGGCATTTGCAAGGTTATCAACAGCAATGGCCAAGAATACGTTGAGCAGTGTGTCTGGTTAATATGGCTCAGGGAAAAGAATGTGGAAGAGCAGGAAAAAAAACTGTACTAACAGCTGCATATTTTCTTTACGTCAAAATAAATAATATTTCAGTGGAATCCATCTGCATGAGACTAGGAGTTGAAAAATTAGAATTGTGTCATCAAAGCAGGATACAGTTTCCAAAAAGAGTGAGAATGATGAAATAAATGGAGGAGAACATCCCTCCATGCACACCACCCTGAGACTCTATCCCATGGTACATGACAGCATTCCAGTCCTCCCCAGTTAGAATCTGAAAGAGAGACAAAACCTGCTAATAGAGTCCAGTTCACAAGAGAAGATTTAAAATGTAAATAAACAAATAAAAAATAGAGGATTTGGGAACTTTTGGGAACTTTTTACCTGAAACACAGTGAGAATAGCAGCTGGGAATGTGTCAAAGTTGGTTGTCGGAGTTTCATCCTCAAAGTTAAACCTGGAGAGAGGACATAAGATTCTTCTTCAGATGAAAGATGATCTCTCTCTGGGTTCAGTTTCATTACTGTTCCAGAAAAGTCTCTGCTGTGTTCTTTAAAACACATTAAACACATTAAATGTCAAAAGTAAGGAGAAATTAGGATCCTTTTAAATTAATACTAAAAACATTATCCCAGTCCTGTGTGAGTTACAATATTTTGTAGTTTATCTAAAAGTCACATTCGACAGTAATCCATCTTTAAAGCAACCGATTACAACAAACTACTTAGAAACATGTCCAAAAAAGACTCACTGTCCACCAAACAACTGCATTCCCAGCAGAGCAAAGACCACGATGAAGAGGAAGAGCAGGAACAACAGACTGATGATGGACTTCATAGAGTTGAGTAGGGATACCACCAGGTTCCTCAAAGAGTTCCAGTACCTACACACAGAAGCACATGAATGCACAGCATTTATAAAATCTAATCAGTCTGAAACAGTCACACAGTCCCAGTGACTGACTTGGTAACTTTGAAGATCCGGAGAAGTCGCAGTGCTCTCAGGACACTGATACCAAATGAAGCACCAGGTTTGATCGCAGCCCAGACCACCTCAAAAATACTCCCAATAATGACCTACAAACACAAGCAAATAAATGCCACAGGCATACACATATATTGGGTAAAAACCACTGAGGCGACAAGTCATTTTCACATGCAGTGACAAAGTTCCCAGCAGTGCAGTATGCCTCACCCCAAAATCAAAACAGTTAAAAGAAGAGTGGAAGTAGCTCTGGGGTCCAAGGCCATACATTTTCATGGTCATCTCAGCCAGGAACAAGCCCAGAAACACAAACTCGGCCAGGTCTTTCCATGAAAATGAGCAAAAGCATACATTAGTATTATATCTGGTCTTTGTGGGATTTAAATACTTGAACCGAGTGTGAATTGGCCTGGAACTGATTTAATATACTTATGTTCTCTAAGCAATATTACACAAGATTTGCTTCAGCATAGACATGGTTCTAATATAAATACATATATAGTTCTGTCTCATCCACTTATGTACAAAAAAAACCTTGGTTGTATCCCTGCTTGATCAGTGCGAATTTCTCAGACATGATGTGCTACATTATGTTTCAGAATGAACCTTAATTAAAAAACCTTCCACCATGTCTGACTGACTTAGGGAGATGAAAAGCATTCTGGAATTTGCAATAAAAGACAAAATAAAAGAAATGTAAAAATCAAGAATTTACTGACTGGTTTCAGTCTGACCTGCTGAGATTGATTTTCTTTCAAGAGGCAAACTCATACAAGTTGATCTATATGGCATTTTTTTAATTCAAGAAACTAATCCAAAACAAAACACTTTTGACCTTAGAGGAAAAATATGCACTTGATCAGAATAATTGTTTGTTAGACTGACAAAATTATCGCCTTTTTTTTATCAATCAAAGCATTTCTTTCTAACAATTTTTAGTGAAAGCCAATTCATATGCATCATGTCATTAATACTATTCACCATTTAGAGCCAATTAAGGCACAATTTTTACTATTTGGCTGCTAATAGATAATGGTTTATTACTATTGAGTACGAGATTAATGGTTACATTCTGTGGTACACACTGAAAAAGTTTGTCACAATATTCAAACCATTATACAAATATAAGATCTAAAGATCTTCTAACAAGTTTGAACTATAGGAGTTTTATTTGTAGTTTGTTTTGAAAATATTCTGGTGATGAGAAAAGTATCCTTTTATAAACAATTTCACATAATGTGTGGTTAGTAGAGTCAATAGAATCTAACACCAGTCATTCAAAAAGACTTAACTGACTCATTAAACATGTTAGCTGCTACTCACATAATGCATACGTAAGCCACTCTGGCTGCTCATAGTGTACTATAGCTACACACAGAGTGTTGAGGCCAACAAGACATAATACAGTCCAATAAAATGTCTGGGATTTGACCAGGTGGCGGATAGTGAAGCGAATTCTCTTCTCCTTCCTCCTCAAGTAAGACGAGCTCTCATTCTTGCTCTTCGCACTCGCTCGTGCAAATGGTGACCCTGGGGGGGCAGTAGGAATGAAACACAAAGATGCCTATAAAGTTCACATGTCTCACACCAACCTAGCTGAGTCTTATCAGAACTGTAGAAAACTGTGATAGTTACTTTTCTGAATGACTCACTAATGTGCTTGAAGTTCATACTATCTAGCATAGTTCTGCAAAGAGGAAATTTCTACTTGTGCACCTCGATAACACCATCATATCGGACTTCTGCTGGGACACCTCGCAATGTGGTTCATGGTCTCGTGATGTAACCGCCTTTTACTCATGTTTTGATTTTATCTGAATATTGCTATGTGCATACTTCACTAAGTATGCACATAGTTAGTGAAGTATGCACATAGCAATATTATATATTGCTAGGTATATGTTGCATAGCAATATATGTTGCATTACTTTGTGTTCTTGTGTTTATGATCTAAAGCACTTTGAAATGCCTTGCTGAAATGTGCTATACAAATAAAATTTGATTGATTGATTGATTGATAGCATTCTTAGGGAAATATGCTCTTTCCTCTTTTGTATTTCATTACTTGTTGGAAACTGTGGAATACTTACTTACTGCTTAACCCAGAAAAGGAATTATAACAAACTTAGAATCCAGAGAATCACTATTTCGACCAATTCAATACTTTTTAGTATTGACTTACTAATAAATTACTAGTTTATTAGTTTTAGAAATCCTAGAGTACTTATTACTTTAGAGAAACTGTGGAGTACTTACTATTTGGATCAATATTGTACTTTTTAGATTATGTTTTGGTAAATCCTTGTACTAAGGATGTCAGTCCTCAACAAAGCTGTACAAGTTTGAGGTTATTTACTGCATATCTAATCCTTCTCTTTGTGTTCTCTTTAATGTAAAGCAATTGTTAAGCATACCACTAGTGCCACAGAATCTAAAGAAAGTACTGGAAGCCATAAAAATGTCTCAGAAAAGAAATGAGATCATTCAAATATATATTTTCACCTTTAAGGGATCTCATGTAAAAGTCCAGCAATATTCTAGGAGCATTCAATGTGACAGTAAAGTTTCATTTCTGTCTTTTATTCTCTATGGCATTCAGAAGATTATATATATTCTGCTCACCAACTGATGAAATGTCAGTGAAATGGTCCTCCCCTTCTTCTGCATTGATCAGGTCATTCTTATGCTTCTTTGGTCTTTTCAGCACTGCAAAAAATTTTTACCAAGTGATAATTTCCTGCTATGATATTTGATATGTCTCACTTACAAAGCTTTTTGCATGTTTTTTTCTCCTCATCCAATTAAAAAAAACTCTTTTCATTCATTTACTAACCATTGCAATATAATTACTATATGACTAAAGTAATTATACTTTAGCTCCTCCATTTTTAAATGAATGCTTTGGTCAGCTTTGTTGAATTTTGATTTGATGTGAGGCCTGTGCTGATGGCAGCCCTCACCAGAGTTGGGGTTATGTTTCCTTTTGTACCACGCTCCATCCAGAGACTTCTCCTCAGCGTTCTTGTCTTCCTCAGCCAGCATCACCTCTTCTGTAACACATTTACACTTCATACAGTTTTCAATAAAATACTTTCCTGTATACTGACTTTATTGTGTATCTGTGGCTGACTCCGTATGTGTGTGTGCATTTGTGAGTAACCAACCTGCTTTACAGATCCATTCCAAATAACCAGTCAGCTCTCTTTCAATTTGTTGCTGTCGACGAAGCTTCAGGAATTCTTGCCTCTTCTCCACACGCTCCCTTTCCTTTGCAAACTCTCTTTTGAAATTCCAGAAAATGAGAAAAAACACAGAAGAGAATGGTTATTAAATTTTGAAAAAAAAAATAAAATAAAATAAAACAAACAAACTATGGATCCTGGAGTTCTTAACTGTTGACAAAGAGGCCAGAAGTGAAGGCATTTAATGTCCTCCAACTGTTAGCAGCTGAACTGGTTGGGTTAAACAACAAGCTACACAACTCATGGAGATTTTTTTTCTCTTCATTCAGTTAGCACTGGCCTGTGGATTGACTTGTGAAGCGCAAACCAAATGAGCATTAGCTGACTTCAATTGTTGGATTTTTTTTTTGTCAAATTTAAATCTTTGACATCAAACTGGTTTTAATATTATATAAAGGTACCTGCACTTTTCCAATGAATGCAGTACCTTTAATTTATCAAAGAAAAACAGCCAATCCAATTCAACTTGGGTCAATGGGGGAGGTGTGACAGGATTTGGTTTCAAAATTATTTTTTGTAAGTTTCAATAAAGAGAAACAAATTATGATATATACATATTTTTTACTTTAATCAGCAGTGAACATAGGATGTTAAATTATCAATACTTATCAATAACTATCAATGATTTGACTTTAACTGTATGTTTTAGTACTTCAATCAGTGGTCAAAATAGAACTGACTTATTATTTGGCTTGCTTTTATCAATAAACAAAGGTATACGAAATTCATTAGTAGATTCAGTTGCTCAATGGGCCTTCACTGCACTGTCTTATCCTCCCAATGGTCAATATTGTTAAAGAAGTGTGATGACGTTTGAGAATAAAAAACTATTTGTATTCTTTTTGAGTTGTTTTGTTATATACAGACAATCCAGTGTAGGAATTGTACTTGAATTCTCCACAGAAGCACAACTAGTGGTCCCTTTCACACTGCAGCATGTGTTCATGAATATAAAAGTTTCTGTAGCTTTTAGGACAGTCTGTACCTTGCTCACTGAAAGGGGAAATTAAATCAGATTTCCCTCTGAATATGTTGTTAACGTTGTGAAACTGCGTCTATACTCTTTGGTCTTGTATACTCTTTGGTCTTCAAAACCCTGTTTTGGCTTTTTGAATAAATACAATGACAAAATGTGTTTTCTCATTCTTACTTGTCTCAGGTGTCTAATCTTAAATAGGATTTATTGTCATATTAGACTTCAGCTGATTTCTCTATGTGCCAGTGTTACACATGCTGCAAGTGCTGTGCCTTAATATTGTTTGAAAAAAAAAAAAACTGATGCAAAGTTCTGTCCACCTTTCTTTCTTCTTCATCAGTGTGTCTGACTAATAAACCTTAATGCTCCAAAATATGCCAGTAATAGCTGGACTAGATTTTGTTTTGGTGTCACCTTATAAAGTCGTCTCTGACAGTCTGAAATCTGCTCAGTTTAAAACCAAGAGGACATCAAAGGTATGAAGTGCAGCACCTTCAGCAGCCGAGACATCTGTGTTAGTGAGGTAACAACAAACTGAAACTACATGCAGGAAAACTAGAAGACTTGATGTCAAGATGAATAAACCACATAGTTCCAGCTTTATGTGTCTGTTCATAAACATACCTGAATCATACTTTCATAGAGATATGCTATCTTTTCATCTACTCTTTATTTTACTGTTCCAATTGTGTTAATTTTTATTTCTCAATTCCTACAGTGGAGAAAAGTTTTTCCAGTTCTGCTCACCTAACCTCCAGCCATTAGTGACTGAGCCTGGTTCTGTTGGAGGTTTATTTCTTCAAGTAGTTCTGTGAGTATTTTCTTCCCACTGTGTCCACATGCTTACTGAGGAACAAGGGTTGGTTTTCTTCGATAGGTAACTGATTGGGGATTTTATAGCTAACTGAAATTGATTGCATTATATTTCAATATGGAATAAGACAACATCACACTACAATTAAAGAATTTCACTGCAATAAACTGAACCGATTTGAACTCAATTTTGACCTGTATGGATTCTACATAAACAATCTTTGTCTTGAAGCTATATAAATAAAGAGACCGGAACTGAACTTACAATAGAAGTTGTGTATTTTCATGTTCAATGAAGAGGAATTGAACTGAAATATGAAGGCGATTATAGAGACAGGAGGAAATTGAAAAAAGTTCAAGATGGAGAAGACAGACTGAGAGACGGATCATGTAGAAGGGAAGAGAGAGAGGAAGCCAGTCCTCTCTAGTCAATCCCCGCTCTCTGATTGGTGCATCCAGGGGAAACCTCTATTCTGCATTGTAGTGGATTTCTGCCTCACTTTGTGTGTCTGTTTGTGTCTATGTGTGTGGGCCATTCTCAATCTAATTTTATGGGCACTATCTTCATGTGTGGATGCAGGAGTTTGTGTGTATTTCTAGGAAGATAGTTTCCAGTACCACACTCTTCCACTTCCTGACAGATATTCCTCAGAGTGAGCACATTGCACTGCCTTCACAACAAATGGGACACTTCAACACTTCCACTTACACACAGCCCACAATGTTTCCTTTCTCTGGCGCTATACTGACTGAAATGTCTGTTGTGCTGACACATAAGTGCATGTAAGGATAGAAATGGGAAAGGAATGTTACCATGGTAGAGGATCAGACCAGGACACAGAAGGTCTGGTCTGATGAGTCATGCTTTCTGTTACATCACATGAACAGCCTGGTCTGCTCACCTGCTTCCCCAGAGAAAGAAAACAGGTAACAACATGTGTCATGGTTTGCCGAACATTGGATTGCTCCGCACATATGACTGCTACTTTCATATGTACTCCTTATATATGTAAAAATATTTATATCACTCGCAATGGTTTCTTGTGCTATGTTCACACAAGCAGACACTGTAATACTCTTGTTAAGTTAATATAACCCCACAAATACTGAGTTTTACAGAACTCGAGCAGAGAGTTCCTATTCCTGGAAGCAGGAAACAATCATATTCACTGCTGCCCAGGAACTCAATATTTTTCACTGTGATAGAACTAGACTAATAAAATGTATATCATATCAAAAGATCAAGAATAAATCATATTGTTGCAATCATTTCATAAGGAGCGCTAAAAATGTTTCAGTTCAACTTTATCAGGCAGGTCACATATTTGAGAGCCGGATTCTACTGTCTTAAGGACCAGAACTGTAGAAAACGATACAAAACAACAAAAAGACAAAATAAGAAACTGATTAAGCCGTATGATTCATTTTTCACCAAGTATGCTTGAAATGTGTTTGTTCCAGTCCCAAGCATCAGTTTCATAAACTAAACATAGTTCTAATCTGTACAGACGTGGATGTGAGTGGAATTACATTTCCCATCAGTCCTTGGCCTGCACACACCATTGGGATTATAGCCTGGCAAATGTCCCTGAGGACCCTGGGGGTCTGAGGCCTCTGAAACCAGCATGTCTACGCTCCCACAGCCCTCGACCTATAAAGATCAGATCATGGCCTTTCAACAGAGACACGGCCCCTGCAGGGCTCAGTCGGACAGCATCGGTGACCTTCACGTCACCAGTTCAGTGTAAATCCTTCTGACAACGTCCACTGAGAGAACGGGAGATCTGAGCAACAACAGAGAAGAGGAGGCATGTGAAGACCAACTGCCTTCTGACAGTCTTTCTACCTGTTGATGAAGTACAATAAACAATATATGTCTGTATATCAAATGACTGAGTAAGAATAATTCAACCAGTTAAGTGTGTAAACATTTCCAAACTTTATTTTGAATTTTCCGATAACTACACTTTTGTTTTTCACACATTCAAGGACGGAGGAAGATGGACAAATCAGATCGTCTCGTCTCCCTCTTAGTCTCACTCTGTGTAAACAAAAGAGTGCATAAAACTGAACAGCAAAATATTTATATTTTATCTCTGTTGGGAGCAACTGAATTAACATAAATCTGCTCTTCACATTTCTATTAAAAGATTAATACGAACAATTTCAAATGTAACCAAGTGAAAAGCTCTTCTTTGTCTTTAAAGCAAGTCTCAGCAAAAAAAACAACAACAAAAAAAAACTAAATAAAAGAATGCTTAGACAGCAAAAATGCAATGCTTTTCAAACACTTGATCTAATTTATCAATGTGTTCCAAACCAGGTTATAAATTTAAAGTTTGAGTAATGGATTAAACTTTATCTGTTTTAACTTGTTTCCTGCATAACCCTGACAAAAGGAATTAATACAGATGATGTTGGACAACAGATTTTACATGTGACATTTTTGGATCTTAAAATACACTTAATCAGTATAATTTTTGTTTGATTTTAATGAGAGTTGAGTTTAATTCCCTGTTCATTAAATTGATGGCTTTAACTTCAAGTGTTCAGGACCTTTTCTTGGCAAAATTAAATTCAAACTGAAAATAATTAAGTGTTAAATTCTTCAAGTATTATAAACAGTTTTAGTTCTCTAAGAACTAAAATAAAATAATAGCTGTAATAGATAAAAGATGTTTCCTGCTAAAGAACACAAACCTGCTGAAGATTATGTTTGTAAAACATTATGTTCATATTGTTTAACGTTGATAAAACATTGCGTTTCATGAACATTATAAAATATCACTTTTATGTTACTTTTTATGAACAGTGTGAACTGTCCTGTTACATAGGACAGAATAAAAATGTAGATGTCTCATGTCTATGATGCTAGTGGTTCTAACGGTTCTGACAGTGTTATCTACCTTTGTTGATTTGATAAAGGAGGAGAATCACACTGAACAGCTCTGAACTACACTTTATGCAGTCAGACACAGGTCTCATAAAATAATCATTAAATTAACATTTCAATAAAGTATTAATATTTTACTGGTTCTGCCACATATGTGGAATTCACCTAAATTAGTAAGTGCAAGAAAAGTGTACACCCTGGAGGAGACAGTTATACATGTTGGATGTCAAAAAAGCTACAGAACAGAAACATTTCTAAGTGCAAAAGTTTCAGCTGCCATCACATTCTTTCCTGCTGTGTATGCTGTGATTTAGACATGTTACATGGGGCCTATCATGAGGCAACAAAGAAGATTTTGTGGAACATCAATTCCTATTTATTGAGGAAAATAGTTTGTCATGTTTATGTTGCTATACACACAAGTTAAAACAACAGTCTTCCAGTCCAAAATCCTTAGATGAGCTGATGAGCTCAAGTTTGAATGAATTGTGTGAAGATTGCCTTGCTTCATGGGATTTCTTTTAAAGGGGATTCAAATAAAATTGATTTTGATTGGTGTAAAGGTCAAGTAGTTTGACAAATGAAAAATGAGCAGTGCATGCAGTGAAAGGTTTGCACTGCTCATCCGCAGATGTTATTCTTGCAGACAGTGATGAGAAAAAGCAGAGAACATGTAACTAATGTGTTTTCAACTACCTCAGAAAAAGACAAGCATGCCTGGTTAAGAGATTTTTTGAAACCTGTTTGTATTGTACAGAAGAACCTTTAGGGCCCTCTGCTCAGTCTATACTCACCCTGACAGCACGCCCAGCACCAGGTTGAGCATGAAGAACGACCCAATGATGATGAGAGGGATGAAGTAGAGCCAGTTCCACATGTTCCCAGAGGCATCATTGGCCTGAACGCGAACACACAGACACAGAGGTTTAATGACTCATCCCTATCATTATACTTAGAACCATTTTCTATCTGTATTTACATATACATATATTAACTATCTTAAAACCATGATAGTCTATTTGTCTGTTGCTGGAAAGTCTCACACACAAAGAGAGTGGGTATTAGAAAGTTTATTTGACAAATCAAAGTTTTTGTTGCTCGAACCCAGGAGGAAGACATGGCGATGGAAACCAAGAGAATGACCCACTGTTTCTGAAGATTAGAGACGTCTTCCCCCCAGGGCCCAGACAATGGATAGGATGCAGAAGATGCAATAATAGGTAAGAACTAACTCCATGGGTGTGTCCAGCCATCATGCTGTTCAGCAGGAAGACGAATTCAAAGATTTGGTGAGAATTCTGTAAAAGTATCCGCCAACAAAAGCAATACACTTTCTGACATTGCTGGTTTAAGCACAAAACCCTTAGTCATGCCCTGAAGTCTGAAGGATGGAAAATACATGTGCTTGACTAAATCATAAATGACATAAAATATCAAAGCCTTAGTTTGATTTGCTGTCAGACAGAAGGGAAATCAGTATGTGTGCTTTTTATATAAAGTGTGTATCTGTCAAAGATATAAAGACTTTCCTGTAGAAACCTGCTAGGAAAATAGATACTGCAGGACCTGAACATCATTTATAAGCGAGTTAAGCAGGAAACAATCACTTAGTAATGTAGAACATAAAACACTCAAGCTTTTTTGGAGAGAGATTTCAGGACATGCATGCTATTGCTCTCAATAATGTATTAGACTGGGATTCATTATCCGCACATCGGTATTATTCAGATAAATCTTTGATAATCACTCCAGTTTCACTGTACATATTTACATCTCTTGAATTTAAAAAAGTAGTATCCTTGCATGTCATCCAACCTGATTTGCCAAAAATGCCATGCAGATAACACTGTTAAAGACGACATAGCCTGAGCTCTAAATAAAACGACCTGATGTGACCAGATGCAAGGACATCAAATCACACATCTGGATCTATTTATCTCCACACAGATGTTTTCTGTAGTAAAACTCACGTTGTACAGGATGTCCACCCATCCTTCCATGGTGATACACTGGAAAACAGTGAGAATGGCAAAGAGGATGTTGTCAAAGTTTGTGATCCCAAAGTTAGGTCCAAGCCAGTACTCTTCACAAATATTGTCTTTGCCACAAGTCCTTGCTGGGGGTTCAGGTCCACAAGGGAAATCTGCCACCTGCTCTTCTATAACCACAAACACACACACACATTTATACACAGTTAAACACACCAAAGAAAAAAAAATCCTGATTTTTATATTGGGTCTAAATTAAAGAAATTATTTGCAAATATCATGCAGCTTTGAGGCAGATCAACTTATGATGACTAAAAAGCTGTCAAATTCAAAAACCACAGATCATTTGGGATATTATCTGTCTTCAGGTCCCACAATTCACTAAATGTGACACACTGATATGCATAAGAAGTGTAGGGGTGCCTTTAAACAAACAAGCATTATAGCTGGAAAAGCTACAGATCAAAATATGTCAAGTAGAAAATCCATCACTTGAAACATTTCTCCTTCTAAAATGATATGTGTTCAAGAGGGTCATAAATTTAGATAAAACCCTATTTGTGTTGATCTTGCTTACTTGTTCCATTCTTGAAGCATGTTCGATGAAATTTGCCAATATAGAAGTCCAGCCCAATAATAGCAAACATGAGAATGGCGAAGAAAAGCAGCATTCCAATCTGGAGCAGTGGTACCATAGCTTTCATAATGGACTTCAACACCACTTGAAGGCCTAAGGACAAATGTGAGAAACACCTTAAAGCAAAGAACATTCAAAGCTTAAAAACACATTTAGGATATTTTGTGCTCTAATGTCAGAGAGATAAAAGCTAACCATAATAGGAAGCCGGCTAATACAAACTAGAAATATTCTGATTTACGTGTAGATATTTTTATTATTTGATGAAGTTTGCCATTTATAGCCTATCTATAAGGTGTTAAAAATTTAAATCAGAGGAAAAGCAGGAGGTGTAAGAGGCAACTACATGAATGAAGCATGAATAAAACATGCCGGTTCTGTGCAAGGATCTCTCCTGCTCATATTACAGGCTGAGACTTTCACTTTCAATTCCAGGTGATGGACAAAAGCTTATTAGAAATTGGCAAATAAACAAGAATTTTCAGTTTAGTAGTTAGGATTATAAGTTGGTTCATGGGTACAGCTGTAATATGTGATCTTTTGTAACAAAAGTAAGTGATTTTTGCTCAGCTGCAATAAGTATTTTCAAGGCAATGGAGGAGACACTTTGTGAAATGAGTTGGCCTTTTGTAGGATATAGGAAAGTGCTTTAGAGATTCCATCCAACCAGACAAAATCTTTTGTCAGCTGGCATCTCACCAGACTAAACTGTGTAAACTGATATGTGTTTTTATCATTTAATTTTTAAACCTGTCACTTACACCCAGATGGGATGGTTTGAAACTCTGCTAATTGCATTTATGAGTGCTTATGAATCCAATTAAAATAGACTGTTAAAAAATAATACATTGTGATTTCTGGATTTTTATTCTTATTTTCTTATTTTATTCTTATTGTCAGAAATTTCACAGTGGAAATTTCTGACCCCTCCATGATTTCTAAGTGGGAGAACTTAGAAATTATCTTCCTCAGTAAAATACTGACATCCATCTATCCATCCATCCATCCATCCATCCATCCATCCATCCATCCATCCATCCATCCATCCATCCATCCATCCATCCATCCATCCATCCATCCATCCATCCATCCATCCATCCATCCATCCATCCATCCATCCATCCATCCATTCATTTTCTATACACTCTTGTCCCTAGTGGGTTGGGAGGGGTGCTGGTCTCCAGCCAACGTTCCAGGCGAGAGGTGGGGTCACCCTGGACAGGTGACACGACCAATGCCCAGGAACACAGAGACAGACAGGACAAACAACCCACACACACACACTCACTCACACATTCACACCTAAGGAGAATTTAGAAAGAGATCAGTCATATATATATATATATATATATATATATATATATATATATATATATATATATATATATATATATATATATATATATATATATATATATATATATATATATATATATATATCTGTTTTTTTGGGGGGGGAACATATTACTGTAATGTTTCCTAAACAAGGTTACACCAATATCTCTGCATACAATGGTAAGCTGAAATCTTTATTAGTTGTTGTCATCATCAGCCTCAGTATTTGAAAACTTACTTGGAATTCCAGAGACGAGTTTGAGGGGCCGCAGGACTCTGACTGCTCTCAGTGTTCTCAGATCAAAATCAGCCCCTACAGTGGCCAGGATCCTACATACACAACAAACAGACATATTCACAACCAGATGTTTCATATTCCCCTGACTCCATTATAGTTCCCAAAATAAATGACTGACACATTAATATCACAAAGACTGTTATACATTTACACCAACCACTGCATCATAAATAACAATGAAAGAGAATAAATAATCACCACAACCACATAATCATTTTTTATGATATTTACAAAACCAAAAATGGGCATTTAAATTACAGGAGACTTTTAAAGACAACAGACATCAAGAATCATTTCACATAGCTCCATAGCTTACTGCCATCAACTACAGGCACGGTGACCTGAAGTTAAAGTTTCCACCTAATGTTGAAAAGGTGAGATAATCCTAGTAGATAGATCTGAGATTGCAAAGCAGAGCTTTAAGAATGTTTTATGCAGTGTCATTAGATGTAACATCTGGTCTGATCACTCTTACCTGATGTCTGGACATTGTTATGTCAAACTTTCTTTTATTTTAATCAATCAATCAATCAATCAATCAATCAATCAATCAATCAATCAAGTCATCAATTTTAGCTTTAAAGCACCCTTTGTGTTGGAGCTAGCTCGCTGGAAACACGTAATAAAGATTATATCTGAACTGGGTTTGAATCATCTGGGGTCACAGTCTGCAGGTGCAAATACCAGAGTTGTGAAGTAAACTGAAACATTTCTCCCATCTTTGTAAGAGGGCTGGTGGATATTAAAAGTGATGTACTTTAATCATTTCTTCACTTCCCTGGACTGGCCAGGGGAGTCATTGCTATATTGTTCGCTTAATTTCTTTAAAAATAACAATAATCAAAATGCATTTTGATTTGTTCTTGATTGACTCAGTGTTTCATTTTGGGTAAGACTTATTTATTTCCTTGACAACACCGATTGCCACAGATTCTCAGGAAACTATAACTGTACATTTTCTGATGTTTGCTCCAAAAAAGAGCAGTTACACTGATCTGTAAAAGAATGTAGCAGGACAGAAGGTGGAGCTGTTGAACCATGTCAAATTGGAGACCTTGGGAATCCAGTGTGTAAAGGGTTGTGTGTATGAACCATTTCTTGGCCTTCATTAATATATTCAGATTTTGACTTTATTTAGAGGTATGCCATTGTTCAGACCACAGGACCCCTCTTTTCCTTTTGTTTGTTTTGAACAAAACAACACACACATCAGAACTCACCACACCGTTCATACATTAATTTGTGAGCAACTGTGTCAGCAGTCATAAGACATAACATTTGCTCTTTGCTTTTATATGTTTTCAATGAATAATGTTATATGATGTGGCAAGCTGTGGCAGTGAGTGATGTCATAGTTTTGCAAACTATATTAAGAAAGTGTGAATGTGATCACCTCTAGTTTACACACACAGGCGTAAATGAGAGGTTTTCAGGGAAGAAAAAGAGTTAGAACATTGAATCTTGGGATAAGCAGAGCCACCATCCGACCTCTCAGTTTGGTTATTATTTCAGCTAATCCACAGATGATGCCACCACACAGGTTCTGCACACCAAGGCGTTTGAACATTCCACGGTTCTGTTCTTTGACTGCTCTTCAGCTTGTAGCACTAAAGGCTGAAAAATTGTTTTGGACCAACAAAGCCAACATGTTCTATTTGTTTCACTCAATAGGTGGCAGTATAACCCTTTTTAATTACTCCTTGAACTTATAATTAATGTTTTCTCATCAGACTGATGTTGCATAATAATATTACTCCATAGAGCCGTTTCTTCAACACTATAACACAGACTGCTGGCCATGGGAGTTTGTCGCACAGTGTGATTGTGTTGGTGCAACACAAGGCAGACTGCTGGAGCAGCAGGGTAGAGAACGATGCGTTATGGACCAAACCAGACGGACAGCAAAAGGAGCAAGAGAAGGAACAAAACAGAGAGATACTTAGGGAGGGGAATCCAAGGCAGAGACCATTTAGAGTGTTGCCATGGAAACAGAGGAGGGTAATCTCATTAGAAACTAACAGCCACAGGAGAAACACAGGAGAAGAGGGAGAACACAATACTTTCTCACAAATATCCCTTCAGTAGAGGTGGGTAGTAACTGAAGAACTCAAGGCTGGTAGGAGTAGTTTTACTTGTACTTTAGTCATATTATTTGGATGTAATGCTTCTCTTACTGGGATACAATTTCAGGCTGCTTAGTGAAGCTCCAGTGGATTCACTAAATGAAGGTCAAGCACATTTTGATAAAAAATGTTGCAAACAGAAACACGCCTATAGTTTATATTCAAATCTTGTTTGCACACAAGTTTCTTTGTTTTAACATGATTTTTCTGAGCCTGCTGTGCTTTATGCAGGCACAGTGGATTTATTATAAATATTGTCTAACATGGTTCTTCTGAATTAAACAGTTATTTTGTAATAATGCCATTTTATTCATTTTTTAACACTAGAATTTGCACATTATTCTGGCTTGTGGTTACCGGTATATCATTTTCACAAATTTAATCGGTTGTTAACAACAACCAGTCAGTCAGTACTTGAGTATCCTTTTAACATTTTCTATTGCTCTAACTTGAACTATTTTCCGTATAACTGTTTTGTACTTATGAGAAAATATACATTGAAGTAATTGGAATTGGAAATGTTGATGGTGTTGTATCATAAGTAAAACGCCATCAACATGAACAGAAATCTTAATCATTTTTACACTTAGCTATTATAACGGTTTCAGATGTGACTTAATGTTGTGTGTCCTGGATAAAGGAAGACAAACTAAGGTTCTCTGTTTCATGTTGCTAAACATGGAGCTGCTAAATCTCATTGTGTGCTTCTCAGACCACTGAGCAGGCGGAAACTGTTAGAAACACTGGATGGGACGAAACAATTCTTTCTATGACACACTCACTTAGGTCCAAGTATCTGGGATCGGTAAAGATAAAGATTATGGGTGGATCTGATGAGACTTGTCTATTTAATTAGTTTGTTTTCAAAAGCCATCCTAGTTCCAAGATTCCTGCCTCCAATGCTGCAGAAAGTCTCAGCTTATTGCATGAGTAATTATCACTACAGAAGGCAGAAGAATAGCTAAGCAAGTGCAGCAGAAGCAGTCAAAGTGCTGGAAGTCATGCTAAAGCTAACAGATCTTTGATATAGCAACACAATCAGAGGTGTTTTTACACCAAAAGATTTCCAAGAAAAAGCTGTGCAAGCAAAACCGAGCATTAAAAGCATTGGTGTTTTAGGTATAAAAGGGCGAGCTGGGTCAACTTTTGATCATTTTGATTGTTGAAAAATAATTCAAAAAAATAAACAAATAAGCAAAAAATACCAACATTAATCAATATCAATCATGCCCTCTGTGTTTCTGTTATTTCTAAAGTTAAGGGAATGGAGCCTTTTCTCTTGTCTTCACTGCCACTGAAATTTTGAAACAGGCTGTTTTATAAACACAATCAAAACATTTACTTGTTTCCAAAAAATGGATGTGTGTTTTTTGGGGCGTTGTTTTTCTCTAATTGTGGCCCTTTAATCATTTGACCCCTCAGTTTTATCCTTGATTACTCCCTCACATTTATAAGCAAAATTCCTCTTAAATAGTGACTGTCTAAAAGATTAAAAGGTTAAAAAAAATTCCAAAACCAGCACTCCAGAACTCCACAGGAAAGTATTATTCACAAATAAAGAAAACGTGGAGCCTTACACAGACTGCACAGTAAGAGTACTCCTCAAGTACACTGACAACTCCATAATTCAGGAAGTGTCAAAAGAACCCACAATGACATACTAAGTTCAGCTATCATACAGTAAGGTAAGAGCACACTTAACATATTACATAAATCCAAAAAAAAAAAAAAAACAGTCGCCAACATTTATAAACTGGGTGTGGTGTTCAGCAAAAGTGCATATGAAATGCTGGTTCATAGACACAGCTCTCTCAGCTTTGCAGTCACAAGCTGCATTTTCCTACATGCCAGCTTTTGATTCCCCCCATAAAGTTTAAGCAAGGAAGAGTGCAAGTATTCATTATTATTAACGGAAAGCAACACAACTGCCTCAAGCCCTGCAGAGTCCAATTTCCCCACCCCCATCCACCACCAGCTAAAACACAGCTCACAGGTCATTTAACTCCTGTAAGAGGAGAAGAAGAATCTTGAACTAAGGTCATTAATCAGCAGACTCATATACAAGGAACATAAATTCAAGAACACAAAGCTCTTTCTTTTGCCTTCATCTCAGTCTGGAGCTCCTGACTTTTCTGCTCAAGGTTGGGACTGATCTATGAATGATGCCTAAACTTCCCATTACACAAAAGTGAAATTCCCCACATTATTCTGCTTTTCTATGCATTTTATTAGGACAAAATTAAGTATGACATGTGCTGGCAACAACCCAAGTAACCCACGTCTACAAAGAAATCATAGTCGATACATGTTCTCTGCAGTTTGAAGTTCATCAGTTTTTTTTTTGTTTTTTTTACTTCTGATTAAATCCTTCTGATGTCTATTTCCTGCAACCTGATTGTCTGTCCTTATGTTACCTTGCACATGGTTTCAGCATGGTTTTATTCTTGCCTGTATTGTCCAGATCCTTCCATGTCTTTGTGAGCCTGTTTGAGTTAAGGATCCAATGATCCAAAGAGAACAGTAGGCTCATTTGATGATCAGTTCATCATCAAATGAGCCTATGGTTCTCTTCTTCCTCAACAAAATGCTCTGACCAAAGGAAGGATCCAACAGCCCAGAAAATGGATTTAACAGCATTCCTTGTAGAACGGTGTGGAAATCCTTCTGTGTCCACTGCTGCTAGAAGAAATGGAGAACGTCACTCCTCTTCACCACAAAATCCCATGCTGAACTGGTTCAGTATGGGCCACCTGTAACACTGCTGTGGTCATATGGGGTCTGGCTGTCGTCTCCACAGCACCCTCCTCTCCCCAGAGCCTTAAAGCCTAGGTTTTGCCTCAACCCTCTAGAGATGAAGCAGCCGACAGCCCAATTAAAACTGTAAAACAACCATCTCAGCCCAAGCAAAATGTTTCACTGTGGCTCTAACTGACTTCCAGAGCAACTCAATTCAGTTCAGTTTATTTGTATAGTGCTAATTCACAAGAAATGTCAAGGCACTTTATGAAAAATAAAAATAAAATAAAAAAATTCCAGTGGACCCTGAGTGATAAAACACCACAGCATCCTCAAATAAGTATCCAAAGTCGTTAAAGTTTCCAAGGAAACCCAACCAATTGCATTGACTCATTGACTTCCATCATTCACTGCTCTGGCACAAACAGATAGTGAAAATGTCTGTGTTATGTCATTGACTTTACAGCAATCATGTAGCGTATAACAATAGTGGAGAGGAAAAACTCACCTTTAACAGGAAGAAACCTCCAGCAGAACAAGAACTGAACTCAGTACAAGAGCACCTTCACATATATTTCTTCTTATACTGTTGTACAATGAGATCTTTTTCCATGTGTCCTCTCTGCAAAGTACAGCTTCAGAACCAGGAATAGCACAGTAGCTCAATGAGTGGAGTAGTTGAAATGCAACAGAAGGTTGTGGGTTTGATTCCCTCTGATGTGCCCCACTGCAATGCACTTAGTATCAATTTAGCTACCTATTGGTCTATGCATGCCCATGAGTGTGTGTGAATGTGTAACTATAGTGCTTTAAGTGGTCAGTCTGACTAGAAAAGTGCTACATAAATTCAATCCATTTTCAATTTAAATGAGCAAGTGATAAACTACTCAATAGGGGATCAATAAATGATTGGGAAATTTCTTCAGTTAAAATGCTATTATAGTCATAGAAAAAGATCTTTGGGACAGAAAAGGGTTCACTTTGGTCACCAGTAAAACACATACTATAAGAACATGATCAAAAACACAATTATTTGTAAGTTAGTTAATGTGCTTTTTTTTTTTTTCTTTTTTTTTTTGACCATTAAGGACATATAGCGAACAAAATCTTCACATATAGAACGCAAACAAAATAATCCAGATGATATTTGAACTGTACAACATAATATCTTAGTTGTGCCTTCTGTAATACACAGATGTTTTATGAAATTTAAAGTTCACTATACTTTTATTCAAACCCATTAGATGAACTTAGAATTTGTCAGGAGGATCAATGCAGTACTTAACATAATGTTTATGTATGAATCTGGACTGGTGTGTGTTGCTGGACATTTGTAAGTTACTTAAAGTTAGTAAATCTAATTAACTGTAGCTGATCAATGACACAAGAGAGTTACAAAATAAAGAAGATTCCCTCTTTATCAAGCTATGTTTTAAATCAGTCAAAACAATGAATCCATCAGCCACTCTACATGGAGTTGATTTTCAGGGGTCTATTATACCGAGCATGCATGCAGTGACAGTATGCAGTGACAGAGAGAAAAAACTCCCCTTTAACAGGAAGAAACCTCCTGCAGAACCAGAACCTGGTTCAGTGGCAAGTCATGTAACGCGTCACACAACTTGTCAGGAGTCATATGACAAGTTACAAGGTTATATTGAAAGTCTCCAACATTTTCAACTGAAACTCACAGTGTGAGGACTATTGAACTGAACCAGAAAATATGACGATGTAAAACAAAGATCCTCCATTAGATTCTTGCGCAGCCTGATATTAGGAATGTTTATTTTTTGATTTGTTAGTGAATTGACAGGAAAGTAGACAATGAGAGGGAGAGGGAAGACATGCAGTAAAGGTCATGAGAGCAGAACTCCAACCTGTGACATCCGAGTTGAGGACAAAGTCTCCATATGCAGGTGGTGCTTTTCCTTTGCATTGTTGCTGTAACTCAGAGTGAACTTTATTTAATCATACATAATTATACATATAGAAAATTATATGTACTAGATATAAAACATGTATAACTCTGAAAATTCCACACAAATTTTCTGGCAATTGTTGTAGATTCTTAACATTAACAATAATTAACTGACATGGTTGTCTTCAACCCTTTGGTTTCTAATATGAAAACAGTATGAAGCTGAGGGTAGTGATCTGAAGCTAATTTTTAATAATATTGCACACACACTTGGACAAATGGTAAAGTAGGTGTTCTTTATTGCTAAATTTGAAACTTAGCAACTTATAACACAAACTGGTCTACCTGTCACTTCTAAAGAACTCAGTACTTAGTGAGCTATTGTTGTTCTCTAATTGCCATGAGGCTTGAAATAGTGATTTGTTAATGTTGGTATGTGTATTGATGCATGTTTCAGTGTATATGAATGTGGAGCTCTTGACAGTCTCCATGAGGATCAGCTCCCTCCCCTGACCACACTGCAGAAGCTATCAGTGTAGTGCAGCCCTGATAAGATGTCCAGACCGCTGCTGTAATGGCCTCCATCCACAGCCCAGCCCTTCAATTATGGTTATCATATGAGTCTGCTGAACACCAATTCAATAAAGGCCTGCTTGGGCTGCTCCCAATATCACACACATACACACAAACACATGCACGCACGCATATAGCCACACATTTTCTCCCACAGTTCATAAATACTACAGTTCAGAAAATTTCCCTGGAACTCTCATATTGCATTGTGTATTGAGAATTGCATATAATAAATATTGATAAATTTTGCATTCTTTGGAATTTTTACATAAAACAAGATTGTTTGAGATCAGAAAAAACTAAAGCAGCTGTTAATCTAACAACTGCCACTGACTTTGGTTCTGTCTACCTGAAGAGACTCATCCTAAAACATAATGCAACTTTGGAAGGAGTTGGGCAAACTTTCTGATTATGTTTTAGGATTGTTCTTGGCTTTGTAAGACGAAGGAAAATCATAATGCCAGAGTTTATGAAGGAAAGGAACCTAGAATCTCAGCTGATACAGATTTGGATATACCCTGAAACTGTGTCGAAAATAACCAGAATCAGTTGGCTTCGCGTTTGGCTACCTCTGACCAGTGACTGTTTCAGAAACTAAAAGAACGTAGAAAGGTGCACACTGTCTTGATTTGGCTGTTGAGGTCCATCTGCTGGTGTGATGCCCAACAAAGACAGAAAACAGAGTAGACCATAAAGAGGAAGCATTTGCAGCCAGATAAAATGTTTTTACGCTGAGGAATAACAACCTTTTAAAGATAAAACTAAACAGAGTAACTGTCTGTAAGCTGGGCACTAGGTCGGGACAACTAGTTGAGAATCTGCTTTGTGGAGGGTTAAGTAATGTGGAGCTCAGTTCTATGGGAACTAACCATTCTATTGTTTTCTCAAGCCTGCCTAAACAATTTCATATAGCCATCACTTCCAGGCATTTCCCACGCAAAAGTTAATTGCATTTAAGAGGAAACAGTTTTCTGCAGAAGCATGTCGGCAGCTACTTTTACTAAGGAAGGGAATCTTGATCACAGCAAAGTTGCTCCATTTCACCCATTTAAAGATTCAGTTCATTCTGCCAAGGAATATAAAAGATGCTTGTAGTTAGTCAAGCTAATTTCTAATATTATCATAAATTGAGAGATTACAGGTAGAAATGCAGACTGGTTGTTGAAGGATTTAATAAAAGAAAAAGAAGAACAAAAATTTGCCACAGAACCCCATGGAGACACAGCGAGTCAGAGTATCAAAACACAAGAATCCAGGAAATAAAGACCAGTATACAAACTATAGGGAGATAACAGGAGGAAGAGTAGACGTATTTAAGTACTGGGACAGTGAATATGGAACAATGGACCTGGGATGATGAGTTAAGGGGTTGCAGGCTGAAGAGAGAGAGGAAGAGGCACAGGGGGCGAGGGAGAGTACACAACCGGGGAGTAGAAAATAAATCTAACACTGAAGAACTAAGAAACATAATTAAACGAGAGAAACACGGGAGAACTAGACACAAGAAAGAAAAATAATAAATTGCAAACCCTAAGAAACAACTGAACTAAAGTAAAACAGAAATATTACTGATTTAATCAAAGAAAATGAGCTACGGAGTACAGAAAACCCAAAACCAAACTCAAAGAACCCTGAAAAACATAATCTTCTGAAGACATTTTAAAATAAAAACTCTGGTATATTCTTGAATCTTTTTTTTCCAGTCACATAGCGATATTTTATATCATAATCAAGCAAATAACAAACATGCCTTAAAACAAATTTGTCTTCGTAATTGATGCATTGAAATTGGGCCTCTGTCTCGTGAAGAAGCTCCTGCTCTTTCTGACAGTCTGCCTTCATTGCAACAGTTTTATAAGCATTGAACTGAGAACTGAGCAGACATTATTGTGAATCCTGTGTGTTTCTAACATTGTTCCACCAGGTGTTTGCTAGTTGAAGCTAATGCTAGTCTGAGGAGCTCCGTGGGGAAGAGGCAGAGGAGGAAGGCTCAGCTGGAGACTGCAGCTCTGAGGAGGAGCTTTGTGGAAAAGGCAGTGCTTGGTGAGATTAAATGTTTCTGTTGCTTGTGGCGATTAAAAATACATAAAAAATCAAGGAAACACTCCAGGTATGATTTTGATGAGGGAATAACATAAAATTATATAAAGCTGAAAATAGTTCTTATCACATAACACTGTCCCTTGAAGACTCATTCTTCTTGCTGTGCATTTGGAAGAATTTTTATACTTTTTATTTTTAGACATTTGTTAGGTTGACTACCCACTCTCAGTTTGGTAATCAGCAACAAGAACAAGGTTATTTGCAACTGGGAGAAGTTGCTTCTATATTTTTGTCTTTGACCAAATTAAAAGATGCTGCTGCTCCCTGTGCCTTCCACATGTCTGTAGAAGTCATGTGAAGAGATAGTAAATAAAGTAAACAATTACTAATTATTCAAGGGATAAAGGCTGCTTACAATAACTGAACAGACGATGCAGCTAAAACGTCTTAGAAAATTAGTAGGGGGTTTTCTATTTGCACACAGCAGACATCATGGGTTAGTAAAGAAAGAGAAAATATTGTGATTTGGCTCACTGTCATATTTTCTACCCAGCACTACAACTTTGAGTTATGTCTTACCTTAAAAATTTTGTTGTACAAGCTGCACATTGGTGCAGTTGGTAGCATCGTTGCCTGGCAACGAGAAGGTTCGGAGTTTAGATCAGTATGGAGTCTTTCTGCGGGGAGCTCACATATTCTTCCCCTGCATGTGTGGGTTCTCTCTGGGTACTCTGGGTACTCAAGCTTTTTGCCACAGTCCAAAAAGCTTGATTGGTTGGTCTTAATAAACTTGCATGGATTTTGTTGTACAGTCAGACACATTTTAAGATTGAACAGAAAATATTAAAAAATCTACTTTTTATAATTATTTAAGGAGTATTGTTAGATCAGACCTTTACAAGATTTGAAATAATACAAGTCAGAAAACAGAATGTGCAGCATGCTATTCTAAAAGAATATTTAGTTGATGCAAAGTTGAATATAAACACTAAACAATTTTAAATGCTAAACATTATCAAGGTCAAACTCTATAATGTTGTACATTATCAGTGGACTCTCTCTATAGTTTCTTCTTCTACTAAGTGCTGAATTCAGGTAGATTTAAAATCAGCTTGTATGAACTCCGTATGGCCGCAGTCTGACCATCTGCTGGCTGTCTAGTTACAGAATTTCATTCTCATTTGCACTTTTACTTTGTTTAAATGTTCTACTGGGAAAGAGCACCGACATCATTCTGCATTTCATTTACAATGAAACACGGTTGTATTAGCGAGGGAATCTACTACCCGCGATCAGGATAGACTGAGGCTTTCAAACAGGTTGGATCCTAATAAGCTTTTGGACAAACAGTGGTCCTGCTTCACTCCTGTGTTTACAGTTGTTAAAATGTCACAATTTATCAAGACAAAAATGCAAAACAAAACATTCAACAGCTATTTGTTGTTAATAAGTTTAATCTTTGATTAGAGAGATGAAAGTCTTCATTTGTGCACATGTCCATAAGTGATGTACATGGATGATTTGCACGTTCATTCATTTTTCCTCATTTCATATTCAGAGGTGTTTCAACCAGAACTTGAACATTGTGATTATCTTTTGGGAAATGCTGGTTATTTCCTTCTTGGTTGACTGAAAATATTTGTCAGCCTAAAATATGAATAATTTTGGGCTTAACCATAGAACAAACCATTCCATCAGCTACAGAAGCATTTATGTCTGCAGGTCAATGTTTTAACAGCCATCCATTTGGACATATAGTGTGTTATAAGGTTCTGCCAAATGGATGATAGCCAGCTGTTTGTGGTCGATCTGCAGGGAAAAGTGAATGTGTGCCCCTTTGAACTCAAAGGCCAAATGCATTTTGCTCTCTTTTATTGTAATAATGCAGATTAAAGATTGGTGAGTACTGAATGTCTCAAAAGAGACAGACATGGTGAGCCAGATGGGCAGAGTTGAATCAAGAGGCTCAGTGCTGACCGCCCTCAAAAGCCAGTATGCTACTTTCATTATTTATTCATAAAGAAGCTGCTTCCCTGTTGTCGTTATTTTAATAAAGTATATCACAAACATTTCAATCAGACCTCCAGACCTGTGAAAAACAGTTTCTTCAAACAGAAACATAACTGCTTCTACATGACTGCAGAAGCAGACATTATTGTGAATCTTGTGTGTTTCTAGCATTTTCCAGCAAGTGCCTCCCTTTGTGTTCAGCTAGTGGAAATGAAAACTCAGTTGACTTGCAGTAGGAGGAGCAGAAGGTGTAATGAGGTGTTTGGGAATTGGCCTGCTGCTCTGCAGCGAGGCTCTTAGTACAAACCCAGGATAGTCCATATAAATCCAAAAGCATCATGTAAGAAAAACTGAGCAATTCCCCGCTGAGTCCAGCTGTCTCTCTGGGACTTTTTACAGCATAACAGTATCCTATGTCACTGCCCCCTCCCCTCCACACACACACACACACACACACCAACGCCACAGCCCTTTCTGCTCTGTCTCTCCTCACACACAACACTACTCCTGCAGTTTTCTCATCCAGCCCCAGGGGAGGAAGTTTGTTTACAACACTGAAAGCACGAGTAAGCTTTACTTACTTAAAGATTAAAGATTAAATATTGTTAGTAAAAATAGAACATGGCATGATTTATTTCTAGGATTTCTTACCAGAAAAATAAAGAATGAGTAAAACATATTTGTCAGTGTCTACATCATGGAATAAAAGCCAGTATAGTCTATTTATTATCTTACTTGATTGGGAAGCAAACAAAGCAACAAAAAACAGTTAGCATGAAACTGCACATGTGGTTTAAATATTTTTGAAGCTGTATGTGGAGTTTAAACGTAGAATCAAGGAAATGAATCCAATACATGTAGAAATACATTTCAAAGAGACGCATCAAGGGAACAGACAAGAAGGTCTTGAACAGCAGTGATTGTGTGCAGAAAATCTACTCCAGCACCACAGAAAATTTATATTAATAATATTAGCCTTTAAAGAAGTAAAAATGAGTGGGCAAATAGTTGCATAAAAACAATGAAAGAAAAAAGAGATGACAATTTATAAAATAAGATATCTAAGTTCAAACTGTATTTATTTATTGATTTACTTATTAATTTATTTCTCGTTATAATAATGTGTGCCACTCCTAAATCACAAAGGCAGACAGACATATTGGGTAGGTTATTGAAGCTGTCTGCATGTCGGTAACATATCGGGACTGTTAGATGAGCTCAGAGCTCCTGGCAGCTGAGATTCTAAAACCCACATAGATGCAACAAGGTGATGACGGATGAGACAGACGAATGAGGAAAATTTGATTTTATCAAAATCAATAACATTACTGGAAACTTCAGAAATAATATGGGAGATATTATGTTTTCATAATATTTTGCTGCCCCAGTAATTCTTTCAGCAACAGTGTAGCAATAACAAAAATAAAATGAACCATTATGGAAAATAATGTAGATATTACTATGCATTACTATGTGCATATTATTATGCACATCGTTATAACAATGTTAATCCTCGTGGATTGATTGCACTGGGTCTCTCGGCAAGAAGGTTCTATGTGCAGAATAGTGACTAAACACAGTTCTAGTGTTTCCTGCAACGTTTGCAGGAAGCAGAGACTTGAACCCTGAATGCTACTTAATAACTGACAGGAATTCTCAATAACACAACATTGTTTCCTCTGAAAAATGTCAGGAATCATCATAAACTTGGAAACATATGCATCATGATCATTTCTGCGATATGAGCACAGTGTTTCCTCTGGAGGGCTGAACATCTAATGCAGATAATACCATCTTTTTCAGACCGGAAGAAAACATCCTTTCATCTGGAACAGCTTGGCTTTACCAATCATTACAAAGGCAACACACACCCATACACAGAGCGAAGCTGCCCCTCCCGTTGTTAACCACTGCTGCCCATCAGCACTGTCAGTTACCAGCTGTGGAAGCCATTAGGCCAGTGCTACTTACCCTGTTAGGACCACCACAAAGTCCATTACATTCCAGCCATTACGTAGGTAGGAGCCTTTGTGAAAAGCAAAACCCAAAGCAATAATCTTGATGCCTGCCTCAAAGCAAAATATTCCAATAAAGTAGGGCTCTGTGTCATCCTGGAATAGAAACAAGGAGAATTGGAGTTAGTAAACTACAGATGTTATCTTTAACAAGAGCACATTCTAGAATCAGTTTATCTTCCACTTTCAGTAGCACAAAACTCATCAGAACATGTGCTACAGTTAGAAAAATGAAACATAGCGCATTGACATAGTCCCAGTATTTCAGAACTTCTCACAATGTTTGGGTGTCAAAGTGCTGCACTAAATATCAAAAACATTCAGTTTGGGTTTTTCATGGCCTGCTAAAAACCAACCCCTGTTTCCTCCAGTTGAGGTTTTAAATCTTATCCAATTGCTAACATTTGCGTATCATATGCGAAATCCACTATTCTGATGCTAGATGCTTATCAGAAACTGCCTGTGTTGTAAACAACAGCCCTCCACTGCTAAGAGAGAAGAGCCGGTCTGAATGAGGCGGCTGTTGATGTTAGATCAATGTTTGGAAACGTGGCCAACATGGACTGAACGACTTCAGTCACTTCTTCTGCTGCCACTGCCAAAACTACAAGTCGACTACAATTCTAGAACAGCACAGAACATTGACATTATCTTCCCAACTTCTTCTGCTTGCTGATTGGATCTGTAGAAAATCTTCAGATCCAATCTGGTGGAAACAGGAAGAACTGGTTCTGAGTAGCACCAGAACCAGTTTGTGGGAAACCTCTCATGCTGGATCTCTTGTAACTCTCATTGCAATTGAGACCAGTGGTGCCATTTTGACTTTAAAATAGCAAAGTACTAATTTCAAGTAATATAAATAATACCTTAAATAAGAATTATTAAACTTCCAGCAGTTTAATAAATTAGTCTTTGAAGACAAAAAAGAAACATTTAAATTTTGTACCAGATATTGAGTTTGAATACCCATTAAAGCTGTCCTTTTACATCTATCTACTTGTGAAACAGAAGCAGAAACACAGCATCCTCTGTTTTTGTCTCCACAATGTTTACTCGTCCAAATTGTTTTGTATGAGAACCGATCTGGAAAGAAAAAGTCTGATATCAGGGCTTGGGCCCATCCTGCTGAGGGACAGTCGGTTCTATCATTGCCCTCCTGTGCAGCTCTTTGCCTGCACAGGAGGACTCACAGCACTAGCCTCTTTAATGGAAAGCTTTAACCAGAGGGCTGTTGGGGGGATTAGGGTACAGCAGGGGTAGCCTGGCATAATGGCACACAGGGGAGATCAGAAGTAGCTCTGCAGGGTTCAGCTTCACCTGCAGCATTACACTGTGTTCCAAATTATTATGCAAGTGATATATTCTCAGATTTTCTTAAATGGTCAATACAAATGATGGTCAGTATAATTTTCAAGTCATGAACTATTACAGTACAAATCAAATATTACTGAACAAAGCTCCCCATGAGAACAGTATTTCTTTCAAAAATAAAAACTCAAAATGCATTGTTCTAAATAATCATGCGCAGCAGATTTTCTAACATTGTATGGATTGTAAAGAACTGCAAACGGTCATTCTTTGAATGTACTAGAATCAAAAGCTATTTCAATAAAAACATCTTAACAGACCGAGTTACATGTTAACAAAGGACCCCTTCTTTGATCTGCTTCTGGTTAGGATGGCCAAATAGTAGATTCATGCACCGGAAGCCTCTGGGACCAGCAGCTTCAAATAACTGTTTGCTGCTTTGTAAGAGCATTTTAACAGCTGCTCTCTTAATCCAATGAATTTTTGTCTAATAGAAATCTTCCTCATTGTGCCTTTGTCTGTACAAACCACCTATGTTTTGAATCAGCCACAAATCTCTTCACAGTATGATAATAACACTTCAGTTTTGGTTAAATATCTAATGTTTTATATCTTGTCATGTGGCACTACACTATTTGATCATTTTTGTCAGCAGAGATCCTTTCTCTTTTCCACATTGCTTGAAACCTGTGGCCTGCTTAATAATGTGGAACATCCTTCTTAAGTAGATTTCCTTTAATTGAGCTCATCAGACAAACTAGTCAACCAGCTCTCTTAAAGTAATTATAGTGATTCAAAGAGCCCTGACACACAATACCATCTATAAATTTAATAGCACAGCAAAAAATGTTATCTTTATGACACTTAAATCCAATTTGCATAATAATTTGGAACACTGTGTAAGGAGGCGGTGTGATGCTGCTGGTGAGACTAGGAACGAGGATCCCTGGCAGTGAAAGAACTTGCAGACATACATCAAGCTAACAAAACAAAAACAGGGCTCTAGTCAGGATCTGTTCCACTTAGAGAAGTTTTGCGTGCTGCAATGGGAGAAGAGTAATACTCACCAAACGTTCTGACAGCGGGGTTTTGTCCAAAGCTGGCAGGTGTTGCTCCAAGGCCAGAACGATGCAGTTTGCTATGATGGTGGCCAGGATCATGTATTCAAACGGAGTAGCAGTGTTAAGGATATTTGGTGAAAGGATGAACATCACACAGCTGGAAATAATCTCTCTGCAGCTGAAGCTACGTCACATTCAACTAGAACATCACTTTCAGTTAGCTTCTAAAAGGGAGCTTTTGGTTCAGTTTCTCACTAAACTGACTTTTTATTGATGAAATATGAGCTAGTATCAAACTAGAAGGTAACAACAGCATGAGTCAACAAAGCAGAGCAAACGGCTGCTGTAAGAAGCAACATGTCTTCATCTGCATCACATGGCAAGAGCATTATTCAGCATCCTCTCTGGATTACCAGCGGAACAATTTATATCTTGACGTTATGATGTAAATCCACTAACATCACTGTGTCAAATATCTAATTCATCTTTTCCATTTCATTTATAAGTCAGCTTCCACCTTCAGTCTGTTGGTTTAAATTCCTCTGACAAAGCAGAAATCTGGGAGTGACTATGGATTCTGCACTGAAACTCAATAAATACATCACATTTATCATAAATACAACATATGACCCTCAAAAAGAACATTGCCAGAATTAGATGACTCACCTAATTGAAGATTCAGAAAAATTTATTTATGCCTTTGAAGCAATCTTGACAATCTGTGCCAAGATTAGCATGCTCGATTATTGCAACGATATTTTCACTGGACTACCAAAATAAAATAAAAAGAAAAAATCAATAAGACAGCTTCTGCTTCTTCAGTCCAGTTCTCAGGTCCTTGCTCTGGCTACCTGTTACTCAAAGAATAGAATTTAAAACCTCACTGATGGTTTATAAAGCACTTATTAGTAAAATCCCGGACTACATCTCTAATCTTCTACAACACAATGAACAATCACAACCTTTAAGATAATCTGAATCAGACCAAAGCTGAAGAAACTTTTTGAAATAGGAATGCTCCCACCATGCTCCCACCATGAATATAAAACGTTTTTATTTGCTATTGCCAACACGTAAGCAATTTTTAACTTTTTTTTTTTATTTATAAAGGGTAAGTCCTTATATGTTTAATGTGTTTCTCTGGAAGTATGTTGGTTTTAACTTCTGTCTACAAACACTTTGGGTTGCCCTTGGCTGAAAGGTGCTAAATGAAGTTACCTTTCCTTCATGATTACCATCTTCATACTGAACAGAACCCAAACTTCTGTGGCATATCAGATAGAAATTGGTTTTGAATACTTTAAGCATTTTCCAATAGACCCATATCATATATTTTGACTACAAAAAGTTTTTCTGATTACAGTGACCTAAAACGTTATGCAAACAGATGCAGTCTTAGAATCTGTTTTTTTTTCACAAGCAGCCTTCAGTCAAAAAGCTCATGAGACTCTTTCATTTATGTGCATGTAATGCTCGTGTTAGTCAAGAATTGTCAAGACTGAACAATCTTGACAATCTGTGCCAAGATTCTTCATCTGAACACAGATTAGAGGAGCACTGATTGTGCCTTTGTGGGAATCAGTCCAGAGGGAATAAGTCCAGCCACAGAAACTGTAAGTATGACAATGTAGGTGAACCAAAGACAGATATAAAATCTATAAAAAATAAAAAAATTATATATATATATATATATATATTATATATATAATTTTTTTTATTTGCTATTGCCAACACGTAAGCAATTTTTAACTTTTATAAAACTATATAAATATATATATATATATATATATATATATATATATATATATATATATATATATATATATATATATATATATATATATATATATATATATATATATATATATATATATATATATATATATACAGTTAGGGCCAGAAATATTTGGACAGTAACACAATATTTGTGAGTTGGGCTCTGCATGCCACCGCATTGGATTTGAAATGAAACCTCTACAACAGAATTCAAGTGCAGATTGTAACGTTTAATTTAAAGGGTTGAACAAAAATCTGATAGAAAATGTAGGAATTGTACACATTTGTTTACAAACACTCCACATTTTAGGAGCTCAAAAGTAATTGGACATATAAACATAACCCAAACAAAAAATTTTTTCTCAATATTTTGCTGCGAATCCTTTGGAGGCAATCACTGCCTTAAGTCTGGAACCCATGGACATCACCAAACGCTGGGTTTCCTCCTTCTTAATGCTTTGCCAGGCCTTTACAGCCGCAGCCTTCAGGTCTTGCTTGTTAGTGGGTCTTTCCGTCTGAAGTCTGGATTTGAGCAAGTGAAATGCATGCTCAATTGGGTTAAGATCTGGTGATTGACTTGGCCATTGCAGAATATTCCACCTTTTTGCTCTCATGAACTCCTGGGTAGCTTTGGCTGTATGCTTGGGGTCATTATCCATCTGTACTGTGAAGCGCCGTCCGATCAACTTTGCAGCATTTGGCTGAATCTGGGCTGACAGTATATCCCGGTACACTTCAGAATTCATCCGGCTACTCTTGTCTGCTGTTATGTCATCAATAAACACAAGTGACCCAGTGCCATTGAAAGCCATGCATGCCCATGCCATCACGTTGCCTCCACCATGTTTTACAGAGGATGTGGTGTGCCTTGGATCATGTGCCGTTCCCTTTCTTCTCGAAACTTTTTTCTTCCCATCATTCTGGTACAGGTTGATCTTTGTCTCATCTGTCCATAGAATACTTTTCCAGAACTGGGCTGGCTTCTTGAGGTGTTTTTGGGCAAATTTAACTCTGGTCTGTCTACTTTTGGAATTGATGAATGGTTTGCATCTATATGTGAACCCTTTGTATTTGCTTTCATGGAGTCTTCTCTTTACTGTTTACTTAGAGACAGATACACCTACTTCTCTGAGAGTGTTCTGGACCTCAGTTGATGTTGTGAACGGGTTCTTCTTCACCAAAGAAAGTATGCGGCGATCATCCACCACTTTGTCTTCAGTGGACGCCAGGCCTTTTTGAGTTCCCAAGCTCACCAGTCAATTCCTTTTTCCTCAGAATGTACCCGACTGTTGATTTTGCTACTCCAAGCATGTCTGCTATCTCTGTGATGGATTTTTTCCTATTTTTCAGCCTCAGGATGTTCTGCTTCACCTCAATTGAGAGCTCCTTTGACCGCATGTTGTCTGGTCACAGCAACAGCTTCCAAATGCAAAACCACACACCTGGAAACAACCCCAGACCTTTTAACTACTTACTTGATTACAGGTTAACGAGGGAAAGGCCTTTTGAGTTACTTGCAGCCTTTGGAGTCCATTGTCCAATTACTTTTGGTCCCTTGAAAAAGAGGAGGCTCTGCATTACAGAGCTATGATTCCTAAACCCTTTCTCCGATTTGGATGTGGAAACTCTCATATTGCAGCTGGGAGTGTGCACTTTCAGCCCATATTATATATAAATTGTATTTCTGAACATATTTTTGCCAACAGCTAAAATAACAAAACCTGTGTCACTGTCCAAATATTTCTGGCCCTAACTGTATATATATATATATATATATATATATATATATATATATATATATATATATATATATATATATATATATATATATATATATATATATATATATATATATATATATTTGCTGTTATAAATAAATACTATAATATACTATAAAAAATAACAAATAAACTCTTTACTGACAGCATTAGTTAACAGTAGAGGGATCATATGAATATTTGAAGGCACAGCAGTGTCTGTCAGGAAGATGCCGTTGCTCCCTGTGTAACTTTGGTAAGCTGTGTTGACTGCATGTCACTGTACTGCTTCTCCTGATGCCTTTTGACTGGAATCCACTGTGAAGGAAGCAGATGTTTTGCTCAATCTGGTAAAAGTTGTGCCAATATGAAAACCTCTCCTCTGCACTGGTCATCACTGAACCAGAATGCAATGTGAACCCAAAGCAATTGTGGAAACTATTGTTAAAAATTTATGTATATTTATATATATTTTTATATATTTATACAGTACAGACTAAAAGATTGGACACAACCTTCTTATTCAATGGGTTTCCTTTATTTTCATGACTATTTGTAAGGCAAGAAAGCCCATTTATTAATCTAACAGGGCACACCTGTGAAGTGAAAACCATTTCAGGTGACTACCTCTTGAAGCTCATCAAGAGAATGCAGAGTGTGTGCAAAGCAGTAATCACAGCAAAAGGTTGCGACTTTGAAGAAACTACAATATAAGGCATATTTTCAGATGTTTTACACTTTTTTCTTTAGTACATATTTCCACATGGGTTAATTCATAGTTTGATGCCTTCAGTGTGAATCTACAATATCAATAGTCATAAATATAAAGGAAACTCATTTAATAAAAGGTGTGTCCAAACTGTTGGTCTGTACTAAAAGACCAAAAGTTTATATATATATATATATATATATATATACACACAGTTAGGGCCAGAAATATTTGGACAGTGACACAGGTTTTGTTATTTTAGTTGGCAAAATATGTTCAGAAATACAATTATAATATGGGCTGAAAGTGCACACAGCTGCAATATGAGAGTTTCCACATCCAAATCGGAGAAAGGGTTTAGGAATCATAGCTGTAATGCAGAGCCTCCTCTTTTCAAGGGACCAAAAGTAATTGGACAATGGACTCTAAAGGCTGCAAGTAACTCAGAAGGCCTTTCCCTCGTTAACCTGTAATCAAGTAAGTAGTTAAAAGTCTGGGGTTGTTTCCAGGTGTGTGGTTTTGCATTTGGAAGCTGTTGCTGTGACCAGACAACATGCGGTCAAAGGAGCTCTCATTGAGGTGAAGCAGAACATCCTGAGGCTGAAAAATAGGAAAAAATCCATCACAGAGATAGCAGACATGCTTGGAGTAGCAAAATCAACAGTCTGGTACATTCTGAGGAAAAAGGAATTGACTGGTAAGCTTGGGATCTCAAAAAGGCCTGGGCGTCCACGGAAGACAACGGTGGTGGATTAACACCGCATACTTTCTTTGGTGAAGAAGAACCCGTTCACAACATCAACTGAGGTCCAGAACACTCTCAGAGAAGTAGGTGTATCTGTCTCTAAGTCAACAGTAAAGAGAAGACTCCATGAAAGCAAATACAAAGGGTTCACTATAGATGCAACCATTCATCAATTCCAAAAGTAGACAGACCAGAGTTAAATTTGCCCAAAAACACCTCAAGAAGCCAGCCCAGTTCTGGAAAAGTATTCTATGGACAGATGAGACAAAGATCAACCTGTACCAGAATGATGGAAGAAAAAAGTTTGGAGAAGAAAGGGAACGGCACATGATCCAAGGCACACCACATCCTCTGTAAAACATGGTGGAGGCAACGTGATGGCATGGGCATGCATGGCTTTCAATGGCACTGGGTCACTTGTGTTTATTGATGACATAACAGCAGACAAGAGTAGCCGGATGAATTCTGAAGTGTACCGGGATATACTGTCAGCCCAGATTCAGCCAAATGCTGCAAAGTTGATCGGACGGCGCTTCACAGTACAGATGGATAATGACCCAAGCATACAGCCAAAGCTACCCAGGAGTTCATGAGAGCAAAAAGGTGGAATATTCTGCAATGGCCAAGTCAATCACCAGATCTTAACCCAATTGAGCATGCATTTCACTTGCTCAAATCCAGACTTCAGACGGAAAGACCCACTAACAAGCAAGACCTGAAGGCTGCGGCTGTAAAGGCCTGGGAAAGCATTAAGAAGGAGGAACCAGCATTTGGTGATGTCCATGGGTTCCAGACTTAAGGCAGTGATTGCCTCCGAAGGATTCGCAACAAAATATTGAGAAAAAACTTTTTTGTTTGGGTTATGTTTATATGTCCAATTACTTTTGAGCTCCTAAAATGTGGAGTGTTTGTAAACAAATGTGTACAATTCCTACATTTTCTATCAGATATTTTTGTTCAACCCTTTAAATTAAACGTTACAATCTGCACTTGAATTCTGTTGTAGAGGTTTCATTTCAAATCCAATGCGGTGGCATGCAGAGCCCAACTCACGAAAATTGTGTTACTGTCCAAATATTTCTGGCCATAACTGTGTATATATATATATATATATATATATATATATATATATATATATATATATATATATATATATATATATATCAGAAGCCAGCTCAATGGCAAGAACAAAATCCGTGCGATAAACAGCTATGCCCTGCCAGTAATCAGATACCCTGCTGGAATAATCAGCTGGCCAAAGGAGGAGATAAAAGCCACAGATATTAAGACCAGAAAGCTACTAACCATGCATGGAGGGTTCCATCCCAAATCCAGCACCCCTGAGACTGTACACGAGCCGCAAGGACGGAGGCAGAGGACTAGTGAGTGTGAGAACCACTGTCCAGGACGAAACAACTAAGATCCATAAATACATCAGGGACAAAGCCTCAACAGACAATGTGCTCAGTGAATGTCTCAGACAACAGGGAACGGAGGTTGAGGTGCCAGAGATACCATCATGGGAGGACAAGCCACTACATGGGATGTACCACCAGCAAATAACCCAAGTGGCTGATATCAGTAAATCCTACCAATGACTTGAAAAAGCTGGACTCAAGGACAGCACAGAGGCCCTCATCCTGGCCGCCCAGGAACAGGCCCTAAACACCAGAGCAATAGAGGCCCAGATCTACCACACCAGACAAGACCCAAGGTGTAGGTTGTGCAAGGAGGCCCCTGAGACAGTCCAGCACATAACAGCAGGGTGCAAGATACTGGCAGGGAAAGCGTACATGGAGCGACGTAACCAAGTGGCAGGCATAGTGTACAGAAACATCTGTGCAGAATATGGACTGGAAACCCCGAGATCAAAGTGGGAAACACCCCCAAAGGTGGTGGAGAACGCCAGAGCTAAGATCCTGTGGGACTTCCAGATCCAGACAGACAAAATGGTAATGGCGAACCAACCAGACATTGTCGTAGTGGATAAACATCAGAGGAAAGCCGTTGTGGTAGATGTAGCGATACCAAGTGATTGCAACATCAGGAAAAAGGAGCACGAGAAACTGGAGAAATACCAGGGCCTCAGGGAGGAACTGGAGAGGGCCTGGAAGGTGAAGACCACAGTGGTGCCTGTGGTCATTGGGGCCCTCGGGGCAGTAACCCCCAAACTGGAGCAATGGCTACAACAATCCCAGGAACAACATCAGACATCTCAGTCCAGAAATGTGCAGTCCTTGGCACAGCCAAGATACTGCGCAGAACCCTCAAGCTCCCAGGCCTCTGGTAGAGGACCCGAGCTCAGAGGATAAGAACCACCCGCGGTGGGTGAGAAGGGAATTTTTTATATATATATATATATATATATATATATAAGAGAAAGAGAGAATACTGTATGTAGCAGAATGTTAACTCTAAGCCTTATCTGCATGTTATGATTGTTCCTTTAAGATCCACTTCCTCAATAAAAATGAATCAAAAGTCCTTCCACTACGTTGTGTTCACTTCCTCATTTCACAAGGGGGAATTATAATGTCAGATCGGGCTGGGGTTGGTTTAGATCACTTTCCCCCCCATCATTAATGATTGAATAATTTTTGAAAACTCTCTTTTGGATTGACCTATATTGACAGAGTCTGACAGCAGAATTTATCTGAGGAAAATCAAACCTAAAAGGAGGCATGGGGGGAAGCACTTCTTCACAGTACTGTAAATGATCAATCAGTTTTTTCAGTGAGATTTGAAGCCTGGCTGTTGGATCACAGCAGATAGCAACCACTCCATGTCAGCAGCATCTTGTTGAGACAGCCTGACAAATGAATTCTGTGAGTGCAGCTTGTTTGTTTGGGTCACACCCATGAGGAGAGCTGCTGTTTGAAGGCAGCCAACAGGACTTGGCCAGAGGGGCCAAGATCCTTCAGCCTCACCAAGAAACTCACCACCATCAGCCTTTATCCTCAGTTCTGAAGCCAAATAAATGCATGTCTCATGAAACATCAAACACAGTCAAACAAACAACACATCTTCACAGAATAAAACACTGCAGCACAGTCTGGCATCCAGAACGGCCCATACTGATGGACTGCAGGTGTTTTATCCGTAAAAGATTATGTGAATAATATGCGCAGAAATGTTAACAGCAAATGTATTTCTGTGGCAGAAAGCCAACTAACCCCTAGCAGCAGCAGCAGCAGCAGCTACCTGTTCCTTTATAATTTATACTGAATAAGGCTGCAGACATCATGACACCTCACTGTAAAATGAATGCTCCTAATAAGTATGTTTCTGACTGAGGTCTGCGCAGTGATCCGCGCTGCACACAATAAGGATATGGCCATTCTGTGATCTTTTTGGCGTATTTCCGGATAATATTATCCTCGCTAAAGATAAACAGGGAGCGGTTGACGGTGAGGCAGTTCTGTTTGACTGGAATGGGGTTGTAAATAGCCATGGTTCTGGCTCTCTGAGCCATGGTCTGTTTGTACGGCTGCCTATTGGCCCCTCTGCTTGGCCCCGTGAGGCCGCCGCCTCTGAACCGGCTGGAAGCATCGTCTTCAAAACGAGCCATTCTGAGACTGCGAAAGTCTTGCTGGAGACACCGACACTGACAGAACAGAAATGGAGATGAAGCATCACAGCAGAGCCTGCTGCACCGTCCCCCGGCAGGTCCTCACTGACAGAGTCAGGAAGAAGATCCAGCAAAAACAATGAGTGGCTCCTCAGGGTCGCTCCGACAGCTCCTGGTCTCTGTGGCTCCCCATGCCGCCGGCAGCTCCGAGGTGAATTTGTTGCTCAAAGTTCAGCGGCTGCCCCTCCACGATGCATCATTTTCCTGGGTGTTGCTCCTCCGGCTGCCCGCCCCGCTCCTCAGAGGCGACAGATCCATCCATCCAGTGGAAACAACTTCCCCACTGTTTGACTGCAGAGACGGGCTTCAGTCAATCTGTGATCCCCAGCCTCAGAAGAACCCCCAGAAACAGCCGCATTTCCTCCTCCGGGAGGCTCCTGTCCGCGCCGAGTTGACTGAGGAGTGCGTGTTTCTCGGAGCTGCCGCTCCCCACGGAAGCTGAAAAAACACGCCGCCTTCAGACGATCCGTCGTCCGCAGAGAAATCACGGCTCGGCCGCTCGATTCCACGAAACCTCCTTTAAGAAGAGTATAGACTCCACTTTCCCCAGCACCGCTCATCCATCCCCCCATGTGGCTGACGAACGACAGCCAGACTCCACCTGGATCGGCCCTGTTTCCATAGCAACACGGAAGAGAGACAGCACATCGTATAAAATCCTAACCCATCATCAACTATCAGAACAGGAGCTGTTCCTTTTTGTTTACTTATATTTTCATACTTGAGTTTTATGAAATAAATAGAATCTAAATAAAAAGAATGTCACACATACTGGATTAATGCATTCATAAATCATTAAGTCATAAATGAGTCAAGTTTACATCTTTATTTTCCAACAACAAATTAATAGATTAGGTAAATAATCCCACATTTTATAAAGTGATGCAGGTAAGAACAGCTGGTTCACAGGAGAAACAGCCGAGCAACAGAAAGGTCAAGGACTTGATGAGGTTGTAAAAAGTTTAAGTCCCTCAGGGTTCTGCTTTAGGACACATCCGGTTCCTGTGGACAAACTACATTTCAAAACCTCTTATAGCACATGTGGCCATCCTGTTTTCTTAGCAACAATGGATTACATAAATGAGCAAATCAACAAAAAAAAAATAGTTAACCCCTTAATGCCTAAATTCATATCCAGTTGTACAAAAAACTGCATTGCAAATTAGACATTTGAGCAGAGCACCAACCTGTAGTGTCAGTTTAGGATTGGGCTTTTAAGGGACGAAACCAACGAATCAATCTCAGATGTTTAAAACCAACAAGCTGGATTTTCTGGAGCGACTGACTTGAAAATCCCTCCTGAAAAGACTGGACAGTTTTACAAGGAACTGTCCAGTGTAGAGAGACCACACAGACGCCATGTTGTGATTGCAGCCAAAGGTGCATATGGATTTAAAGGGGTGAATATTTATGCAATCACATATTTTATGTCACATATTTGTCTTTTTTATATAAAGAAATCAGTTTGAAATTTGACCCAAATTTTTTTTATCACAATCGATTTGTAAAAGTCATAAAGGGTAAAAACAAACAAACAACAAAACGTCCAGTGTTTAATATCTTATTCATAATTCTGTGGATTAAAGTAATCTAAAAACATCATTCGTTTGCCAGTGCTGGAAATAACTACTGCTTCTCTTGTTCTCTGAATTTTATTTTAAAAAAAAGGCAAGTCATTGGGATCAGTAAACAGTAAACACAGTGGGATCATCAGGATTGTTTTTATTGCAGTCAGAAAATGAGAAATATCTGACTTTTTTCCTCAAAGTAACAATATGACAACTATTTATAAACATGAAAATAAATTTCATTTACTCTCCCTGCCTTGAGTTCACCTACATTATGCTTTCACCTCAGACTTCTGCTACATTTCTCACCATTATTCATATTAAACAGAACAAAATCAGCTGCAGTCATATGAGTAACATCCAGACCTTTGGAAATGACCAGACTCAGAATATCTCCTTGTTAGAAGTTGGTCTACAATGTTTCAGTGCTTCTGTAATTCTAACTTGAACATTAATTATTAAATGCTGAAATCTCCCACAATAAGGATGCAGTTATAATCAAAATAAATTACAGACAGCAGTTTTGGAAAGTTAGTATGACAAATATTTTAAAAACTTCACAACTGAAAGACCTTGAACAAGTTAAAATTTCCCTGGTACTTTCTTACATACTGATGACTCATTCGACATTGGCGCACTTAGCCTGTGCATTCAAATCAAAAGTTCTGAAGCACGTGCACATCTAAAAATGTTAAAACAGCAGACACCAAAGAACCAAGATTTGATAACTCCTGCCCAGAGACTTTCACAGTGGATGGGAGGTGACAATTTCATCGTTTTAACATTGATGTGTCAAGACAAAAAAATAATAAATTTTATTGTACGAAAGCTGAAAAAATTATGTTTCACTGCAATTTAAATGAAGCACAAAGAGCAATAAAGTAGAAACACAACCATCATATTTATCAATAAGATAAATGTAAAAAAAAAAAAGCAACAGCACAGAACTTTAGTGCAAACCAGAATACAATCACTACAGGAAGAGCACACACTCAGCACAATTGAGTGATTTGTGCTGAGATGGATGTATGGACAGGGAACTAAGACGAATCCTAAAACAACACCAACTCATTTTCCAAGCCAAACCAAGGATGGTCCATGATTATGTAGTTCTGATTGCTCCATCATTTGCTGATGGAGGTGAAATGGATCAGCCTCTATCTGCCCGCAGATGAGTGATGGCATTGGGGAGAACCACACAGACAGCTGAAGAACTTGCTTTTCACCCTCCAGTAGTTGTCGCCATAGTCAATCCTACAGACAAAATCATTATTATCCAAGAATGCCGGAGAGAGCCACTGAAAGGATTTTAGCAGAAACTCACCCGATCTGTTCTCCAGCTTTGATGGGTCTACATGAGAAGAAGGCTATTCTTGGGAAGCGCTGGTCTTGGTGCACAGTGAAAACCCTCACAGCTATCAGGTTGGGCTCACACATGTGGTTGATGAAGCGGCCGATGTTGCCGTAGAGCCTGGCATCGATGCAGTATGGCTCCCCTACCTAAATAAGACCATGACCCAACAACATCACAGTCACATGATTTTCCTTGTTCTAAATGGAGAATTATTGTGGAGAGTGGTGTTCTCTAGACAAAGAACTGCAAACAATGGACAAATATTATGTTGGTCTGATCTGTCCAAAGGTCAGCTCATGAGCTGTATGGTCATAAAACATGCTGACCTTGTGACCATATTGATGGTCTGAGGAGGAACTACTGGAAAGTAGTTGAAGTAGAGAAACATGTAGCAAAGCTGCCTTTGCTACATGTTTCTCTACTTCAACTACTTTCCAGTCTCAGTTCTGGAAACTACTCTTTCTGGAAAACTAGGGTAGGCTAGGAACTACCTGTTGTAATTCCTCCTTTGCATTAATAGGAAATGTTCAATCACACTTTGATGATCAATCAATCAATGGATCTGGTTAAACCTTTTTGAGCTTTATATGTTATGATGTTATTCCCTCATCAAAACATTCCTGGAGTGTTACCTTGTTTCTTTCATACATGTCTGAGAAATCATATAATCTCCATGGCAACCATTCAGTATAGTTACTTGGTTAAGCTACGAAAGCAACACGTGTTAGCTAATGTTTTTACTTCAGAAAAAGTTACACACACCTCAGTTCTCCTTTGGTTAGAAACAGATTATTCTTTTATGTTCTGAATTAGAAAAACTTGTATTAGAGCATGCACATTTGTTCTGTCATTTAACCCATTATAGTGGAAGGAGCATGGTTCCACTAAAAATATGCGTCTTTAGGCAAAAGACGCATGGAAGCAGGAAATGTTTCCAGGGCTCAACATCCCTAAGTTGTGGGCTTCCTAACAACATGTCTGCATGTAGTTCACCTTATTGTCCAAGGTGAAGAGGAAAGAGTCATTCTCTCTTTTGTCAGCCTCGGAATTACTGATGATCTCGCCAACGTACCTGTTAAAGTATTCAGAAGCAGAGCTTAGCATGCTACAGCTTTTGTGTTGTGAGCACTATAGTAATGGATTTAATTATGTCTCTTCTGTCAGCATCTCCTCACTCGCAAATGAATGTTCCTTGTGGGACATCTTGAACGGTCCTCACTCCCCAGCCCATCTTCTCTGTCTTGTAGAGCTTCAGGCGGACTCTGGAACAAACAATATCAACACATTTCATGTCATCATGTTGGTGGAAGGAGGCGGATATCAGGATTCTAATCTGCCTCCTCACTTGGTCAAAGCTTTCAATCTGTTTTTTTTTTTTTTAAAGTAACATACCTGATCTTTGTAAATCATACAGAAATAGCACAGCACAAAAATACAACTGTTTCTGCACACACCTGATTGTTAACTAAGTTTTCTGTTATTTAAAAATGTTATCTAAATGAAACAACAATTTTTGTCTTATTTACGAAAACTTCCCACTTCTGCTCCTTAGAAACATTTCAAACGTTTCTGAAGAACTCAGTCAACATGCATTTGAAACACCAGGATGGAGGCAAACTACACTGAGCTGTTAGGAAAATCTAGATGGAGCAGATTTTCTGAGAGGACAGTCCCACCTGAGTCCATTCTGCACCACACGGTTCCGACACGTCCTCCAGCAGGAGCAGGCATGGTTACACTCAAACAGCACGGGAGGCTCCCACTGACAGAAGTCCAGAGGCAGCCGACCCTCCTGTAAAAACACACAATATTTACTAAAAGTGACTGAAAGAAAGCTAAATAAATATGTGCATTTTCACAGTGAAGCCACAGATCACATTCAAATAATTTATAAACCTGGATTATGACTTCTGGAAAAAAAAAACTTGCAATAATATCTCATATGAGAAATGATCATTTTCAGGTTATTCAATTGAATACAAAATATTTCACTGAATTCGCTATGTGAATTCAAAGAATGCATAAAATGGGTCTAGATTAGTCTGAATATGTGAAAACACTTTACAAAACAATCCAGATAAATATTTTCATGCTTTATAGCTGTAACCATTACAAAACAATTCTAATAAATTGGAAAACAAGGACCGCTGCCTGTCTGACACATCAGACAAATTTACTCACTGAACACATTTCAATGGAAAATAATTTTTATATAATAGATTTTATATGATTTTCACTTCAAAAACAAGACTGTCAGGTTAATTAGTTTTTCTAATTTCTCCCTAGGTGTGAGTGTGTGTGTATGGTTGTGTGTGCTGTCTGTCTCTGTGTTGCCCTGCAACAGTTCGTTGGAGATGGGCACTATAGCACTCCTCCTGACCCACTAGGGACAACGGTATACAGAAAATGGATGGAAGGATGATTTTCACTTATAATGTTTCCATTGGTACCCTAATGTTTTTTCTGAATCTTTATTACATAATTAAACTTTTAAAAACACTTCATTATTATTATTCTGTTTGCAGAAATAGAACAAGTTTAACAGCTCAGAACTTGTTCTGAGCTGCATCAAAATGGAAATTACTTTTGAATGGAAAATTAAACAAATCCTTTTTTTCCTAGGATTCTATAAATATTTGACATTTATAGATAAAAGATATTTTTTGTGGTCTTTCTACATTGTAGGTTGAGAATAGACTTAGACTTGACTTAATAGATGTAGTGAGACAAACTGCCCTCGCAAATTCTATCAGCTAACAATTTGAAACAAAAAGAAAATACAGAAATTGTTTTTCCTCATCTGCAAATGGTAGAAAACAGCAAGACTTTTGATATGGAATATCTGATGTGTGTGTTTGGACTTACACTGTCATACCAACATCGCAGACTGAGCTGGCCACACATGCAGGAGCTGGATGAGCAGTCATCTGTGCAGCTGCAGTGCTTAGTGACAAAATACATTCATAGCCATGAGGAGCTCCATAAGCAGTCAGCCATAAGCTTAGACTTCACAGGTAGAGATATAGACTCACCTGGAGATGGGTAATGTCCTTGTCTATGTTCAGTGATGAGCTGAGGCAGCTGTCTGGTATATATTTAAAGTTATCAGGACATGGTTCACTATCAACACCATTAACACAGCTGATAGGGACTGCCTCATATCCCCGGGATATGTCCCTACAAGAAGAAAATAAATGTTGGACCTTGTTGACATCAGAGGTAAAACAAAACAATTCAGGAAACGGATTCACAAAGGTTCCCTGTCCTCAAAAACTACAGTCATTCTCCTAAGCTACATGGACAGCTAAGGCACACAGCATAAAGAGATATCTAATTAGCTAAGTAGAGACAAATCAATAAACAGTCAATAGCGCTCTCATGCTGGTAACCGAGCTCAGCAAAAAGGAAGGAAGTGGAAACCTGGTTGTGCAAAAAGGAAGTTCTACTATCATCTTTCAAGCTCAAAAACTACAAGTAGAAAAACTACTGAATAAAAAACAAAATAAGGCTTGGAAATCTTCAATGTTGGGAAATATATTAACCTCATTTTCATACTTTCCGGGCTTAGAAATTCAAGCCAATTTAGGTCTTGTTATGGATTCAGTTTTGGTGCCTACCTGCTGAGCTGCCTCTCTCCTTGACAGTCCCGTTCTCTCCTGGCATCAGTAAGTCTTTTGCTGGTGTTGAGAGCCGTCCACACCTTAGAGCCGCTCACACTCAGGGCCAACGCTGTGTCACCTTCCTTGTTCTTCTGAGAAACATCCGCCCCATGACACAAAAACAACCTGCAGTCCGTATAATAAAAGTCATATTGTAACTCTGCTGGCTCTTTTAACAATATAGACTGTAAATGTTGCAGCACTTACTTTATTTTCTTTTCAAGAACAAAATGAACCTTTCTATATCTCTGTTATACACATATACACACATAAAGATGTGTGTACATTTTATAATTATGATTATAAAATGGACATGATAATCTTAAGAGCCTTCTTGATGTTATCAGAACATCATTCCTTAACCCTTCAACCTTTTTCACTGAGGTTTCACTTAGAAGTGGCTCGTATAATGAGCTCAGCAGATCTGCAATTCCACCAGGTATTTGCTAATTGCTGCTGGCTAGCCTGAAGGAGCTGAGTAGGGTTGGATACTCTGTGAAGCAAAAGCTTGGCGGCTCCAAGAAGAGCTGTATCTCGAAGCTAGGTCTACTGAGGCGATCTCCACACAACATCCATTCGTTGATATGGAGATTACAGGATTTCTCAAACATGCGTGAAAGAATCAAGGCAACACTCCAGGCATGTTTCTGGTGAGGGAATAACATCATAATATGATGTAAAACTCTAAATAGCTGATTTTACATAATACTGACCCTTTAAGAAATGCAACATAAAGCTTAAAGGAGACTTCCCAATTAATGAAGCCATGAACTTGACATTCTCAGTATTACCCCCTTCAGTCCACAAAACAAACTAAAAAACTAGACTACATCCTCTTGATAAAGTTAAATTGTTTACTTCAAAGATAAAAACGATAGATGTAACTTGTCCACCAATACAATAAAGAGCAAACGAGTAAAAACTGTGATTCCCCTCCAACTATCCACGGTATCCCCCAAAAACCTTTCTAAGCCCAGTGCCCAGGGTGCTAGGGCAGTCATCCAGCCAGCCGCAATGTTTTTGATTTAAAAAATGTTTAAAGTTGACAGAAAATTTGAAATTATCACTTGATAGTGATGCGTTATTGGACAACTGGAAGATTAATGCCTAAACAACAACTATAAAGTCTTAAAAAAGGGAATGATTATAAATAAATAAATAAACAATGCTAAGCCTGGTGGGGACACAAGTAAAGCCTGGTGGCCTGCCAGTCTTATAATACACTCCAATTCACTCAAGGTCTAGCCACAACCTAAACTGCTTTTAACAAATTCTTATGCATGAGTTTTTTTTACTGGTAAACAATAATTTGATCCAAATAAACTTAAATTATCACAAGAGATCTAAACCAAATTTATTCTAAAGGTCTTAATGAACTAAAATTGAATTTAGGCTTTTCCAGTATTATAAAATAAGTAAACTATAAGGAAAGCATATAAATTTAATACAAAATACCTTTTTGTGTTTCAAATGCAAGATAATTTGATATTTTATTTGATGTTTGGTAACCATAGGAGCATTTCTACATTTACCTAATTGTATAATTTCCTTGAAAGTGAGAGAGAGCTCCACAGACATGGTCCAGACATAGACTGTGTCCATAACAACCTCATTACTGATCCTTTCGCCCTATGAAGAACTACAGAATCTAGCAGACATTTTACTGTAGCACTTACATAACACACTGTAGGTGATTCTCTCTGGCAGCGATGTGAAGTGGTGTGTCACCGTGAATGCTCGTGGCGTTCAGGTCGCAGCCAGCCTCCAGCAGTGCCTGGGCGACGTCGTCGCAGCCTGACAGAGCTGCCCAGTGCAGACAGACGTTTTCCTCCTGCACACAGCCCAAGTTAGACGTCAGCATGGGAAAGTTTATAAATGAAACACTGCCACTAACCAGTACACTAGACCAGGGATCCTCAAATCCAGGCCTTTTCCAGAAGGTTTAAGATGTATCTCTGCTTCAACACATCTGAGTCAAATAAGGTGGTCATTAGCAGGACTCTGGAGAGCTTGACTCCACTGAGAAAATAATTCAGATATTTGATTGAAATGTGTGTAAGCAGGGACACATCTAAAAGTTGCAGGACACTGGCCCTCAAGGCTTGGATTTGAGAACCACTGCACCAGCTGAACTCTGCAGACAAACTTTCACTATCAACCAAAACTGGTTTTAAATGACTCCATGTCTACAGAGACAGTGAGTGTCACTGCTGTTCTTATGGCAGGTAACACTGATTAACCTTCTTTCTGTTCTAGGATGAATACAGTCAAGGCTTGTACCACAACTGCTGTACCACAAGTGCTTTGATACCATTTAGTGGTCACACTGTGAACAACACCTGCTTCACGTAAGTACAGGCATACACCAGGTTGACTTCATTAAAACTAGCTGAAAACTCAGTAAATTCTGATTCTTAGCTTTGTTGTGCAATTGTTGAAATATATAAAGACTTACTAATGTCTTCCACAACTGATATATAAGAATAGATGATGTGTGATTATAATTCTAAGCAATTTGTTCTGATTTGGGGTCTAAAGTTTTCAGCAACATTATTCAACGAAGGAATGGGCAGACTTTATATCATTAATTAGTAATGTATATAATTAAGGGAAAATTGTAGAAATAATCAATTATGTGCATTTATTTGCATTATATGACATTGAGTAAAGAAATAATTTCAGCTGATGACAAAAAAAAAAAAAGATTTCAGCATTATTTGGATGGTAAAGGTTGCTGGCATACTCAGGTCATCATTAGCAGTACTTGTGCATTGCTTTATGTCATCATTAACTGACCTTAATGCATAATTCACAATAACTATTACATTTACATTAATTAAATGTAGTTAAATTACATACACACCTGTGCACCAGTGTTGTAGTACCTAACATTTCAACATCAAAAGCCAGTTTGTAACATCTCTCTACGAGGACCCTTGCAGAGAGATGATGTAAGGGACTCTGCTAACACTAACACAGTAGTGTTAAGTTAATGACTCACCTTGTCTCTGATGTTCACATCAGCTCCTTTTCTCAGAAACAAATGCACCAGTTCTTTGTGCTTGTGTTCAATTGCCCAGGTGATGGCCGTCCACCCCCCATTATCCTGAACAGACAGAAGCTAACAAACTCATGCCAAGATTTTTCACACACATGTGTGTATGTGATCCCAGTGCTTAGCATATGAAAATTATATGCGCTTTTACCTGACAGTTGATGTATTTGGATGCCTTGTTAAGCAGATGATCAACAACATCATAATGTCCCAGTTTAGCAGCCAGATGCAGGCAGGTGAAACCCCTGATATCCTGGGATAACATTATGATTCACATTGAACAAAACAACATGGACACCATCATGGTCTGAAAGACTTTTTGTTGTATTTGTTTCTACTCTTCCTCACTTAAAACTATGTTACGTCAGATGGGACCTAATGAAATATAATCATCTGTTTGAAAATGTTTGCTGTCTAATCTTGTCTTTTACAAATGGCATTTCAAAAAATGGTAAATGGACTGAACTTATGTAGCGGTTTTCCAGTCATTTTGACCACTCAAAGCGCTTTACATTAGAGTCACATTCGCACTCATAAACGCACACACATTCATACACCGATACGCAGATACGCAATTTGGGGTTAAGTGCCTTGCCCAGAGGCACGTCGACATGTGGCAGGAGGGTGCTGGAATCACACCTACAACCCTCCGATCGCTACCATACAGCCACAGTCATCCTCATTATCAACTCACTAAAGTATTAAATACTTTTAGACTTTTACAGTTTTCAGCCAGATTTGGAAAACAACTAATTTATATATTTAACTAATCACTGATAAACACACGCACACACCTTTTCCATATTCCCTTTGCATGCTTACCTCAGTTTAACTGCACCTTTGCTCAAACGAAGCAAAAAATACAAGAACACTAATACTAGAACCTAGGTCAGTTCTTCTGCAGGAGTTGCTGAAGTTAAGAGAAAAAGCATGGAAACTAGAGCAGACATATTAAGAACACTAAGCTAAAACATAGATGGAGCAAGAAATGTGAATTATGAAGAGGACTGTGAACACTGGGGTTCTTGTGGCACATAAAGATGTAGTAATCAGAGTTTAGTGGTCAGAACACCTTCAGTGAGGCCTTTGATAGGCAGTCTGCAGCTCTAGGTGATGATGATGCTTTAAAAGAAACTCATCTTAACTTTCCCCAGTAGTTGGCACTTTCTGACTTTAGCATTGTGTTAAAAAAGAATATTTCTGAAAAACTAAACACCCTGTTGCTTTACTGAGTTAAATTGTAAAAATGAGGTTTTAGCCTCTTAGTATCTTTTTCTGGGATTATTGGGAAACAACAAAAATGAAAATTAGAAACACAACAGATGAAGACTGCAGGCAGGCAGTAAGTGGTTGCCCAATGTCCCACCTTGTGGCCAACTGTAGCTCCGGCTCTGACCAGGTACTTCACTGTGTCCAGATGGTTGTTTTCGCAGGCCGCCATGAGAGCTGTTCTGTGCTCCTCATCGAACATCTCCAGGTTGGCCCCAGCCTTTAACCAGACAGGAACATGGAATCAATCATCATCTCTCCCTGAGAGGCAACAGCTCTGGGTTCTCAGCTCTCAACACCTATGGACTCAGGAAAGTTTTATGCGACATAAAACTCCCAACATGATCTGGGAATAGTTTAAAAAGCATAAAAAACTTTACAAGATATGATTCTAAGCATTTTGTGATATAATTAGGCAGTGGTTAGGAAAGAGATTCTATGATGAATTTGAATAGAAATACCAGCTTTATGTCAGCCATAAAGTAATAAAGGATCTGAAATAAATAGTTTTCAGAATACAGGATCCTCTGTATTTGGAAACCTGCTGCTCAACATCACTCTGGTGGTAGGATCTGCTGTAACGTCATCAGTGAGGGAATAATGAGACAAAGTAGGTCACTTTGAACTTTCTCCAGTATATAATTAAATTAACTTTAAACCACAGTAGCTCTGTTGTGAAGTGTTAAACTGGATCTGGAAACAGAACTTACTAAATCTGGAATATAGAAAAACCAGTGCCAAAATACAACAGAGGAGTTGTCCTGATTGGTAAGACACAATGTTAAGACTTCCCATATTTTTAACAGTTTGGTTCTGCATTGAGGCCTGTTTTATTTTACCTGGACCAGCATGTGGCAGATCTCCTGGTGACCCTCAGCAGCTGCTGCATGAAGAGCGGTGCGCTTATGGTGTCCCTCCATCAAGAAGTTCGGGTCCTTTCCATCAACTACAGAAAACTATCTTTAGGCTTACATGAACGTTCATCCATGTAAGCCTAAAGTCCATGTAAGTGCTAAAGTCAGAAACCACTTGTACAAAGTAACACCTAGGAACTGTGCAGACAGCCTGGCATATTGGGAAAGTGTGAATGTGAACTTATAATACCACCTGCTCATAAGTTATCAAAAATATCCTAAGCTAAGCAGGAAGCTGAACTGTTCCATAAAAGAACTGTTCCACTCCTGCATCCTAATATTTCTTAAGATTTAGGAAATGTAAGGTGCCAAAGTGGATGTATAGCAAACTGGAGTTACCGAGAAGCTGAATGACCATCTGTAGGTCCCCTTGCTTTGCAGAGACATACAGCTGCCTGGCAGGACCCTTCGCTTTCTTCCGTTTTAAGCTAAAAGAAAAACAAAGTCTTGAACAGTCATTCATGCAAAGGCAAAACCTGTAAGGTCTTCAGTTTAGCATTTCTTTGCAATCTTACTTCTCGTCATCCAGTGACATGAGGATGGTCTCCAGTGACTCTTTACGATGTACAGCTTCTCCCTTGAACCTTGAACAACAAACATTAGCTCTGGGTCTGTGTTGTAAAAGAGTGGAACAGCCCTTTACATTACTCATTCTGTATATCACAGACACGAGAGGACAGCATTACCTCATCTGACTCTCCTCCCTACTCTTCTGTGGCTGGCTGCTCTTCTTCGCCCTGAGGATCTGAGGGACAGCAGGGGAAGTCGGGACAGAAGGCAGAGTGGCGACAGCAGGAAGTAAAGGTCCAGGCTTTGATCTGGGTATTGAGGGTGACAGATCTGGCTTTGGAAACATGACCTCCGTCGCCCCACTGGCGTCTTCTCCGCAGTGGGGGCAAAACCTACGCTCGTTCAGGATGGAGGCACAGTCCCAGTGGAAGCGGTGGGAAATGCTGCTGTATGGACGGCACTCCATGAAGGAGCCCTGAGAAGTGAGCAGAAACCATGGAAACGTAGTCAAGTTTTAATCTCTAATTACTTCAGGTTTTCATACTTATGCCACATTTTATACTTGTTGGGGCACGAGTCACTAGACACTAGACATTTCATTAACTTCTAATCATGAGTTAGTTGTGTCTACTTTATGAACATGTCTGATAGGAATGTACGCCACTGAGACTTTGATGGCAGAGAAAAATTATAGCAGGTCTTCAGGTCAGCAGCTTATTATCAGGAGATAATATGGTCTGCTACTTTTATAAGATAATGAGAAACATTTATTTATGAACTAGCAAATTTTATTTCTTCCTACCAGCCTGCAGAACAGCCCACAGCCAGGGCAGCACTGATGCTTGACCATTCCGGCTCGGTGGTCCTCACACAAAACCAGCAGGTGGACGGTGTTGGAGGGTCGCATTAACTCTGGCTTCACCACAGGCCTCTGGCAGCGACTCACCTGGGAAGAAACAATCAAACAACAGGTCTGCAGCACCCCAAAGCACCATGTGACTTCCAGCAAGCCGTAACCTTTACATGGCACCTGACAGGTGCAATTACCAGGATTGCACCTGTGAGGAGAGGAATGACTAGTTCAAGGTATTCAGATGAACAGGTTCTCTCCAGATTCTGGGATGTGGTATTTTCGTAAAGAAACAATTAATCCACAAAGCTGACTTTTCTGTTTGAGAATTCTAATACATATTTTCACCTGCAGGGTGCAATTCTGTAAATATGACAAATATTCTACATGTACCACATGTTCCTCCATGAAACAACTCACTATAGCTTTTAATTAAACACTCTGACTTCAGTTGATCCTATATTGCTCACATAAATCAAATCAACTGCAAAGAAACATGAAGTTCTCTCTCACACTGACGGCAACTCCTCTGCAGATTTAAACCAAATGAAAGTTCTTTGCAGCAACAAATCTGAACACCCTGAGCCGCAGAGGATCAGTGAGAAGCACTTAGAACATGATATGTAAAACCCTCTGTCTGTCAGCCATTCGTCCGAATTTAAAGGAGCAGTATTATGTGTTTTCCAGGCCATTTCATGGCTCAGTCCAGTAACTATGTTACCTTCAGTTGTTAAATGCTGCACATATTAAACATGACTTAAACAAAATTGGATTTTAAGCATTTGAAATTGGGATTCTGCTCTTTCCAACATTCCCACTTTCTGCATGTTCTAGGTGATGATGATGCTTTAAAAGAAACGTTTCTCTATTAAGCAGTTTACGACTGTTCTTGGGAATGTTGGACAGAGAAGACGCTCTTATGAGTTTAGCAGACTCACAGTTCCACCAGGTGTTTGCTAATTGCTGTTACTGCTAGTCTGAAGAATAGAATAGAATAGAATAGCATTTATTGTCATTGAACAGGATTCAACAAAATTTCTATTGCAACTCCCGTGCAAAAAGTCAAATATATACAATATTAATAGTGTTAAGAGGGAGAGTTGCGGGGTAATGGTGATCTGTGGGCAGAGGTTCAGCTTGGAACCTGGAGCTCTGGGGAGGAGCTGTGCTCTGTGACAGCAGGTGCTCAGGCGCACCTAAATGGTTGCCACGAGATATTAAAGGATTCCTCAAAAAATGTATGGAAGGATCAAAGACACACTCCAGGTTTGTTTTTGATGAAGAAATACTGGCTAGAAAAGCAAAGTATAGATTAAAAAAGCTTTTGTTATATTAAAGTGAAATTAACTGTAAGTTGATAAAAGATTTAATTGAACCCATCTACAGCCATCCATTTCCCAGAAGTATATACATGAGACAAGTTTCTTTAAAGCACTGGCAACCAGCTTTAAGTAGGACCCAAACTCAGATGAAAAATAAAACTGAGGCCCGCAGCATAAAGTGGCTTTGTAGGGTCACCAAGTCTCCATAAAAAACCTTAAATCAGGGACTTTTTCTGTTACTTATAAAAAGACCCAAGTCAAAATGACTTACCTACTACAAAAATGCAAAACATATATTTATTCATAAATATATATGAGACTTCTTTATATGTTTCATTATATATAAAAGTGATAAGTTTATGCCTTCTTATTTGGTACAGGTCCCCTACTTGTTTGTATTCTCTTTCTAAAGTGTAAGAGAAAAAATGAAGGCTAAAAACTGTAGGTAACTCAGTTTGCTCTAGACAGTTTGCTCCACTTAACACTGTTATTTGTACATTCATGGGGAACAAGGCGCCAGAACAAGTCCCTTCCTCTTTTTTATTATAATCACGGAAAGCAAACAACTAAAGGAAACATTACCACCAAAAAATAGTAAGGGTTCTCTGTATATCAATCAAGTGACAGGATGATGTCTATTTTTCTTTAATGTCATGCAGTGTACCCGCACCACCTTTGCGATCAACTGGTAGATTGCAATCGATATATTGAGCATCCCTGCATTAGATTATTTAACTGTTAGTTTGAGAGTTATCTATATGAATCCCACCATCACAAATGTAAACAGATGGAACCATATGTTTGATTCCCATGAGCCCAAGATGGGATTTTAGTGAAACAAACAATGAATGGTCATTTAGAATTATAGGATTACCATTCCATCTGAGCTCTCCATGGCCATGCAGGTCTGACCGCGTGTAGAAAAGCTCCCTCCGCTGCTGGGCGTCTCCATACGACAACAGCACAGTGGTAGCTCCTCTGCCAGGTCTGTTTCCTTCTCCTCAGTCTCTCCTACAGCACCACAGGACATTATCAATTCACTAAAGTTCAGGGCGTGAGGCTCATTCCAGAAAATCATTACGTGTCTACCTGAAAGAAAAGGGGAGAGTAGCTCTTCCTGAGCTTTCAGGTCCAGACAGTCCAGAGCCAGCTCCGTGTATTCAACATGGCCATCTTCTAAAGATATTTTCCTCTTCTCTGTAGCTGTCTGTTCTCCTGCATTTACAGTCTTGGGCTCTGTTACTGACTTGTCATCTGTTACAGGCAAATACTTCTTCACACCTGCTTTTGGCTTTTCTTTCTATGGGAAAACAGAAATAAAACTCATTCATCTAATCACCAAACACTGCATCTTGAAAGACACCTGCATCCACTTTATATCAACAGACAAGCAACTCCCCACATATTTAGACATTTAACTCTGTTTTCTAACATTTAATTTAGGCCCAATTAACTGTCCACCAATGATTATTATGTAACATCCCCATCAATAATGAAACAAAATAATTTTCTCCTATCTAAATGAGCCACTATATTCCTTCAGATGTCAGGACATCACACTCTATAGTTTTGATTCTATGGATTCCAGCACACATCAGCAGCCTCCATCCTATGTTAGATAGCACTATGTTAGATAAACACACCCATGTTATTTTCTATCCAACAGCTCTCTCAGGCTCAGTCTGTTGAGTTGTGTGTGTGTTTTAAGGTAAAATGCAGTTCTATTCAAAAGCACTAACACTTCAGATAAAGCTGCCCAAGCCTGGAGTCCAGAGCTCTCATGGGCCTCAGCATGTTAAAGGAGGCAAGTAAGGTGTGTTAATCGACACAGGGATGTTGCATATGTCCCCTAAGTTAGCAACAAGTGAACCTGCCTTCTCCAATCGTTTAACTGCCTTTGCTTTCTTCTTTGGGACAAGGCTGTATGTTCCCATCCTCCTCTTCTTCTTCTTCACAGCTAGAAGAACAAATATAAGGTCTGGCATTATTATTTTTAGAAAAATAAAACCACAACTGCAACAGTTTAATTTTATTTTGTAACGAAGATGAGATGACAGCTTTACACATTACTGGTCACTGAACTTTTACACTGCAAGAGAAATTCTACAAACAAGCTTCACTACAGACCAGAAGTTTTTTGTTTTTAAAAATTCAAACAAAAATCAAATGACATAATGTTTGGATACTGTCTATATGTATGTACTCAAAACATTACAGAACAAATTCTGTTTGTAATGAGATCAAAATGTGTTACACACTGCAGCAGTTTCCAACAATCTTTGTTTGGGAGACAGAACCAAAATATTAAATTTATAAAGAGACCCATCTTTTTTAATATTTCCACAATTGCTTGTTGTTTTAGATCTTTCTATTGTTCAGTGTCTTGAAAAGCACTTTATAAATAAAATGTATTTATCACTGAAAGAATTGGTGACCCTGCCTCTCACCCTGGATGGACGGACATGATAGTGATCGATCGATCCATCCATCCATATGTACATACATCCATACATACTAGCATTGGTATCATGTTTGTACCGATGCAAATTTCTTTTCACTCGAGGATCACTATAAGATGATTTTTCCCTAAACTTATTGAAAGATAAAAAAAATACTGAAATCAAAAGTGTGTGTTTGTGGACTGTAGGAATTCATTTACCCCTTGGTGCTCACCACCTCACTATGAATTGAATTCTGAAGCAAAATTTCAATTAGCAGTCCCTATTTATTTTTATCCTCTGTATGCAGCAATCAATATCAATAAAGATTCTTGGGGAAAAAAAAAGAAAAAAAAAACCCTGCAAACTTTCTAAGTCACAGACAAACAGATCAACTAACCCATCTGAGCTTTGACCACAGTGGACACACCCCTCCCTTTGGCTGTGTGGTTTTGCTCAGCAGTAGATGCTGGTTGAGATGACATGGAGTCCTTAGCAACAGGCTTTGGTGTCTTTTGGCCAGAAGTCTTTGGAGGCTAAGAGAAAACAGGCATGACCTTCCATTAACAGAAGGAGATAAATAACGCAAGAACAAATGGACATACAGTCATTTTCTATAATACCATTGTGAAGTGGTGTATATATTTATATAGATATATACAAATACACAAAGAGACACACACACACACTAATTCACAGCTGCATACTTTTGAACATCATAGTAACAATGTCTTGCCTTGCTAAGAGAACCTGACTGCTGTGCCTTTTCCACTTGCTGAGCCTGTGCTGAACATGCAGATGGAATCAGCTGCTCTGAGTTTTCAGCAGTAGCAGCTGGAGGAAACCCTTCTCCAACAGTTTCAGCAGTCAGCCGTCCAGCTGTGGCCAGAAACAGGCTGCTACGAGGTGGAGGCGCTTTCCCCACTGCTGAGCCCATAGTTTTTCTCTGCAAAGCAGCATCATTACTGATTATGGGTGACATGTGGAAAGGAGTCACTGTGAAACCAGTCCTTTGATTGCTTTTAGCTTCTTGTACTTTAGTAGCTTTGGTTGTTCTAGAAGCAGGACTAGAGGATCCCGCTGGTCCCGGGGACACATGTTTTCTATCTGGCTCCATTGCTGTGAAGACAAAGCACATTTATTCTATTCAACAGTGTAGTTGGTGTCGGACATGACAGGTCACAGACAATAATCTATTTCAAGGAGAGAGAAATTAATCAATCCAAATATAAAATGATCACATTTAGATGATCATTTTTATTTTTTCTTGGATTTACAGCAAACATACATTCGCGGATTTTACATTTTAATTAGTGGCTCAGCACTGTAAAATAAGACCATTAAATAAACCAACTTCAAGAAGTGCTTTAAACTTTATTAAATTAACTTTATTAATTTCTTTGGGAGTTACACTAATCTGATCGGAATCATTTTCTGTGGGATCGAAAATTACAACGTAATTTTTTAATATCAATAAAGAAAAGCTTTGTTGATATTAAAATTGAAATCATTGCTCTTTTTGAGGGAGGTCAGTATCGCTCGGAAAATTCTAGCGGTACCAGTACATACCCTGTTTTCACCAGTTTATCATGTTTGTACCGATGCTAATCTCTTTTCACTCGCCTAGTTAGTTGCACATTATTCCCATTCAACCCCGCGTTAACTTAACCAGTCCCACATGTTACTGCGACCCCTGTTTTCACAAAAGACTAGTTAATACGAAGGATGAGATGCAGCGGTCACAAGTTTGAGAGAGGCAACCAAACAATGGCTGCCATCTTTGTTTTGATTCAGTAGGAAGCAGGGGAGAAACTTCGGGAAGCAGTTAACAAATAACCTTGTTATATTGAACGAGTTGGTTTTCCATCCGTACAGCGAGAGGACGAGAACGGTCTCCGTTGATACTTTGAAAACTCTCAGTGTTTTTAAACCGCTTCGTTCTAAAACACTAAATAATGTGCGCTTCGCTCCGTAAAGGCATGCAGAGAGGAACCAGGCGAAACTCTCGCTGAAGGGGCTCTACTCTAAGCAGAAGTCCCCGGTAGAAAACTACAAAAAAAAAAAAAAAGTACATAAAACATATCAGCAGCTGTTTCACATGAAAAGTTCAAGCAGCAAAAGTTCCAACTTACAGTGCGAAGAGAGAAGCAGCGATGGGCCCACACCAGGTATGGAATGCCTGAAGGGTCATAATTCGCGCAATTTCCCCAGAAAATCTTAGACAGAATGTTTACACATTCTTTTTCTTTATAAAAAGAAAACTTAAAATTGGCATATGGTTTAACTCTAAAACCATATTATGGATGTTTTTTTTTTTGTTTGTTTTTTTTCGTTAAATTTTCGTTAAATTGCTTTCTTGACCATGCGACTTTGTATTTGTCTTCTTTATAGTACTGTACCAATGCAAAAACTTCAAAGTTTATAACACTTTGTGTAATCTTTTACACCAAAAGTTACAGAAGGAGGCCTCAACAATCGCCTGGACCTGTGACTACTTCACAAACATACCATATTTTGTGAGACTGAAGAACTGTGTGTCTAACCAGGTGGTCAACAACACATGAGCTACATGGGGAACTGTACTCTCACCGTTTCTTTTCACTTTCTGCACTTCAAACTTCCACCACAAGTCCGACTTCTGTCATCTACATAAATACTCAGATGACTCCGTAGTTGTCAGGTGTATCAAAAATGGACAAGAGGCTGAGTATGGAGAGCTGGTGGACCGCTTTGTGGCATGGTGTGGAAATAGTCATCTCATTTTGAATGTAAACAAAATAGATGTTTGTTGATTTCAGGAGACACAGGGTTAATTAAACCTTATTTCTAACATGGGAGAAGAAGTGGAGGTGATTGAGGAATACAAATACCTGTGTTCGTGTGGACAACAAACTGGACTGCAGATGCAACTGTGTTTATTAGAAGCGCATAAGCAGAATGTACTTCTTGAGGAAGCTGAAGCTAAGATCTTTCAATGTTTTGCAGCAAAATGCTGCAGAATATCTAGAAGTCTGTTGTTAAGAGCTCTTCTGCTGTCATTTGTTGGGGAAGCAGCATCAGAACCAGGGACCTAAAAAGGCTCAACAGCCTGATAAAGGAGGCTGGATCTGTTCTGGGGACAACTGTGGAACTTCTGGAGATTGTTAAGCACAGAAGGATTCTTCATAAAAATAAAGATGATTGGACAATCCTGACCATCCTCATCATGGGGCTGTTTTGGGAAAACAGTGTATCTTCAGTCTGAATCTTCTTCAAATTTTCTGTAATACAGACAGCTACAAAAGGTTTTCCCTGCCAACATAATCCCTATCTACAATAACTGAAGAATATTAACATTTAATTTCCTTTTGGGAACAATAAAATATTTTTAACTTGACATCTATACCAGTATGAGCTACATTCTACTTAAAGACAATGTAATGGATTGGAGTTAGAATGTAGCCTTCATTGTTACACCTGAAGTAGCCTTAATGCTTCAAGTCAAAATGGTTTAAACCAAGGCGGCCCCACCCGTACAATGACAGTGTCTCCAGAGCAGAGCTTGCTGAGGATCAGCAGCTGATTAATACATAAGCAGCATCCCTCTCGTTGTAATTCAATTTATTAAAAATGGCAGCAGGAAGACATTCAACACAATAAATAAACATAAAATCCTCCTTGATTTTACAGACTAGGCTATATATCTCCACTACTCTACATGACTGAATATAAAACACATAATAAATGGCCAAATAAAAGCTCAAATCACAGTGATATAGCATTAATTTAACAGCAACATAAGAGGTACAAGCAAAATCAGTACACATCACTGATGTGAAGATTTCAATGAGAACGAAATTGGACATGAAAAGAGCAAAGGCACAAAACTAGCAATGATCACTTATATCCTTACAGCTGTCAAAACACTCAAAATTAATCTTGCTGATTCAGTTTCTGTGTTAAACTATTTAGTAGTACATCACTGAGGCTAGAAAAGGAAATAAAACCACCAACAACTAAAAATTTATTTCAAACACATGAAAATAAAATTATTTTCTATTTGTATTAATCAAATGCAAGACATTAAACATACTTTTAAAAGAGTTTCAAAACTGCAGAAAATCCAGGTATAGAGTCCAAACGGAACCCAATTTGCTCCAGGTTTCCTCCTGGTCTGCTCTGTGTATTCTGGGTTTATTTAAAAAAAAAAAAAAGTAATCCTGGAAATATGCCCACATTGTCCTCGTTTAATAATTCCCACATTGTTTCTGTCCTGGTATTGGTTTTTTGATGAACTTCATGTGTTCCAGGTCTCACTGTAGGAAGGAGGAGCTTCTGGAAAACACAAACACAAACTCCATCACACAAAAGCACAATGTTATTGTATTATGAAGAGTAAAGAGTGCCAAATTGCATCAAATAAATAACTTAGGAAATGTGTCCATTTTTTAAAACTGAAATAATATATATATATATATATATATATATATATATAGAGAGAGAGAGAGAGAGAGAGAGAGAGAGAGAGAGAGAGAGAGAGAGAGAGACAGAGAGAGAGAGAGAGAGAGTTAATGATATATATACCTCAATCAAATTTATCGGTTTTATTTTAAAAACTAGATGTAATTTTTTAAATTATATAATAATTTGTTTCATGTCCCTGTGCTGAAATATATTACAAAATAATTTTAACAAAACATATTGAATTTCTAATGACTGAACAATATTCTGACATAATTAGATGGAATCAATCTCTTTAAACAACAAGTTTGTCCAGCTATGATGGGTCATAGCTGGACCCATTATACCTGCTCAGACATTGATGTCCACCTGTTGTCTCAGAAACCCCACAATCTGAAGAAGAAACTACAAACAGAAATGACTAACTGCTGCAAGTTAGAATATTAGTTTCTGAAAAAAATGCCAGAAGCTTTCAAATGTTCTAGCCCTTTAAAAAAAATTTGAACACCAATGAAAAAAGCGTTTTTAAAAGCGCTTGACCAAAAGTAATTACTAATTTATATGATTAAGTGCTAACTTATGAATAAAGTCAGTGAATCTTTGCATTGCAGTGACAGATGTAATATGCGTGGATCTTACCGATATACGTCAAACATTCTCAGTTTGAAAGCTGTTCTCTGAACTTGTAATATTTGTGCTTACATTTTCAGTTTGAATGCAGGAATTCATCCATTTGTTCTCAAAACTTGTAATGCTTCACCCAAAACCTCTGCTCTCTTTCAAATATTCTTTGTGCCCTCTCATCTGGTCAGATTTTCTCCTCACTTTAAAACTTCTCTCTGTACAGATTAAATCTTCACTCACAAACCTTTCTGCTTGCTTGCAAATAGTTTTCTGCTCTGTCATGGAACAAGCAGAACCATTGCCTGGCAACCAGTCTAGCCAGGCTATAAATAAAGTTTTATTAAGCCTTTGCAGGTGATGTCACACTCTCCAGAACTCCACCCACTCTGCCAAAACAACCAATGTGCTTCCACATCTGTCTCAAAACAGACATCTGTAACCTTATATTGCTTTTATTTAGTTTATTTCACTTTAAAAATGGTCATAGGGTGCTGCAAGGTTGGCTGCAGAAACAAACAAGGACTCAAACCCAACTTGTAATTTTAATGTAACTTTTAATGAAAGATTTGGCGATGATGGAGAGCAGCTGTCATTCATCGTGTCTGTAAGCCCTCGGTGTAATTGCTGATTTGCAGTGAACACTTTTTAAAAAGCAAGAAGATTAACGTTCATATACTGTATCAGTGCAAGTATGATTTGAAAGATATCAAATTTTGTTTTATTGAGAAGGTCTGCATCAGAAGGAATGAGGAATGGGTGGGTGTCTAAGCTAGCCATTTCCAACTTTTGAAAATCCACCGACTACAAGCCCCAACCAGGTGTGTAACGTTCACAGAGAAATTAGCTTGATTTGAAAAGTAGAGTCAAGCGAGTCGCTATTTACGAGTCGAGCCCCAACCAGGTGTGTAATGTTCACAGATAAATTATCTTGACTCGAAAAGTAGAAGCCATGAGTAAACTGACAAAAACAACTTTGGAAAATTATTTTAGTTGCTCTGTTTAATACTGCCATCCCTCACTTCCAACATACATCATGGCACCTTGAATGATTAAATGACATAAGGTAGTTGCAAAGGTTCAATCGTGGGCAGTGGGAGCCTCCTCCCACGGTTTCCTTCTACTGGGTGCATTTGTTTCCTTCTACTGGGTGTTCCTCTGTTGCCACAATCAATTGAAACACCTGGTCTTTCTACACTGCCCACTGGGTGTAGGAAAAAGCAACTTCAGCTTTTAGCTCCTTGCTACAACTTTCAGAGTCATGACATTCTTTCAAAAGAAGAGCAACAGCAAGTTCAAATCGTCACAGTGGCAAGTAGTAACCGCACTTGATGTGCCGTTCCTGCCACTACTAAGCTGAGTCAGCTTAGTAGTGGCAGGTTCCAGCCACTAGGGTACCAGAGCCAGATATATAATCTGTGCATGAGGACAAAGTCTGAGCAGGAGCATAAAGATTTGAAAAAATATTTGAAAGATATCAAAGTTTTGAGTGCAAGCACTGCAAGTTTTGTGAACGAAGAGATGAAATCCTATATTCAAACTGAAAATGTAAGCTTCACCCTTTATGGCAGTAGAATTCTCCCATAAAGCTAGCATACATAAAAACTCACCTTGTGGGTAGGCTGAGGTTCCATAGTCTGGAAGAGGGTGACTGAGTGGTGCTGTTATTGGGTGGGCACCAATACCAGAGGGGTAAGGAGCCGTGGCCCCTATCGACCCTCTAGATGAAGGTCCACTTGGAGCAGGGGCAGACGCATTGGGTAGTTCGTTCTGGGGAAAGAAGAGGCCTGGAGCATAGCTGAAGGCATTGGGGGATACTGCCTGAGACTGACGCTTGTTGGGAAAGTTGCCAGTCATCAAGTTCCCACCTTCTGCTCCATGGTGGTACTCAGCAGGAGGGGCACTGGGGGAGCTGTGGGAGGACATCCTGGAGCGGGGTGTGGGACGGGGAGCAGGTCTAGGACCAGGTTTAGCTGGTGGTGTGTTCATGGAGGAAGATGTCGGGG